CCCCACACCCCCCCCACCCCCCCCACCCACACCCCCCCCCCCCCCCCCCCCCCCCCCCCCCCCCCCCCCGCCCGCCGCCCCCCCCCCCCCCCCCCCCCCCCCAACAGGAAAACTGATCCCAGTCCGGCGTGCTTACCATCCCAAGAAGTGTAACCGTAATGCTTGGCCGAGGGGTCGCAGACGTACATATCCTCGAACCTGTGAGACGTCTTCAGCGGCGCGTTGGCCACTTCCATCAGATCTTTGAGGCCGTGCTGGGAGAACCAGCCTTGCTTATGAGAAGCGAGCACTTCGGCTGATTTCGGCGTCTGTTTGCGATGGCTATTGTTAGGATGGATTTCTCTTCAATTGTAGGTTTTACGGGAGGCTCAGGGGTGTCGTGCTACCTTTAGGAATTTGCCCCATTCATTCAAAATCTTCTTCATCATCTTATTGACTTCTGGGTCTAAGAATGCGGCATGGCCGCTACGTCGTGGAGTTAGCTGATAATCAAGTGGCACACTCGAGTTCGGTAGGACACTCACCTAGGTGTAGCCATCACGTAGTCGAAAATGCCCACCATAGGAACCCCGACCATGCCCACGCCGAAAGCAGCATCGGTCCACTGGGGGGCTTGTGTGAAGATGTGGTTGAGCACCGCCAGCATGTGCCGGTAGTCCCGGATTTGCTTCTTGGTACCCGTCGGGTCCTTGTAATACGGCTTCTTGAGCGGTATCTCCTCCCACATCTGGTTGAAATACATGTAGATGCGTGAGTTTCCCTCGATGAGCTTCTTGAAGTCTTGGAGGACCGGGATCAGCTCCTTTTGAGGAGCTTTATCGACATGTTCGATCTGCGTCTTGAGCCATTCGTGTTGGACCCGGTGATCTGTTGGAAGCCAGGCGCCATGACTATGAGAAAAAAATTAATTATTAACACAATTGATTATTCCTATTACTGGAAAAGTTGGAGGGAACCTACCGTGGGACGTGATGTTCCTCAGGAATATCGTGTTCGTCGCCGTGTTGGTGAACCATCTCGACTTAACTTAACTGTCTATGCTATATTAAACAACGATGCCAAGTCTCTAACGAAGTATTCGATGTGGGTATGTGTTTTGCACCTAGAACTGTTCCTGAATTGCCAAGAATCAGGGCCTTCCATGGCTTCATATACCGCGGGAATGCGGGGTACGTAATTCAGGAAGACTGTCATACTGGTGAGGTTGAAGACATCGATCATGATGTAATGATTCGATGGAGCTGCAGGGCGATCAGTAAGATCCCCCCAATAAGGAGATATTTTGGGTTTGATACGCCATCTAATGTCCAAGGTAAAGTGGAAATGGTCCCAAAATAAACGTTAAGTTTCCAAAATCATGGATAACCAAGATGTCACCCGATGCTTGTTTGGTGGAACTGTTGACAGGGTTTTGTAAGAAGACGCCTGATTTCTTGTATCGATGATGTAGTCTTCCATGTTCAAACCAAGGTTGCGGGTAGTCTTTCGTGGCTCAGAAAAGTGCTCATTGTGGGATATACGATATCATCGATAGTTAAAAATCAACTCCCAAATTTATCTCTAATAACTACGATGTCACGACTATTGCGAAAGTCAAAAGCTTTAACACCAACAACTTCAATTTGCTTGATCATACGTAAGGTAACTAGCAGAGTGAACAAGTGAAATATTGGGTACCTCCTAGCTTAACCTAGGCGACCTTGCGATTTATTTTACAAATGGAGCTGTATGATTCATAACTTAAGCTCAAGTCAGAAGCGCCTGTCGCGGAGCGGTGCGTTCCTTTTAATTGCTATCTGCTGCCTCAGGGAATAATGATGTGCACTTGTCCGAACCATGCATACTTGACTAACTTTAACTTTCGTCTCTCGGGTGAGCGCGGATCTGTGACAACGCAAAGAGTTTCCCGAGGTCCTTGCATTACCTACCCGCCTTTAACATGTCATGCGGAATAACATTTACCAGTACCTAAGGTAAGGGGTGTTAGGATGAGAGGTAGTCTTCGCAAGCTCGTGTTTGGGATCGCTAAACGGGTCGTTCCCAGTCCATATTCTCGAGCCATTGCATGAAATCATTATCGGGCCCTAAGAAAGGGGCGTCGATTCCGTAATTCAGATCAGTCATCGTAAAGTCGGCCGTGGACGATATATGGAAGCCATAGTTCTGAATCGCGTCATTCGTCGTATTGTCCACAGTTGTCTCGTCAACCTGTTGGTCCGGGTCTTTGTGTGCAGATGGTTCGCGAGAACCTTGTCGCTGTTTAGGCGGGTCAGGAGGACTCAGGATTCTATCAAGGATTTGAGTGATGACCTTTCTCCCCTGGTCGCATATACTAAATGAGCCATCGCTGGGGTCGACGGCCCCCAGTACAGCTGCGAAAACGGCCAGATCTTGAATTGTCTGACTTCTAGGCAGGAGAGGGTTTCTCGGATAGACGGGGAGCTGTTCTTGTTTCAATAGTTCTACCGCCATGACGGCAGCGCTCCGCATGCCTTGCACTGCGAGAAGGGATGCAATATCTGTCTTAAGCAGCGTACCGAGGTCGCGACGTTGACTTATTAACAATATGTCCTTCAAAATCGATCGCGCAAGGCATATGAGCTCCTCCGAACTTGCGCCGGCTTTGCGGATCAATACCCGCTGGAGCAGAAGCTGGTTCGAATGGAAGGCTTGGTGAATTACGATCATAACTAATATTTCCGCCGGCTGCCTTCCTTCTATTTCTATAGGTGAGTCTTTTATCTTTCTGGCGAATGGTGGGAGTTCCTCTATATATCGATCATGTCTAGCTTTGATATCTTCCGCGCGCTGCAGGATCTCTTCGCGTGTATATGGACCTAGGGCCAGGTCCAGGATGTCCTCCCTTTGTATGGCAAACCCGATCCATATCCTTATCCAGGTAACGCGACGTATTCTTCCTGACGTGTTGAACCCTTTCTCGTCTAGACTGGCAAGCGCTAGGGTTAAATCGTCTCCTTCGAGGAGTAGCTGAGAGACTGAAAGGTCTAGAGGCGGCTGAAGATTACAGTACCTATGCGAGATCCGAGGGGGACGACCTGTAAATGTGGACATGCCGATCTCTGCGCCATACATCTGGCAAAGCAGCCTTTTCCGCACCTCTATTAGAAAGAATGGAAGATGATCGTCTTCTTTGACTCCCCGGTGTAAACCCATCCCGACAACTGAAGCTACTATCTCGCCACCCAGAGTATATATACTATGGCTAGCTTCACCTTTAATCTTAGCTGTTAGAGCGTAATTCTCTATTAGAAGCCAGGTGAACATGTCGCCTAGAGCTCCACATTCGCGGCAGAAGCTCAAACAAACTTCGGCGATCTCGTTCATCTGCCTCGCAAATGACGAATGTGCGGAACTATGTTTCTTAGAACCGCGGCCGAAAGGTTCGGGCGTGTTCGCAGACAGACCGGCTATTACCGCAATGAGCCCAATGACCTCCCATCGTATGCTTGGTCCAGTCCCCAAGCGCGCCCACTTCAATACGATATGGAGTTAGCGAAAGGCTCATTTCAATACGAGGTAAAGTAGATGATCCATCTTGTGTGAATTGATCCCGTATACACCAAGACAATTTATGAAATCAGGGTACGCGAAATAGGGGTAAATAACAAAAGGACACCACCTACTTGCTTAGCTGTTGTAGTTTCAGTAAAGGATATTGGGCTTTGGGTGTTACGCCAAATCAATTCACATAATCGTTGAATCTTTTCGGGATTTTGATCCTTTAACTATGTGCTTAGAATTAGTATTTCGAATGTCTCGGGTAAGTTAATATTTGCTTCACGTACAACATCTCCGTGATGCATCCCGAGACCCCAAAGCCACTCTTTCATTATGGGCTCTATGCAGATGCAAGCTTCATCCTCGGATATTTCGTACCAACGCGATACCATACGGTTGATCATATGCTTGTCCTTTAAGAAAGCGAGAACCTTACACCCTTGGGCTATTCGGTCGTGGGACAGGCTCATTCCCTGGACTGGAGAAGATTCGAGGTCTGGAGAAGAGACATCAAAGCTGCCAAGGCCATCCGTAAAAATCGATACGTAAGAAGTCTCTCCGAGGAAGCCTATGTTTATGGTACGATTCGCAACTCCATCGCGACTTTGCAACGGCGGGGCGGACGCCGCTCGATGCACTTCACGAGTTGCTACTTCAGTAGAACGTGCCCGTGCAAGTTGAGATGTGAGAACACCAGATGACTCCGTAACTGGTACCTCACTTGACTGTACTGGGACTTGGGGAATTTTGTCTCTTGCTACGGCACATTGTGTTGAGAGAATTGCCTTTTCTTTTTGACGAGCCTATTCGTTGACCACCGTCAGGTTAACCATAGACGTTTACAAGCTAGTGCCTTCGGATACGATATAATCGATATATCTCTTTACTAACCTGGGTAAGGGGGTTGGGATGGTAAATGCACCGGTCGGCACATTGTCTCTTAATACACCTGCCGCAGGTTGGAACAACATGATCACACTTCAGCTTAGATCGTCTGCATGGTTCACACGATCTGGATAAAATGGAAAATATAGCAGGAAGAAGCCCCGATTCCCAGGCCGTGAGGTACATGGCTTGGCGAGATTGTAGAGAGTGTCTAACCTACCGCACGGCCTAGGGAATCCAAGGCTGATCCTGCAGTATCCCTTAAATGTAAGCGTGTGTACCTACTTATAAGACGAGAGAGGACTGGGGCAAGGAGGGGTAATAGGGCAGTGGTGGGACTGCATACTGTAATTTTCCATTACGTCGGTATTTTCCATTTAGAGCACGATGCGAATGTGTAGGTTGCAAGTCTATTATTTGACCACCAAGTGGCTGCCGTGAACGATTCATCGAGGTTGTCAGGATTCCGAGATATCTGGGACTAGGGGTCCGCTATGAATCGGAGTTGGAGCAGCCCAAGCTAGAATAACGAGAAGAGCATTCTAGGATACCTAGGTGAAGGGATCGGTACCATTGTTTGTTCCCAGATAATGATGGCACAAGTTGGAGGGATCTCTGCTTATTGCCCATTGTCCACTAGACAAGAGATCGGGGTTCAACCAACATCCTTTATGGACATAATGAACTCCGAGCTTTCTTAGATGCTAATTGGTGGAGAGGCGTTTGTCTTTTCGGCCTTCGGCTTATTGCCAAATTCGGTCACCGTGGTGAGATCCGAATATAGCCACAGGGATAAGGGAATCATCACCTACTCGTGTACGGTTTACGGCGAATTTGATTCCGGACAAGTCGTTTTTGAGCCTACAACTATTCTTCTAACGCTGATTGTTTACGCAAGTCGTTATTATCCGTCTACGCATAGTCTATGATAACGCGACCGTGTATCCGACTTCACGTTTTATTTATTGAGCTATTATACGGTTTGTTAGCGAGCATAGTTGCCTGAAATTTATCCGTCTTTATTATCATTTGTTCCTGTATTGTACATAGCAATGATAAAACCCTTATAACGCTAGCACAGTCGTCGCATATTCGGAGAGAAGCCCTCCCGCGATGGCGCCTCCTGCTAGCCAGAATCCGTATCGGAACCACCACCAACAGCTCGCCGAGTCTTTCAACTCGACATTAGCGATCATCGCGCCGAGGGAAAGAAGAGAGCCGCCGCCGGCGAGCACATGAAAGGCGAGCCCCGTGTTTAGCAGACTCCCGCATGCGTATAACAGTGCGACCATGCAACCGAGGAGCAGCCACAGGAACGCTTTGGTCCAGTCCCTAAGCAGAACGGCAATGCTCTTTAAACCCACCCTGATGTCATCCTTGACGTCTTGATGCGCGTAAATCGAATCGTAGATAACCGTCCATAGGATACTCGCAAGAAAGAGGCACATGGTTGACGGCTCAACCCAGAAGGACTGCTCCCATCCGTTGCTGCTTCCAAAGGGTCCTCCCGTAAATGGCTCCAGGCTCATTGCGCACGACCCCATGATAATGCCCCAAGCTAAGCAGAAGCCGAGCACCAGTTGCGCGAAGTTGGTGTGTCGCTTTGCCCAGGGGTAGTAAAATGTGCCGATAATATTCGGAACGGCGTAGATCGCGCTTCCGGAAGGCATTAGGAGTAGAAAGAAGGACGCACCGACGGCCTGTGAAGCCGTGAATGCGAAAGCGGCTCGGGGTGTAATAGCGCCTCGAGGAATAGGACGCTTGCTTGTACGAGGTATGGACTTGTCGACGGGCGCATCGATGAGGTCGTTCCAGCCGTGAGCTGCGTTCGAGAAGAAGAAGCTGCCGCCGAGCATGATTAAGCTCGCTCGGATGACCTGGGAGATAGGTGATCGTTGGATAATGGCGGCGAGCATAATTCCGAAAAAGTGAGGGAAGTAGATGAGAAACAGAGCTGCGGGAGGACTCAGTCTTGCCAGTTGGACGTAAGGAACCCATGATGAGGGCAAACGGCCAACCCAGCCACCAGCATGTCCACCGCCATACTGCTGCGCGAGCGCTGTATTCTGGAAATCCGCTGTCTCCTTAGCCGGACGCGGCTTTTCGTCGCTCGTCTTGCCGGTCATAATGGGTAGGAACAAGGGGAAGATTTGGAAGGGCGTGATATTTATGAACTGGTAAAGATTCAACTTCCCCCTTTTTCTCGCTCTTTTCTCCGGGTGGATTTTTTTTCTACAGCGAGCGAGATCACTCACGTAACATCTTTCCTGCCACTAGGTACTTCTAGTAGAAGACTCAAGTTGGAATAGTCTCAATATCCATCGCCAAGGATGGCAGGGACTACAATCCCATAGGCGACAGCTACGTATCTTTCACACCCCCCCAGACAAGGAGTCAGTCCCCGGCCATTCGCGTCTGCGCCACCAGAAGCGATGGCGTTTTTAATATTCCTTGTAGGGCTGAGTTATGTCCAGAAAATAGGGTAAAATCGGTCATAATGCTCACTGCTCAAGACGGGAACCAGGTTTCCTCGAGTGAATATTACTTTGTAGCGTTTTCTAATAATATCCCGCTTCTCATCAAGCCAAGATATTTTGGAGCGTGTAATGTATGAATAAACATGAGAAGGTACCTTAGGTACCTGAGGTAATCTCTTGAATTTGTTAAATTAGTCGGTCCTATTATTGTTCTGAATACCTAATGTAGGAACTCATAAGAGCCGTTTACCCCTGTCCATCCACATAGTCACCAGCAGGTATTTAGATGCAGGTATTGTACAAGACTGTCATGAGCAACGTCTTAATTTGCCAATTAAAGCATTACATATGTACACGACGGAAACTCTCTGGTACACCTTTTGGCATGGCTTGCACTTGGTCCTTAGAATTCCCTGATCGGAAAAGCCAACCGTCACTGTTGAACCGTGTCAGCAATCGGCTGGTACTGTCTACTACGCGGATGTGGATACGTAAGATACCGTCGGCTACGCTAATGTGGTAGTTGCTGGGCTAGGCACTTGGTTTCCAGGGGTGAAGTGGTGCCTTGTTAAATACACTAGAAGCAGCAGGGCTTTCAGCTTCCAGGCTTATTTCTTGTCTGGTTCGTAATCCATGTTCAAGTTGAGTTATTGTTAATACAGGCAGACACCTGGAAGTCATTGTTATAAGAGAGAAACGAATAAGCTATTAGCAGATGTCAAATATAATATCGTCTGTTTAGCAATGCTATTGTAGTATGCGATTGAAGATACGGTTAGAGGTAGATACGTTGAAAACTTAGCCCCTTTCATGCTGCGATGGCTTACTCTCATTATGTAGGATTGATATTAGGGCTGGACAAGGTTGCATGATCGTCATACACCATGCTTCAATATATAAAATAACACTGGGGTCTCCCGAAAGGCTAGATCCGCAGTGGGCTACTTCTCGTCCTTGGTATTTAAACAAAGATATGGACGCCGAGTCGGCATGAATAGAGAGAACGAGCGATCCTAACCCCTTCAGTTCCGGGCAAGCAGAAGATCATGGTTTATCTTACCGTATCCAGGGCTCTTGTTGGTCTTCTACTTTTTTCGTGCTCGGCGGTAGAAGCCTCTCAAGATCATGCTGTATGCGACCATATCAAGACTCAGCTGAACAACGGGACGGTCGAACCAACGTCAGACATATATGAGGCTCTAACTACAGAGAACTGGTATGGCTTGAGTTGCGCTAAACTAAAAAGACTGATTTGACTCATTATTATACAGGTCGCAAACGGTTTGGGCGAAGCCATCATGCATTGTCCAACCATCTAGCGCCGAGGAGCTTTCATACGTCATCTCGACCGTGGTAGACTGGAAAGTAAATTTTGCTATTCGCTCTGGTGGGCATTCGGTAGTACCCGGAGCTGCAAATATCAATCATGGCGTCCTGATTGACTTGGCGAACTTTAACTCGGTAGAGTATGATGCAGAGAAGAAGGTCGCTATCGTTGGCTCGGGCTTGCGGTGGAAAGAAGTTTACACTTCACTGGATCAATATAACGTAACAGTTGCCGGTGGTAGAGTTTTGGACGTTGGTGTAGGCGGCCTAACACTTGGAGGTGAGTCCTGTGCCATCGTGTTTTTCTCACCGCAGATGAAGTACTAATGCCTTCATATAGGGGGGCTTTCGTACTTAACCGACCTCTATGGCTTGGTCTGTGACAATGTAGTTAATTACGAGGTAAGCAAGACTGTATGCTTTATCGGATAATGCTGCGTTTTATTGACGAAGATAACTGTATAGGTTGTGACATCAGCTGGAGCCATCGTAAATGCGAACGCTGAGTCTAATCCAGATTTATTCTGGGCTCTAAAGGGAGGTCTCAATAATTTTGGTAAGTCTGAAGCATATTGATGTTATAATGAGGAGGCCGGTTGGCTTACACACGAGCAGGCGTCGTCACTAAATTCACTCTCAAAACTTACGATATCCACGATGTTTGGGGAGGCGTCAGAGTATACTCCCTCGATGCTCTTCCGGCATTATTTGAGGCCATGTATCAATATCAGTCGGTTGAAAATAAGGATCCATACGCCAATATCATGCTCCAAGCTTTCCCCACCAACGCGACAGTCGGTGCCATACTAAATATCGTATACCTAAAGCCAGAGGAGGAACCAGAAGCATTCGCGCCTTTCCGCAATATCACGCCTCTAGCCGATTTGACCAAGCTTCAAACATTGACTGAATTGATGCTCGCAGCGCCTTTACCTGAGTTGACACGGTGAGTTATATTCACGATTTTGGAAATCCCATTCTTCTAGGATACTAATCAATCTGTTCCTGTAGGGTGAATTGGTTTAGTGCAAGCTTCACTACAGATAAGGAATTATTCAACAAAGTTGAAGACATCGTCACTAAGGCTCCAGAGTTAGACGGCCTAAAGAACCTAACTGCAGGTTCTTTAGCATTCGGCTGGCAGCCAATTTCTAGCAGCGCCGTGCTCGCAGGGCAAGCAAGCGGCGGCAATGCGCTTGGGCTGAAACCCGTCAACCAGACATGGCTCGTTCTTGACGTGGGCTGGTGGTCTCCCAAGGATGACGGTCTAGCGCACGATCTTACGCAGAACATGATTAGCAAGATTGACGACGCATCCAAAGCCAGCGGAAATTACGTCGACTACATTTTCATGAATGATGCTGCTGCGGATCAGCCTGTCATCGCGCATTATGGAGAAGAGAACGTCGCGAAGCTGAAGGAGGCGTCAAGGAAATACGACCCCAACCAAGTGTTCCAAACTCTAGCCTCGGGGGGGTTCAAGCTACCAAAGTCATAGGCCGTTCTTCATATAAGTAAACTACAATTCGAATATAATGCTTTGGTGTTGTCTTCTATGTTAGGTACTCACGTAAAGTTCAGCCTTCAGCAAATATGTAGACACCTCTAGCACATGCTAACTCGGTCCCGAGAACCGCTGGGGTCCCCATATCTTCAGGACTAAGCCCCTCAACCGAACAAGGAAATATATGCCGGCCCTAGTACCAGCCCTGGTAGAGACTAAACACTCTGGGCTGGGAAATAATTAGAGCTTTGGCATAATTTGGTTTGCATGAAGCTAGGTAATAGATACCTAGGCAGGTATGATGAATAGACTGGGATTAGGATTCAATTTGCTGTGCCCCAAATTCACTCTCTACATAGGCGCGTCGCTTGTTAGCCGGCTCGATATTATTGTTAATATCGTTGAAAAGTCAGGGGCATGGAAGACCTAGCTTGACGACTGAATAGCGTCAGTCAAGGATTATATCTACTGCTAGAAGCAACTCGAGTCGAGTGATCTAGCCCCTTAATACGGGGATGGACGATGTAACACAGTTTAGGCCATTCGCGACATGCCAGGTACAGCTTCTTTCCTGCGCTAGCAAGGAACTTGGATGTTTGGGTTGCAATATCGAGATATCGAGACCAGCAGACTTGTCTAAAACTGGCATAGCTGCTGAGCCGGTACTTCAGAATAGGCAACGGCTCTAATACATAGTACACCTAATGTCCTAAACGCGAACGATCATAAACATAGGTGCCTAACCTAGATGACTGTGTGTTTTTTTTAGCTTGTCTACAGTATGGAAGGCTTATGTGGGAAAGCTGACGGCAAGAATCTTGCAAGTGAGAACTCGCATCATTACCACCCGACATACAAGGACCAGAGATCATACCTACATGTAAATGTATGTATATGCGAAGAAGCAGGGTGCATCACGAAATAATGAAAAAAATACTTGGCTAGCTTAAAATAAATTGAGATCAAGCATCTCCCCATAGTGGATATGTTTTATGGGGAATATAGAATATAACACGAGTCTCGGGTGACATGATCGGAAGATGCGTTTCTATTCCTCCCCCGGCCCAAGTCTATGAAGCTTTGAGGTGCTGCAAAGCCTTTATTACTAATCTCATAGTTGCAGATTTAATCGTACCTAAGGTATACTATCTGAGCCATTCACTTATGAGAGAGAGAGGGGTTGAGTACTAGGACAATCGCACGTCGTGAAGTATGGCTGAAGATCCTTATTTGGGACGGGTAATCACTGCGTAAGTTGTCCACTCTGTGAATACAGCTTGATGATTACCGTGGGGGTCCCTTGCGGAATCTGAAAACAAGAGTCTTGCGAGTCTTGCTAATAGTAAAAATCATTATCTGACCTATATAGTTTTGAAGGCGGGATAACTACGCGTATAATTACCCACCCTTCTCATCCCAACCGAGCCTTCGCCTATGACGTGACCTTCCTCCTGCAACACCCACGGGTCGTCGCAGTCGCGTCCCAAAGGCCCCCGCTACACTTCCATCCCCACCAGGAAGAGTATCTCCAGGTGCTCGAAGGGCGTCTGGCCGTAGAGGTCGAAGGCAAAGAACGCATTCTTGCCCCTGAAGATGGCGAGGTGGCCTTCCCTCCGTGGACGAACCACAGATTATACGCGCCGCTCGCCGGGGATACGGACGGGAGCCTGAAGGTGACGAGATTCTTACTTTCGGCGGCGAAAACCGCCGAGCCGTTCAGGCTCGATACCGTCTTCTTCGAGAATTGGTATGCGTACCAGGACCAAATTGTGGTCAAGGGCAAGAAGGTCGACTTAATACAGGTCATGAGCGTGAGTTATTCTCCAAACCCTAACTTAAGCCTCTGAAACTCCTCGTTGACAGATCTGCAGACGTTTGATGCAGGCGGTTCTTACCTTTCACTGCCCAAGTGGATACCGTTCAGCAAGACGTTGGCATATGCCTTGGGTGTTGCGGTAGGTAGATGGCTGGGCGGAATCCTAGGATATCAGCCATTCTACCGTGAATGGACGACAGATTGGCAATCAGCATGTCACAAGATGGAGATGTCTGTCTTTCAAAGGCGGTTCGCAGACCGAGCCAAAGTTGAGTAGAATGATCTTTGCATTAGGTATCTCACTGGATTGAACGACGCTTATTCAGTAGCCCTTGCTCCTATCGTACACGTAAAATCCCAAGAATTCCCTTAGATGTAAATTGTCCGCTGGTATTTGGAAATCAAATTTGTGATTCGACAACTTCATTCTTAAACACCCCGCTTAAACATCAAACATTTGCTCCCCTGATCTCTCTATTCCCAGATGTGCGACGTTCATATAATTGAAATGGCGGTGTCCTCTTTAGTGATCTTTGCCCATTCGGCGCTCTTAACCCACAGTTTTTCCTGCGTATCTTCGTTATAACTATCGGGGGAACTGGGCTCCTTTTTCAACGTGAGGAGATAGCCACGCTCTCCTGGATGGACATTGTTCGTAGCAAGGTCTACTACATCTATCCCTGCATCTGCCGCTGTACGATAGCTTGGGTCTGTGAGGCGAATGAGTGGCCGCAAAGGTTGAAGCACAAGCCTTTGGACAACCCGGAGGAATAGAGGGGTGTTCGTGCGCAGAGCACGCGAGTCAGTCAAGTTGCCAGGATCAATTATTATCGCTGTAATATTGCGCAGCTTCTCGTCCTGGAAATCAAGTCAACACTCTTTGTTCTGACATCTTAGGGGGGAGCAAGAAATAATAAAACAGTAAATTTGGACGTACTTTCTCGAGGTGTCTATTCAGCGCGTATCCCCACATGAGAATAGCCAACTTGGAATTTGCGTAAATATGCATGCCTCCTGCTAACTTGTCGGAAAATGGAGTGGTATGCAATAAAGCATCTAAATCGACTGCGATGGCTGGCGGGTACTTCTCCAGGCTATTCTTGCCGGGAAAATGGGCATTGCTGGTGAAGAGTATAATACGGCCACCTTCCGGTCTGAAGCTACCAAGTAGTCGAAGGACTATGGCAACGTGAGAAATGTGGTTCACCTGGATTGTCTTCTCGATTCCATCTGCAGTGAGCTCTGAATCGCCATTCAAATTCCAATAGTAAGCATTGCACACGATGCTGGCAAGCGGAGGTAGCTTCTTTTCCGAGATCTCAGTAGCGATGGTGTTTGCAAAATTGTGTACGGCGGAGAGATCGGCTAGATCGAGCTGGCGGATCGATGTCTGAGCATTAGGAAACTTAGCAATCGTCTCGTGTAGCTTCTTTGTATTGGGATCCGTATTTTCAGTGTTGCGGACGGTTAGAACGGCTGTGTAGTCCGGATATTTGGTTAAAAGATGATTTACGGCAGGAATAGCAACAGAGCCGTTTGCCCCGGTAATGATAATAGTGGCTGTCATGTTGAAGCGGAGTATCTGTTTATCAGTTCAATGACTTGGTTGATATACGATGATATACGATTCGTAGAAAGGCGCTTGAAGTTGTAATATGGATAAGTGTAAGATATAAGCGTAAGATAGGTGGCCAGCTGTCTTATATTGGCAGTACCTAATATAAACAAGCTCTTGAGGTACGTTCTATCAGGGTAACCAACCAGTCCACAAGATTACCTACCAGGTAGGTAGCTTAATAATGCTACCTTACGTAGTAAATCTTTCCTTGAAGGACGGCATTAGACTTGATCAAGTACCTAACCTAAGGGAAAAGGTTCCCCTACACTGTGTGGATATAAAGAGGGAACTATTCACCTGTAAGTTAGCGCAGAACGTGGTATTGTGCCTAAAGTTAGGTAAACAGGGGATAGCAAACAATCCAAACAATCGTGACAAGGCGCAACAGTTACGAAGTTATTTTGTGATATATGAGAGGCCTTGGTGAAGTTCGGAATAAATCTTAAAGCGTGACAGATGAGGACCTCAGGTACCTGGTATAAGATTTTGCACACGAATCTTTACTGGCTTACTCTCGAAGAGGGGAAGACCAACTGGAATGTAAGATAGGTACGAAGATGATGCGTCTGATGATGCGTCTAATAAGAACGATGGATAAGGCGGGCTTCAATAAGATACGAGGTAGGTACCTAGATACTTAGCTGTGAACCCTCGGATCTTGTGTGACGTCAATCAAAACGAAGCTAGTACCTAGCAGATAAGTGTATCGCATACCTACAGGTCTACAGGTGGCATGTGCAGGTAAGTACAATACCTCAGGTAGTACGAGACGGCGACGGAAATCAACTAATGCCGATGGGTAGTTCAGGGAGCAAACTTTAAATGAACTAGGTTTTGCTTTTGGATATATATGATATATATGATATATATATTTGAAAACATATTGCGAATCATTGTATTAGTAGGTAATTTCAAAAGTTGTGACGATTGTTATCGTGCAGTGCTCTTATTGATATAGTGCAGGTGTTGATATGTGCATATTAACTTAGTCTATGACCAAAGACGTCATAATACGTTAGAGAAGTTGTTTTGTTATTAATCACTAACCATACCTAAGGTTTAGGTAATAAGTCAACTTGCGATACACGTCCTTCGATGATTCAATTGGCTACCTAAATTTGATTATATTATTTTACCTGACAGCGTAGAGTATGTCCTGTCGAGATTCAATTCGCCAGTTTTCGGTGGAGCGATGCGTCAGAGTTGTAGCGATACTTCAAAGGGATACTTGTAAAATAAGAAAAGGTCGAAGCGTGTTTTCCTACCGTTTTGAATTCCAAACAATGTTGTAATGGAAGCCGGTTGAGTGAGTACAAAAAAAAAGGTTTCGCATTTCTCAATTGCGCGCCAATACGCGCCAAAATGCAACTAAGGTAGCAACTGCAAGTCACTGCAATTGGGCAACTGGGTTAGTAACTGAGGAGGTGGTCTGTGACAGAAGTCGTCACCTGCCTTACTGATTGTATTGTACCTACCTAAGGTACCTACAATACCTTATTACTATAGAAGATACTTAGGTACCTAACCTAGATATCCTCTACAGCATGTAGCCCCGTCATCACATCAATGATCACGCACCCAAAATAGCAGCAAAATAGATGTACCTAGCAGTTGCCCAAGATCGTAACCGCCCTGCTGCCAAACGGTACGAAGTACACGCAACACAATACCTACTTCCACGCTTCTTTGTCATTTTGTAGATACTTGACTTTTCCATATTCTTCTTTCCCAACAATAACTACTACCTACCACTAACTACCATTAATCAATTCCTAACTACAGTAGCATAACTCCCTTATTTAAACAAAAGTCCGTCGTCGCAACTATTTTTTTATAGCGATTTGCGTCCTTCTTAATTTCTAGTATAAAAGGAAGTAATCGCGGCTTGACTTTTTTGATATCCGTCTTATTTGTTCCCTTCTTTTTTTTTCCTCTTTCGAATACGTCCGAAATCCTCTGATGGTCTCGCAATACTACCCCTCGATCCACCACCTTATTAACTTTTTCACTTTCGATATTACCGCCATCACCATTTTGTCAACCTCATCGAGAGATTATCGAGCCTAACCAACTTCGAAATCCTTTCCCCGCGAAACTCGCGACGAAATCTTTTGCGGACCTGTCAAAATGCAACCCCCGGCACCTTCTCTCGATGTTATAGCCGCCCGCAACTCTGCCGCCGCCGCCGCCGCCGCCGCTGCACCTAGCGAAGCCCAAGGCCCAAACCCGCAGACAACGAGTACTCCCGACGACGCGAGGGATTCGAGATCTTCATCGTCGACAAACTCGCCCGTACCTCCAGATAACGAAGAGTCTGACTTCTTTCACGTAGCAAATGATTCCCAGTCGTCTTTAGGAGTAGTACCAAACTTGCAAGATATGCAAGTGACCGATTCAGAATGTCTCCCGACTGTCGCTGCCCTTCCCAGCGAAATCCTCATCAGCATCTTTTCCCGTATCAACAGCCCGGGCGAGCTCTTGAACTGCATGTTAACCTGTAAACGATGGGCTCGCAACGTAGTCGAGATACTCTGGCACCGTCCTACTTGTACCTCGTGGACGAAACATCGATCCATCTGCGCGACTCTGGGGCTGGAGAAGCCTTACTTCACTTATACCGACTTCGTTAAACGTCTCAATCTAGCTGCATTGGCAGACAAGGTCAGTGATGGCAGTGTTATGCCGCTTGCCGTCTGCACCCGCGTCGAACGTCTCACCTTGACCAATTGCAAAGACCTGACCGATGTGGGACTGATGCCCTTGGTGAGGAGTAACAAGAATCTTCTGGCTTTAGATATCTCTGGCGATAACAACATCACCGAACGCTCCATCGTGACTATCGCCGAGAACTGTCGCAGGCTGCAGGGTCTGAATGTGTCAAACTGCAAACAAATCTCCAACGAAAGCATGGTTCAACTCGCCGAGAGTTGCAAGTATATTAAACGTGTAAGTCAAGTCCACCGCAGAGCACCTTTTACGAAGCCCCTTTCATGTGTTCTGTATCACCCTGGGTAGCTTTCGAAGCGTGGATGTACTCTTGTTTTGGGACAGTGCTAAACAATTCCCGATATTTATCGTGTAAACAGCTTAAATTAAACGATTGCCAGCAATTGAATGACAGTGCGATTATTGCCTTCGCCAATAATTGCCCAAATATCCTCGAGATCGATCTTCACCAATGTGCGAATATCGGCAATGAGCCTGTTACTGCCCTACTTGCCAAAGGACGAGCTCTGCGAGAGTTACGACTTGCGAATTGTGATCTGATCGACGATGGCGCATTCCTGTCCTTGCCTTCTAAAATATATGAGCACCTTCGAATCCTCGATCTGACATCGTGTACCCGGCTTACGGATCGCGCCGTCGAAAAGATCATCGAGGTCGCCCCGCGATTACGAAACTTAGTCCTAGCTAAGTGTAGCAATATCACGGATGCCGCCGTCTACGCCATATCCCGTCTCGGCAAGAATCTGCACTACGTGCATCTAGGCCATTGCAGAAATATTACGGACGAAGCGGTCAAGCGCCTGGTGCATTCCTGCAACCGCATTCGTTATATTGACTTGGGCTGTTGCACCCATCTGACGGACGAGTCTGTTGTTCAATTAGCAAGACTCCCAAAGCTAAAGAGAATCGGACTGGTGAAGTGCAGTAGCATCACGGACGAGAGCATGTATGCGTTAGCCGGAGCAAACCGCCATGCCCAGTCCCGACGTACTGCGGCAGGAAATAACTCTTCCCGAAGGCACGATTATCCTGCCGGTAGTCTGGAACGAGTTCATCTTAGCTACTGCACAAACCTGACACTTCCGGTATGCTTGCTCTTATTCCCGAACGCCATTTACTTAGGATGCTAACGCTACTATAGAGCATTATCAGGCTTCTCAACTGCTGCCCAAAGCTTACACACTTGAGTTTGACGGGTGTACCTGCTTTCCTCCGGGATGATCTGGATATGTTTTGCCGTGATGCGCCTCCAGGTACTATCATTTATCTCCTGGATCTTATTCCTGCTCCAAAGTACTAACATATCTCTCAGATTTTACCGAACATCAGCGAGCAGTATTCTGTGTCTTCTCCGGCCAAGGTGTAATGGGTCTCCGAAACTACCTAAATACCCATCCTGAATTCGCCGAGTACCACATGCACCAACCGACCGTTTTAACATCACGAAGACCCGTCCAAATAAATCAAGATGTAGCTCAGGGCCAGCACTCGAGTCTTGTTCCCCTGCCAACTTCTGACATGGACGGCTTTGATGATGTCGACGGAGTTGAAGACGACGATATGGGCGATGGTAGCGAAATTGCTTTGGAGCCTGGTAATTTTGGCGGGAACGACAACTCTACCGATGGAGCTAATCTATTTATTCCACCGCCACCTCCGCCTCCATCGCAAGTTAGCACCTCCCATCAATCATCTCGCCCACATCCGCCGCATATAGCTGCTATTCCTATAGGTGTTACTATGGTGTCTGCGACTCAAGCTGGCACGGGCGCTGGCGCTCCTACCGGTAGTACACCAGGCCCTAGCACTGCGGGCCAGGGAATTTTCAACGTGGGTTCTTCCGGACCTAGCACAGCTTCCATGCTAGGGGACATCGAGGAAGACGATAGGGGCGACCAGTCTTAGAGATTTTGCCGTCGTGTCGTTGTATGCAAACAGTCCTAAAGCATACATCAGTTCATCTTAATGCATAACTCGTGTCTATAAGTCCTAAAATATCCTATACTGGACTTATCAGAGATAGCATGCGAATCAGACCGTGTATCGGTACTGGATATTCGTCTTGTTGAGCTATGCCTCACGGTTCAACAGGCGCGAATATGGAATGTTCCCCACGGTCGGTTCGTTCATTTTTTGCGTTGACATGCGTTCATCTTTTTGTCCTGGCTAGCTATATGAAGTCGATACCATCTTAGTATCTGCGCGGCATGAAACTGCGCTTGACCTACGGCGGCGTATGTATATACACCCAGCACTTCGAAAACATCAACTTGCCGCTTGATCGACAGTTGCTGCAGACTTGCTTGCGATGGTGTTATAGCTGAAGAACCTATTATGAGCATACGGTCGAGGCACATATACCCATGAAACCAATTAGAAGCTCTACTAGACCTCCGCAAGGCAACAAATTTGCGGCATTAATGATGGATGTCTGGAAAACTGTAATTATTTTTATGAGAGTGCCAAATGTACCAAGTGAGACTAAAGCTAATAGCAGCAGAACGGTCCTAATGGAACCGCACAATCGTCTGGTGGACGTTTGCTCTACTTGTTTTTTTTTAGCAGTATTGCGACGAGTTAAACGCGAATGGGTTGCCGTAAATGGCAAGCTCGTGACGAAACAGAAGGGGATGCTATGAATAGAATGACTTCTGTTCCCTTTTGAAGCTAGGCTTTATTCCGCAATTATAATAAAAACCGTAAAAAAAAAAAAAAAAAAAAAAACCTTGGGAGATTCCATGTGAGAATTGGTAAGTAGTACCTTAGGTACCTATCTAACCTAAGGTATTAATATTTAAAGGACGGGCCGATTTAGATAATAGCGAAGCCCCGGACCATTCCGGATCCGCTGGACAAGATATCGGGTAAGTCCGAGTCCCGGTCGTAATATTCGGGACCGAGTAGACGCCCGAGATATTATCGATAAAGCTTATCAAATGGTTATCGCCATGAGAAACCACCTCCTGGACCCGAATCCGGACGGTACGGGCACGAAATTGATTTTTATTACTTGCTAGGTGGAACTATTCAAGCTCTAGAATGAAGAAGAATGTGTTTATGACCTGTTTTTCGCAAGAGGCACTTAAAAAAAATAAGAGTCATCCAACATGAAGTTCCTAGGACAAGGGACAGGATATACTATAACCCCCCCCACTCCCCCCCCCCCCTTCGCCGCCTGTGCTATCGGTCCAGGAAATATATTACCTTGAATAAATATTCTATCTCTCGTTAAGAAATAAATGTAAACAGAAAATTCCTATATTCGCCTTACTACAAAGTATTTCAAGGCGTCATGTCAACACCGATCCCTAACATCGCTATCATAGGCGCGGGGCCCGTAGGTCTCATGCTTGCTGCCATCTTACACCGCAACGGGATCCAAGCGAAGATATTCGAGCGCGAGACAAGCGCGACGGTCCGCGCCCAGGGCGGTACCTTGGACATCCACGCCGAGACCGGGCAGAGGGCTCTCGCTGCCGCCGGGTTGCTGCCCGCTTTCAAGAAGATATCGCGGCCGGAAGGCGAGGCCACGCGTGTTGTGAAGAAGGACGGTACCGTTCTGCTAGACGAGAACGAGCAGGAACGAGATCCGAGGGTTGGAGACGGGGAGGAAGAAGAGCAAGAAGAAGGGGGCGGAGAAGAAGGGGGCCGCGGGCGTCCGGAGATCGACCGTACCGACTTGAAGGACTTGCTCATCGCGGCGCTACCCCAGGATATGATCCGCTGGGGTAAAGGTATTTCGTCTGTGACGCCGGTGCCGGGGACGCAGCAGTGGAAGTTGGAATTCATCGGAAGCGATAGCACCACCACTAGCAGTGCTGACGACTCGGAATCCGGTCCCTACGACCTCGTTCTCGGCGCCGACGGCGCGTGGTCCCGCGTCCGGCCTCTGCTCACGGACGCCAAGCCGCTGTACTCGGGCGTCTCGGCATTGGACGTGTGGATCTCCCCGGCGCAGCTGGCGCAGCGGCCCGACGTGGCCGCGTTCATCGGCCGGGGGTCGTGCATGCTGCTCTCCGAAGACCGGTTCCTGTCGCTGCAGCGGCACGGCGACGGCAGTGCCCGGGCGTACGCCATGGTCCGGACGAGCAGGGAGGTCTGCGGCGCGGTGCCTGGCGCGGAGACGTTGCTGGGGCTGGATCGCGACGGCGGCGAGGGTGATGACAATGATGATGATGCGGCGGTGGTGGACTGGACGGACGCGAAGACGAGAGAGAGGTTCCTGGACAGGTATTTCGGCGATTACGCCCGGGAGGCGCGCGACGCCGTCCTGGCTATGACCCAGCAGCCTACGCTGCGCCCGCTGTACATGCTGCCCGTGGGCCACCGGTGGGAGCCGCGGCCGGGGGTGACGCTGCTGGGCGACGCGGCGCACGTGATGACGCCGTTCGCGGGCGTGGGGGTTAACGTGGGTATGATGGATGCGCTGGAGCTGGCGGAGGGGATAGTTGCCTACGTCAAGCGGCTAGGAGAAGGGGAAGGGGAAGGGGGAAAGGGGGATCTGGCGGAGATGCTGAGGGATTACGAGAACGGCATGTTCGAGCGCTCGCGGAAGGACGCCGCGCTGACGGCTAGGATGTTGGAGATCGAGTTTGGCGAGGGCGGGCCCGAGAAGGTGGTTGAAATTATGAGTGGCGGTGGGCCGTCGTCTTAGGTACGGGGGATGGGTGTCTTGCGAGTGCATTCATTGTATATTAAACCGGTAAAGATGGAATTTGAGGCATGAATATAAATCGAGCTTAGATCTTAGAATAAGTTGGTACCTTAAATAAAGACTTTCAGCAATATGAATATTTGGAAGACCAGTCTGGCTTAGATTGGCCGGGAACTTGATCATGTTGAGTGTTTAATCTAAAACAATGAGAAAGGAGACAATAGGGGTTGTTTTTTTAGCAGCTAGATCTGCTCTGCAACGAGAAATAGGATTCACAGGAATCCTAATTCTGATTTATTCATATAGTATGCGGATAACTATAGATCACGCCATGAGGTAGCTATCATCTTCAGGCCGAGATTATCTTTTCTTTGGCACTGATATAGGGGGCACCACTGGCGTCGTTAGTTTAGGCACGCAATAGCGTCTTTCGAGGCTTATCACGAGATTAGGGTAGCGGCATGCAAGCAGGGGAGTCTATAATAATGTAATACGAATACAGAGCTGAGGCGTACCAACCATCCGGGAGACTAGGGTGTGGTGAGAGTACATCTGACGCCTGCTTCTTTGAGAAGGTCTGTGCCAGTACTCCAAATATGAAAGCAGCTACAGATAGAGCTGATAGACTAAATGAGTCGAAAGAGCACCTCGGCAGCCAATGTCACGATACGAAGTTTACCCCATGGGGTATGTAGCTTGGCTGCGTTTTGGCCTCGGTCCGCTACCCCCGGGGTGAGTTTGGGTACTAGGACTATTAGGACTTTCTAGCCTCGTTGAAATTGATCGTGACGGTAACGAGTGGGCCTGATTAGTGGAAAAAAGCAATTCATATTGGGGTCCATGGATTTTGACCCCCCACATAGGAATGGGTATATAAGTATCGTGAAGCCTACGTTGTCACTACTGCGGGAGACCACTTCCTACGATTTTACGACAACCTACCAGATCACCATACTGCTGCCAAACCGACCATACGAACGCCCGACTCCATTCGTGCAACTTCAACTTTTAATGGATTATGCTAGCGAATATCTACGAAATGTTGCTACGTTTTGAAACAGCACGGCCGCCGCATCCACACGAGGGGATAATCCATCAATTAATTGTTACGATGCACCTTGGAGACTGATATTTACACGTCACGTGTAGAAGTTCGTACAAAACACGAGATAAGATGGAGTGAGCAGGCCGGATGCGGTGCTATGAAGTCGGACGGACATCATCTCGGTCGAGCAAGACATGTTTGGTCGCGATTCTTATGCCTTACTCCATAAGGATGAGATCGGCCTTGCCCTCACATTCCTGCTCCGCATTTCCCGTCCTGTCGGAAACTACTACTTATCGCACGTGGGCGTGAGACCGAATACACTACTACCATGCACATGGATAGGTATGATATACATACATCATCAGGGAGATTGAAGATCCGGTTCCGGCGCAATCAGTATGCATCAAGAAACAGGTCGTCGTTATCTTTACAAGCACAAGCACAAGCACGAGCACGTAACGAGCCCCGCTCGGTGTCGCTGGAGAAGCATCTAGATTGACCATCGGTCTATCGATCCACCGAATTTTCAAAATGTTGGTCCTATTCTATCGAGGGTAACCTAGCGAGAAAAATGGAGAGCGAAGAGGGGGAGAAGGAGAAGAGGAAGAGGAAGAGTAAGGGCAAGTTCTAACTTCATTCGCAAAAGCCTGGTAGTGGGACGCGGGGGATTAGGGGGGGACCAGCTGGCGATTGCTAATAATTGCTGCGAATCCTTCAGGTTCATGGCCGACATGGTTGGTTCAACCATGTTGGAAACGAAGCTTGCGATTCGCGAAATACCAGGTGGGCAAACTCCGCTATTCCCCAGAACTAAACAAGGGATTCCTCCCCAGCGCTAAGAAAGGTTTCCCCAAGCAGCCCCAGGCGGAGGTTTTGTTGTCCATCGTCTGGAGAAGGACTGTACCATTTAGTTAACTACAGAACTAAAAGTCTGGGCTCGTCGTTTTAGTTGTCTGAAGCAGACACTAGACTGTTATTGGTTAAGGTCTCTGGGGATCGAGTAACGAGAATGATTGGTTGTTTGGCAGGTTTACTTGCTCTTTTTGTATATCTCGGCCGGGACAACGTAAGGGGGTGGCAGCGGTGAAAAACTTGGCCTGCTTTCGTTCATCGACACGTGTGGTGCTCGATTTCTTATTTTGGCTATGCGTTGCCGACGTGCTTCTTACCGTCAAATGGAACCAAGAAAACTAGGTAACAGTTACGATCTAAAGTTTGCGTTTTGATAGTATACAAGACATTTTGTTAATATACAAATAGTTATTTGAAACATAGTAACTGTTAGTATTCTCGGTATACCCCATACAGCAGTAAGCATGCGCCCCTACTTACTAGGCAAATGAGAACCGTGCTGTCACTATAGACTGGGCTAGACTGTGTAAAGCGTGCCATTGCAGATAAAGAACCTACGTCATGTTCGCGCCTCAATCTTTGATCGCGTAGTTCTGGTATTCGAATTGGATTGAGGTAAAAAAGTGGTCTAGATCCGGGGGAAACAATCTAGAATGTTTATCTTCAAACGTTGACTACGACGTCGGGATTGTTCCACAGTGTCTTAAATGCCAGTACTAAATTGGCGAAAACGTTGTCGCTTCTCCTGAGATATATTATTGCTAGTATTTCCATTAAGCATTAAATATTTTGAATTAGTTGGCTTATTGCGGAACTTGAATTATTACATTACATGTTTTTCCCGTTCTTGGATATCAGAGTCCGGGTATTGGAGCTGCATGGAATTTTCGATCTTGAGATGCTCTATAGGTTAGGTACCTAAAGACTGGGAATTGTGGTAGGTACCTATCTAGCATAAGATCTCATTGTTCAGAGATTCTTTGATATGCTTGTGCTCATAGAGTTGTAGTGCATGATGATTTCCCCCACTGGTGAATGATACGCAGTGTAATTATCACATATCACATCACAAAGAAAGAATTCCAAGATTGGTGACAAATCTTAATTATCAATTATACATACTGCATGGCAAATGCAGATACATATATAGCGCAAGAGTAAGAGTATCTACGGTAGGTAAGCAGATAAGAGATGTAATCCCAAATATACGGCTTGCATTTGGCATAAGGTAAATTCTAGTATAGAAATAAACCGCTACTATGTATTGTACCTCGATCAAATATGACTACTAGCTCCCTCCGCACGGAAGGAGAAAAAAAAAGAAATGCCCCTATTGCCGTGAGGGGTAACGATATGCGCCACCATCCCCAGACGGAGCTGTACTTATTTTCCAGCTTGTAATGGAATAGCTCGTAGTGGGATAGCTCGAAGCGGATTAACGGACAAGTACTATTCTGACCTGCCTGCTTAATTCTAGTAGAGTAACATCTGGGTCTCGTTACATTGCACGTTTTCCAATGCGTACCTAACCTAACCTATTCATAAGTTGTCGTCACCCGATTGAGACATGACAGTCTAAGTATAGTACATCGTTCACACTTAATAATCTTGCTTTGAGAATAGTATATAGTACATCCCCTACAGTCTAATATCAAGATTTCCGTTTTTGTTTCTTGGACAAAATAAGCTGCATTGAATATTATGATTATCTGTGCCTTGCAAGGGTTAACGTGAGAAAATACCTTGGCTTTTAGAGAAGCCTCTTACACCACGCTCACCGAACAGCGGGTTTCAACGCTTCCATGTTCCCAGTTTAAACAACCAGCCTTAGCTTAGGTAGGAGGTAGTTAGGACTTTGTTTACTACAGTACGTATGTCGAATTACCTAAGGCGTATGCCATTGTAACAGTATATCGTAGCTTCGGGTTCGGCTGTGCTAAATTACACTACCCAGACGTTTGAAGATCTCTCACGTGGAGTATATTACCACCAAGTGAGAGGGTCAGGACCTCCAAAGATTGTTGGTTCGACTTTATTAAGTGGAAAAGGAGGGGAACCCCCTGGGGTAAAAGAGAGGATCGCTGGGGCACAAACAATAAAAAGTCTGTGAAATAATATGTGGGTAGGCTGAAGGGTTTCCCTCCAATGATACCCTCCAGTTTATCATCTCCCAGTATCTTTTCTTGGGGGTGGATCCAGTCCATCTTAAGCCTGAAAATTCCTGTTCATCACATTTCACCGAGCCGAGAAAAACGACAGAATAAATCGAACCGAAGATGACCAACTCACGTGGACTCCGCATACCTTGACTACCTCTTACTACGACTGAGCCAACAACCCACCGGACGAAGACCAAGACCTTGGCCATAAATTCCTATTCAGCGAACGATATCTATAATGGCGAGCAAGATAAAGGTACCTAACCTAACCTAACCTACATCATGGGGACAAATATCGCTTCACCAAGACTAAGACAGATCGAGACTAGTGAAGAGGGAATAGATTGCAAGAAAGCAGGGAAAGGAATTAGGAATTAGGAATGGCGGAGAAAAGATGGGGAAACTGGCGCGGCGTAAAATCTAGCAACGAGAATGTACACGAACTAGGTAGAATGAAGGATAAACTCCTTTGTTCTCTTTTTAATTTTAACCTACCTAGTTCCCCGCAGTGCCCGCACTCGTAAACAATATGGGGTTGAAGCCATCGTCGTCATTAGTAGGAGTCGTATGCTTAATTTAGTCCAGAAACGGTTGAACTTTTTTTTTTCTTTCCATTCTCCTTTGTTTGGAGTTCGCTTTCCCCTCATCATTTCGTCAGGTACACGATTTCCTTAGTCTCAAAGTCTCTTCAGCTTTGGGGGTGTATCGGTAACAATCTCAAACTGCCATTGACTTATACAAGTAGCTGGACTAGCTGAAATACAACGTAAAATACAAGGGACTTGTATAGTTCTAAGGTCAAGTTAAAACGTATCTTGTCGTACCGGAGAGGTACAGTGCGTTATCTTACAGAGCCTCATACCACGGTAAAAACAACAAGTATTTCTCACTGAGACATCCGCTTTCTACAGAAGGCAGATTCCATGTAAGACGGCTGAAAATTAGTCGTTTTATTGGTCTGTACTACCACACAATTCGCGATGACCAAGTCACACATAGCCTATCAGACGCCAGCAGGGCAAAATATGGCATAAACGAGCTCGAATTCGGAAGCTATGTCAGAGAAAAAGAAAGACAAAGACATGCTAGACGCCCCCAATAGCATGTGTCGGACAAGACCGAGTACATAGGTAGTATGCGGCGAAAGGCCAAGACATCGTCCCAAAGAGCAATGAGGGCTTACCCCCGTAGATTTTCTTTGCTCTATCACCTGATGCTGTGTTCACGGGAGGGAAAATGTCGTCGCTAAACGACCAATCCGTCTCTTGGATCGTACCCTCTCACACAAAATACGGCATACTCTCTCTTATTGTTACATATCCAGCCTGCTGCCGCTAACCGCTTCCGTCAGCAAACACCCTTGCCTTGTCTATAGGTACTATGTAGAATGGTCCATTCACAGACCCGCCATCGTGTACTGCCAAGATATACCCATGGTGGAGCTCGGGCATGGCATTTCGACCGTTTGGCACCCGCCTAGCCTCTTTGCCACGGCTTGATGGCAGGATTTTTCTTGCCATAGAACATACGTTAAGCTACCTCTGGATACCGGTACGCGGAATCCTCCCTGGCAGACTGGTACCTAGCAAGCCATCGCTAGCATCCTTCGCGTGTCCGCATCCTTGTTCCATGGATTATCCCGGCGCGCAACAATTCACCCCATGTGGTGGGGGGCCTTGTACATACAGTACCTAAGTATCTGTGCCTTGTATTCAGTATGGGGTCTCCGTATGGGGTTCTCGCGCGAGAGATGATGGTTGGCGATCGAAGATGCTGGGATTGGGCCTTTCGTTCTGCTTACGCCTCGCTCGGTCGGTGTTCTTTGTTGCCAATATAAGGCTCGGGTGATACCCTTCTTTAGTTTCTAGTCTTGCCACTTCTCGTGTCTGTCTTTCTCGAGCCCAGGACCAATTCATCCTCTCGTCTGCTGGTGGTGGCTTGTAGTCCCCTTCAACCATTGGAGATCTTACACCTACCGCCTGTCATCCCTCAGATTAAGCAGCCATGTCCGAGAAATCTCAAGCCGACGTGTAAGTGTTCCATTCGCCCGGCGAGTCACACATTGTCTAACTCGTGACGATAGTATCGAACCCAAGGGTGTCGAAGGACAGTACCTTGAACATGGTATCGAGGCCACTGAGCATGTTGACCTCAATACCAACCTTGAAGCAAAGTAAGTGTTTACCTAACTACTACAATCCGTGTACTGAGGTGCGACTAACATGTGGCCTCTCCTAACAGGATTAAGAACCCTCTCAAGGGAATTCCTTACGAGCAGCTGATGCGTGATGTCGAAGCCTTCGCGCATGAGAAGGGTCTCGAAGAGCACATCCCAATTCTACGCCGGGGCGCGCTCGTCGCCCAAAACCCTCTCGACTTCGAGGACCAGGGCGGCGAGGAAGCTCTTGACGAAGCTGAGAAGGAGGCTCTCCGGGCCGAAGTCACACACCGATGGCGCATGCCCGCCCGACTATTCTTAACTATCGCGACTTGTTCTATTGGCGCTGCCGTCCAGGGATGGGATCAGACCGGAACTAACGGTGCTAATATCTTCTTCCCCGAATACTACGGCATCAGTACCAATAGCACGAGGGACAGACTTGTAAGTTACATTCCTACGCGTCAACCCTATGTAATATACTGATCATTCGTAAAGTTGCTTGGTCTGATAAATTCTGGCCCTTATATCGGCTGTTCTTTCATTGGATGCTGGCTCTCGGACCCCATTAACAACTTAATCGGTCGTCGTGGTGTAATCTTTGTCTCTGCTCACTTCTGTCTCTGGCCTGTCATCGGTTCTGCATTCTGCCACACATGGGAACAGCAATTGGCTTGCCGTTTGCTAATGGGTATTGGTATGGGTATTAAGGCTTCAACTGGTTCGTCCTCCAATATCTAGATTCTCCAGGTCTCGTTGCTAACAAGTAATAGTTCCTGTTTACGCTGCCGAAAATGCTCCGGCTTCGATCCGAGGCGCTCTGGTCATGTCATGGCAAATGTGGACTGCTTTTGGTATCTTCCTCGGAACCGCCATCAACCTTGCCGTCTTCAACCACCCTCTCAACTGGCGACTGATGCTAGGCGCTCCCTTCATCCCAGCCGTTCCTCTCCTGTGCCTGATCTACCTCTGCCCCGAGTCGCCCCGTTGGTTAATGAAGAAGAACCGATACCCAGAAGCCTGGAACTCCCTGGTTAAGCTGCGGAACAACCCAATCCAGGTTGCCAGAGATATTTACTACATTCACGCTCAGCTCGCCATTGAGCATCAGATCGTCAGCCAGAGCAACTACGCCACTCGTTTCACGCAGCTCTTCACGATCCCCCGTGTGCGCCGCGCCACTATTGCCGCTTTCACCGTCATGATTGCGCAGCAGATGTGCGGTATCAACATCATCGCTTTCTACTCCACCACCGTCTTCGTCGACTCCGGATATAACCAATTCCAGGCCATGCTATGCTCGTTCGGTTTCGGTCTCGTCAACTGGCTTTTCGCATTCCCCGCCTTCTGGACTATCGACACTTTTGGACGACGATCTCTGCTCCTCTTCACTTTCCCCCAGATGATGTGGACTCTGCTTGCGGCCGGTCTGTGCACCCTGATGGAGCAAGGAACCGCGAGGACTGCGCTCGTCGCTCTTTTCGTCTTCTTGTTCGCCGCTTTCTACTCGCCCGGCGAAGGTCCTGTCCCCTTCACCTACAGTGCCGAAGTGTTCCCTCTATCTCACCGCGAGGTCGGTATGGGATTCGCCGTCGCCACTTGCTTCTTCTGGGCCGCTGTTCTCAGCATAACGTTCCCCTTCATCCTCGACAGGTTGCAGACCGTCGGCGCCTTCGGCCTCTACGCGGGTTTCAACCTCGCGGCGCTCATCATGATCTTCTTCCTCGTGCCCGAGACGAAGCAGCGCACCCTCGAGGAGCTCGACTACGTCTTCGCCGTCCCCAACCACAAGTTCGCCCATTACCAGGTGACTAAGGCGCTGCCTTACGGAATCAAGCGATGGCTTTTTTTCCAGCGCAGCGCTGTGCTAGAGCCCCTCTACCACCAGGACGACGAGGTTCGCACGGCCCCTGTCAGCGAGGGCAAGAAATCTTCCTCGTGAAGGAGGGTATAATGTTAGGGAAAAGGAGGCTGTACGCGGCGGATCCGTCGTACAAATGATAGTTAAAAAGAGTGAATTCACGTATCCAGGCTGGGGATATACAGCCGGGCACAGGCTCGTTTAGGTGCAAACTTTTACAAAATACCCCAATTTTATATTTTGAATTCTCATAGGGATTTCTTATATACCTCTCTATATTATTTCATTAACGAGCTGCGGTATCTAAGCGAAGCTTCTCTCATTTTTCTAAAGTGACTATGCGTGCATTTAATCAACACTGAATGAGTAGCATGAAACCCCTATATGTTTCTATAATTAGAAAATGGCGATCGGATCGTTGGCTTTGTAGGACATATCTAGCTAGGTACGCAGTCCTACGTTGATACAGAGTAACACTTAGTAAAGTAGTGTGCGTAGCCGCTGGCCGGCCTTAAGAAATGTAGATCTGGACACCATCCAAAATATCCACTCACTCTTCGGACGGAGTATCTACGTTACCCCCCGCCCATAACTGTCACCCTATCCACCTATTAAAGTAAAAGATCCTCGTTCCCAGTGTAAACCTGCTATTTGACAGTGTAATTCACCTATGAGGTTCTTACTGCAGGAACCACAGTATGAAGGAGAGCTTGTAGCATGAACGAAGCTAGCATAGCGTGCTTATCTCCCCTAGAAGTTACCAATTAACTCTACGACTTATATTTTAGCTTTTTGATGCTTGTTTTCCCACTTCTCTTTCAGGATCTTCGCACGTTCGCTATTCTTGGTAAAGCCTTCGTAAACAGCTGGCCATCCACCACCAACGGTTCGAATGTCGACAGGACGACTGGTTTTGACGTCCATATAAGTCACGGAACCTTTTACTTCGGCGACGATAGCTTGCTGCTTGAGCGAGAAGAGGGATGTTGTTCCACTGTTACGTGTCGGCTCTATTTTCTCTTGGCGGTAGGCTGCGATTAGCTGTGCATCTAGATTAGCAGGTGTATACAAGTGGCGGCGTCAAGACACTACTAACCGAGTCGGGATACTTGACTTGCCGTCGAATATCCAAGTTGTATCTCCTAATAACGGGGATAACCGTCTTAGCAGTAATCATGTCGTTGTACTCTTGCTCGCTGAGGAACTCGTCGTAGCTCTCCATAACGCGATAGAAGCATTGGCCGAAGAAGTGCATGTACTGCGAATGCATCATATGTCCGAAGGGGTCCTGGTCTTCGGCCCAGACAACTCCGCGTTCAACCATCGTTTTGGGCTCGTACCCCATAGCCTCGAGAGTGGAGATCGCCTGGCTTCGGAGAGACACGTATAAGTCTCCGGTCGGGTGGGGACCCGGAGCGCCGGCGGAGGAATAGGGTGACAGATATGCCGATTCGGCTAGTCGGGAACGGACGGAACGGGTACTATCCGCCATTATTAGGGAGATGCAATTTTTTTTTTTTTTTTACTTTTCTTTCCCCTTTATTTACGAAGAGATAAAGTAATGGTCTTTGAAGCCGATTGTTCCAATTGACCGATGTAATATTTACACCGTGTAACCGCCTGTAAGAACACTGATAGGAGACGGCTCGCCAATGAACTGAGTTGACGGCTTTATATACAAGGAATCCGTGCTGCTCTTACACTCATTAAACCCCGCTTATAAGTCTCGCTGCTGGACTACCTTTGCTAGGTGATGGATAGGTGCGTGCATAAGTCAACCAGGTATAAGAACACGAAGCACAAAAGCACCTAACCGAGGCATCCCAGCACGGCCTATTAAACATCGTCTGCAATGGCTAGATGCGACAATGCCGTGCATAGATCTAATTCGCACCTTCCAATGGTAATGCTTTAAATAAGACAAGTTTCGGTATCGGTTTGACTGTACCTAATTGTTCAACTCCGGTGTGGTGTATCGTATTACCAGTCACCACCTACTGTAAGTCTTCAGGGAGAGACTCTAGGAATTAGGGGATACACACTCCTGGGAGTTATCTACAGGGTGGTATAATCGTATAATATATTATGTTAGTAACGTCCTACCGTTGTACAAGAGGTTTCTTGAATCCGTAGCACTATTATAGATATTGTGTCATGACTAACTCTATGCACAGGCAGCTATGAAGGAAATCAAGGTTCCTCTACTTAGAATATATGGAAAAAAAAAATAACCCGACAGGTCTGCTACATTTACATGTGAGATGCATGACCTTCGTTCCTTTTAGGGGAAGAGTACCTAAGTTTATATCATGAGAGGAAGTCATCGTAAAGGAGGGACGTGATAAAGGGCCTTATAGACACCTAAGGTTACCAATACCTTGTAAACGTTAACTGAATATATTTGTCTACCAGGTAGATATGGCTATAGTGTCTTTGTAATGGTTCGAATCAATAACGCTTGAGCCGTTTCATATATTCTTTGAACCTATTCGGTACCTCTATCTTAGTTTCTACCCCTGATAGGTGTGTTATGTGGTGCATACCACCACGCGCATTTCTAACCATTCTCCATTCCAGCGCTTGCATGTCACCGTGTTAAGTGAGATACCTAGTACGTGTTTTGAACGCAGCAGGTGGAAAGTCATATAACCCAAACTCTTTGAAGCGATGGTTTCTTATCTCTAAGACCGAGGCACGGTGTATATATATCGGGTAGGCGGCTCTCACGTCGACCCAGGTGTTCGTATGTACCTAACTTATAGTTCTATATATAATTCTTCGAAGGCTTCTCAAAGTCTCATCCCGCCAACCATCCCAGCAACGCCTCGTGAAACCTGCCTGGTTCTTGGATCTGAGGCGCGTGTCCCAAGTTGGCAAACTCTATCAGATCTGCGTTTGGTATGGCGGCAGCGGCTTGTTTCCCCAGCACATCGTAGTGACCTATTTTAGCCTGCACTTCGGGTGGGCTCCATTGCTTGCCCAATGCCGTGTTATCTTTGCCGCCTATAACCAAAAGTGTCCGCGGCTTGAGCAAGCCAAACTCATATATCACAGGTGCGCTCAAGGCCATGTCCGTGACAAGTGCTTGGTCAAAAGCGAACGTAGTCGCCTCTCTTCCCTTGTAGATATTGACTAGCATTTTCACCCACACATCGTATGAGTCGTTCCAATGCCCAACGTAATACGTTGCTTGCTCATACTCCCGGATAGATGTGTAGTTGTTTGAAGACTCAAAGAAGTACAGCTCATCAATGGTCTTATAAGGCACGCCGAGGGCCTTCCAGTCTTCCAACCCAAGAGGATTTACCATAACAATATTCTCAACCATTTCAGGGAACATCAGACCGAAGCGCACGGATGTCATGCCTCCTAGAGAGTGGCCAATCACGGTCACATTCTCAATTTCCAACGCATGTAGTAGGTCCCTAGTGTTATATGAAAGCTGCTGTAGCGTGTATTGATAAGACTTCGGTTTCGAGGACTTGCAGAAGCCGACTTGATCCGGCAGGATAACCCTATAGCCCGTCTGGGCAAGCTGTCTAGCGGTCGCTTCCCAAGTCGGTGCGCAGAAATTCTTTCCGTGTAGACAGACGGCAACCTTCCCGTTCGGTTCAACGGTGGGCATAATATCCATGAATGCCATTTCGAGCTTTTGGTGTTGCGATGTGAACCTATACGTCTTCAGGGGAAATGGATACGTAAAATTCGAACCATTCAGCTCCCCCTCGGACGGCACACTTCTTATGAAACCTGCATCGTAAGCAACGGCCTGTCGAACTAGTTCGATATACCCGAAAAGGATCACTGCTATAATTCCGAAGGTCCTCATGTTGTTGGTGAAGCTTATTATCTATCTACCCTTAACGAGTAGCCGTGCATTGGGCCTTATGCGCTTTTAGATAAAGGGGCTACTGATACTAGCGTTCTCTACTTTCAACCCTTATTAGCCTACTTTGTAGCCAGTGTCGCGGCTATTAGCTTTGATGATACGACAAGAGGCGGCTGGTTAAATTTGGGAAGTATTCGTTCCGCTGAGCACATCGCTTTTTTGCGTTCTTTGTTGTACTTCGATAGCAGATAGTACGATTTTAACCCCTCACTATGAGATCAGCATTAGCGGGACTCGAGAACCATATTTCAGGTACCGAGCTTTGTCTATTTACCATGTATTCTTCATAATCTGTATACATGGCTAGAAATTGAGGTTATAGTCGGTGTAATGCATGGTCACTTATACGGAGCACCTCCCTCTTTTGCAAATGCGCGCAGCATGGCCTGGACCACTCCTACATTCGAACCTGTTGCTATGTTCAAAAGCTAAGAAATTCTCGAGGGAGCGTATGAGACTAAGTGGCTACCTACATATTATATAAATTTATATTTCTAATATAAGTTAAAAGAATTGATGCATTATAGCAAGTCAGTTCGAAGTTGCACTAAAGTTCGTTGATGCGATAGTCCAGTTGATGGTTGCGAGCAAAATTATCTAGCCACCACCATAGCCGCCGATTACCTAACTTACTGTATACAATATCGATAATGAATGGACATATATTGACCTTGGTTTGGGTAGAGTTGCAGCGGAGATATCGCGTAGTGGGGATGCCAGCTTCCACATTGCGTTATTCCTCCGATGTAACCATAGATCTCTAAAGACTGAGAAATCGCCGGGGTGTAGCTTTATTTATATAGGTAAGGTATAAAAATATTAGCCTACGCGGTGCTAGACACCATATCTGAATAGTACCTAATGAAAATGCCGGACTCTGAAAATGTTGATATGTGAAAATAATGCCGTATTATAACTTATGACAAGCTCTCTTCTTCAAGGCTCGGTGGTTCCCTTAATAATCAAATCCGTTTTTAGGGCATCATTGCTACTGATGAGAAAGAGGTTGGAACCCGACGATTTGGGGTATTCTAAGCAGTGAGGAGACGGGTTTTATATGTGCGGGTGTGAGCCTATTGAATCTGGCGTTGCCGCCTGACTTTGTGGCGTTGTTGTTTATCTTGCTATCATCTCAATTCTGCTGCTGTTCCTCGCCTTGCTAGCTAACTCTTACTTAATCTTAAGTTGTTAATAATAATTCCCACAATACCACCGCAGAGTTCAAGAAATGTCCGCTCTAGTATATACTGGCATGTTATATACCCCGTTAAGCAAATCAGATATCAGGGTGCTTACGGTCGAAACCCACGATGAGGGGTCGATCAGTTGCTATCTTCATACAGTCACACTTTCCGTAGAATTGAAGTTTACGGCGCTGTCATACGTTTGGGGAGACCAGAGCGTCAAGGAAGTGATAAAGATAAATGGACATCCATTTCCCATTGGGGCCAACTTATGGAAGGCACTGAAAGACATATCGCAAATAGATTGGTTTACGAAAGACTCTTACCTGTGGATAGATGCGGTGTGTATCAACCAAGATGACAATGGTGAGAAATCCGAACAAATACCGAAGATGGCACAGATTTACAGTTTGGCTTCTCGGGTTATTGCTTCAATTGTTCCGACAGACGTCCTAACCGAAGACAACTTTAAGTTATTGTCAGGCATGGCTCAAACTGTTAAGTCCGCCCGAGACGGTGGGATTAGTCCGGTGGAATTGAGGAAGTCTTCGGACGAAAGGTTCGGAGGAGACAGTTGGAGGCAGCGGCCCTACGACTTACTGATGGAACTAACTACACTGCCGTGGTTCTCAAGGGTTTGGGTGAGGCAAGAAGTCGCACTGGCGGCCAAATGGCCTATAATCCTAATAGGCAAATATCAAATGCACATGGATGACCTATGCGATCTATGGCGTACAGTCTCCAACGAAAGGGAAATTTTTGATCAACCTCGGCTCAGGGCAATGGATAATATACGGACGATGATTCACTATACTGGAATCGTGCTGAAGGAGATTGGGCAGGCGCTTGATACTGCCGGGCTTCTCCTCCACGTAATCCTATCGTATGGGGTAGCTCAAGCAACACTCCCCCACGATCAAATATATGGTCTGCTTGGTCAGGTTTACGCCTTAATCGAAAAGACCAATAATCCACCGCTCCCTAGCCAGCTGGACCCGGACTACACCAGACCGTTCGAGAAGGTCTACCATGAGTTTACAGTATATATCCTAGAACATACTAGAGACCTAAGACTAATAGAAACTGTATATAGAGAGCTCGGAGGAGTCCCATCATGGGTTCCGGATCTTCGACATTTGGGATCGGATATGACTTGGAACATGCCAAAGGTCAAAGCCAACTTGAAGTTCTCGGAGTCTAGAAACGAGTTGCAAGTAGAAGGTATCAGAACCAGCGTACTTCAAACGTCTCTGCCTTGCATGCGTAATGCCAGTCTATGTCTGTTAGATCTAAGAGATCGAGTCAATGATTTTGAGGAAAGAATCATTAAACCATCTGCAGAAATTACGAATACACCTCTAGAAACGGTGCGAGAGAAATGGTTTGATAACATATCAAAGAATAATAAACGCGAAGAAGAGGAGCTGTACCAAAAGATGCTGGCAATCATTGCCGAACCGCCAGATATCGAGTTGTCCGATTACTGTCTCACGATGGACGACGCTTCGGTTCGCTTCTTGGTATTCCTGGATAATATTTACGTCCTCTTTCAGAATGGGAATTTTGGCGTGTGTAATAGACGAGACGCTGTTGTGGAAAAAGGCGATATACTGTGCTTGTTTAAAGGTGCCCACCACCCTTGGGTCCTTCGCCCTGTTGCCGGCGGATATGTGTTTGTTGCATCATGTACGTTGACCGACTACATGTACAGCAAGGATATAAGAGAGGAGTGGTTCTTTAACCAGAGCCAGTGCGAGGTCTTTAATATACTGTAGGTAGTTCTTGATACAGAATTTGAACAGCAATACAAACGAGTGTGCTTCTCCATTATGGCTGTTGTAAAAGCCCATTGTGAAGGGCTACGTACCTAGGAGGTAGGTAGCTTAACGCGGTTTGGAAGACGTAATACAGTCGAATACTCCTGTCTTTACTCCGGGACATCATGAAATGGCGCACACTAAGCTATCACACCGACGTGGCGGTGCTTTGACTACGTCTTATTTCGCATTCGTTCGAGTTGGAATTACTCCAAAAATGACCACTCTCGCTCCATTCCGAGGTAGGATCGTGAGAGGTCTCTGAAACTGTAGAACCTACTTGATAGGCAGGGTTAGACCGGCAATGAGAAATCGACGTGTTCGAGATCATCGGGTAAGCGCTGGGACGAAAATCGCCATAGAACACTTCAACGTTAGGACGTGTTTATAAATCATTTTCGAGGTGTATATACCTACCTACCTATCATAGTAATGCCAAATTACGCGTACAGTTATGATCCAGCGAAACCCCACGTTTTGGTCTCTTCTCTTGGCGCGAAGGTGGTGGTTATTCGCCTGCCTTCTAGCTCTAAAGTTTTTCGCCGATAATCGAACGGCAGACGATATTTACAATCGGGAGATAAAGATATTGGCGTACTGTATCTTGGGAATTGTCTTCTCGAATCACTAAGTGAGACCCGGCAGACTCAATACCGAGGAATTTACAGCTGAGTAACTGGATTGTAATATCAAATCAACCCATCCCTTGACCAATAAACCGGCGGAGTTAAATGAGAATACTACCATAGACTCGTACCTTAGGGACACACCTATCTATATCGATTGCCCGTTTGAGAACCCGATATCTTTACTATTGAACGTTGTAGTAATACTAGCACCTGGCACTGTAACGAAATCTTCCGTTTTGGGCAATTCATATCATGACCATTGCCCGGCAGAGTAAACCTATTGAACGCAAGCATTATATAACAAGAAGTCCATATAGAATTTTATAATGTAGAAGAGCGTTGGCAAGTTTATGAGTATGAGTATTAACGACAGCGATCATGTCCGAGATGATTCCACTTTCAGAGAGTAATGTTGTTGACATAGAGATTCCTTGCATTGTATTTTTTGCCCTAACCCCCGTATTTTTAGCTATTCGGATGATATCCAGACTCAAAACAGGCTCCGGGATTGGATGGGATGATGGAACAATCATGGTCTCTTGGGTATGGTGAATTCAAGTCCGACGAAACTACCTAATGTCTGCAGTGGTTGACTCTTTCGTCCTCGAAGACTTTCGCGCAGACCGTCTCGGGACTTTTGATAGCTGCCTGCGAGCACGGATTCGGACAGCATATATATAACCTCTCAGCCCAAGATCAAATTTTCGCACTCAAGGTATTGTGCACGCGCGAGTGTCAATGGCTCATTCGATGAAGACAATAAGCTAACGGCGCCGAAAAGCTCTACTACATCGCACAAGCATTCTACAAGCTTACCTTAAACCTCACCAAGGCGTCTATTCTCTTATTATATCTCCGCATTTTCCTCCAGCGATGGTTCAGAATCTCTTGTTACATCTTGCTCGGCATAATTTTATGTTATATGCTAGCGACCACTGCTGCATCTATATGGCAGTGTACCCCCATCAGCCGAGCCTGGGATAAATCAGTGCCAGGAACATGCATCAGTATCACCAGCAACTGGTATTCGAACGCGGGCTTCTCGATTGCTACGGATATTGCAATCCTTGTGCTTCCCATGCAACCCATCTTCCGGTCTAATCTACCGACGAAACAGAAGTGGGCGTTGGTGATCGTGTTCACTTTGGGGATCTTGTAAGTTAAAAAAAGTTTCTTCTTCCCACCACCGGGTAGCCATAGATGAAAAAAAAAGGAGGGCCTACGAGGAGGCTGACTTAGTTTGTCAGTGTAACTATAACGAGTATCCAACGTATGCAGACAATTGACTTCTCGTCCACGAGCACCGATCCTACTTACGACATCGCCTCTTCGACTTGGACAGTCATCGAAGAAAACCTTGCCATCATATGTGCGTGTCTTCCTATGTGTAAGGGGCCACTCAACTGGCTGTTCCCATCGGTATTCATGGGAAGTTCAAGGCGCACCTCAACTAGTTACAAGCCGAGCCACCCGACGAATAATTCCAGTCGAAATTATTGGGCACCAATCCGTGGCGATAGTGAGATGCTGAGCACGCGCGTAACCTCTGTCCAAGGGCGTAAGCCGACCGAGGGCAGCAATAGTCGGGAGTACATGTTGGAAGAGACCGGATCACTAGATCGCAAGAGCGATGTGGAGGATGTTCGGGGTATTCGGAAAGTTATCCAATATGATATCACAGTACATACATCCGGTGATGGTAAAGAGACAGTCTGAGTACTGGAGGGCATGAAAAAGGGTTGAAGACCTGAGTACCTAGGTACGTACCGGATATACATATTATATGAAGTACCTCCAGTAATAAATATCTTAATGAAACTAATGAAGTTAATGAAGCGTACATGCAGTAAACACGAATTATACAAATAACATAGTACCTAACCCCGTAGGTACCTACGTACTAGGTTAGGTAAACTTGATGATGACGTAGCCGTAAAACGTACCTAGGTATGTATCGAGGTACCTAAGGCCTCGGCTTTTTTCGATTATGGAAAGCTTCAATTGGTTTTGAGAAAACCAACATCTTTTCGCCATTGCACATCGCTGCTTGTACATCACTACCCAAGATGAAGCCCATATGCACCTCACAGACCGGTCTCCTACTAAAACCACTAATCTCGCGTCAATGCCTATATTCTAGTCGCCTGCGTTTCAACTCGCACCAATGCCGCACGTTCCTACGACCTCAGCGATCATCTCATCGAGCCGTTGAAAGCCTCAATGTTAGTCGCATGCGCACAGAATCCCACGATTACTACGTCCGACGGCGAACTTTTCTTCTATGTGGAGCAGTTTCGGGTTTAGTCGGTATCTGCTATACCTCGTATCTTCTCTATCAAAGGCTTCACAAACCGACAAAATTCGATAGCGGGCTACCGGATAAACTCGATCCTTTCAACACCGAAGCTGGTTCGAAGCGCAAGACAGTTATCCATGACGCAGATGGCGTAGAACTCGTACCTACGGGTAATAGCACCGTCCCTACATTTCCGCGAGTACTCGAAGTTTCGCTTGGTGCTGAAGAAGGCCAAGAGCTGGTCAACGGGGTAGAGTATACCTTAGTCGGGCTGGGCGTGAGAACCGTGAGCTTCTTAGGTATTCAAGTGTATATGGTAGGATATTACATCGCGACGCAGGATATCGCTGCGTTGCAAGCGCGCTTGGTCAGAGAAATAAATCCCATCGCAACAACGTTAGTGCCGAGCGAAAAGGACGAATTACGAAAGGTGCTGTTAGATCCGGAGCGGGGAGAAAAGCTGTGGAACGACATACTGCAGGAAGTGCGACCGCGCTGCCTATTCAGAGTCGTGCCGGTAAGAGATACTGACTTCCATCACTTAAGAGATGGATTTGTGCGCGCCATCTCGGCGAAGTTGCAGGGTAATAACCCCGAATTTGGCGACGAAAACTTCGCCGAGGCTATGAAGGAGTTCCGAGGTTTATTCAACCGAGGCAAGGTGCCGAAGGGGCGGGAGATGCTGCTGGTTCGCGACGCGGCTGGGCGGTTGACCATCGTTTTCGACGATGGAAAGACCGGCATGGATATAATTGGACGCGTCTCCGACGAACGAGTATCCCGACTGCTGTGGCTTAACTACCTAGCCGGCAGCAAGGTTGCATCCGAGCCGGCGAGGAAGAATATTGTCGATGGTATCATGGAGTTTGTGGAGAGACCAGTGGGCACGGTCGCCACACAGGTGATATGACGCAAATGCCGAAATCATCTACAACTGGCGAAATGTACAGTTTGGGCCTTGAGCAGATGTGCATTGATGTATATTACCCAGCATGCCACTTACTACTGTATCATCTAGCGATAACATCATGGTTGATCATGGTCGTGCCAATTTGCCCATTTTTTGCTACCCATCTACCTCTCGGCAATGCAAGATTGGTTCCGGATGATTCAAAAGTATGCTACCCGGCCGGGTATACTAAGGTAGGCTAAAGATCCGAATGCGACGATATCTTATTCACATCCTCGATCCGAGTTGTCTAATCATGTTTCGTCGTGAACAAAACGCAACCCCGTTGTTTACCGGGGCCGGTGGTTATATGATAGACATGGCAGATCCGGACACGGATGAGGAGAAAAAAAATAAACTTGAAGCACACTAGACGTCGGACCTGATATTAATCAGGAACCGATACGGCTGTATTTTATGTAAATTAAATGGTCACGTTGTACTGAGTGTAAATGCAACCACCTGTTGCTGAAACCAGGGAAATTCAAAAGGCTACCTGGTCAGCTATGTCGTTCGAACACACCTGTTCCTTTTCTATTGCACCTCTCTCAATGACAACACCATCCAGACCACCCAGACACACTTCGAACGACCCTCCCGAACTCTCGGCTAGCCTCGAGCGTGGTCGATTCAGTCAGAAACGCTCGATGGTCACCCTATCCTGCGTTCTCAGTCGACAGGATGTTGGATACAGCGAGTATCATTGCTGTGATCCTCGTCCCTATCGTGCTGATCGCTATCATGCTAGCGATGTGGTACTGCCCCTTCCGGCACGTGAGCCACTCTCATCCTGGCGAACCAGCTCCCAGCACTGCTACAGCGACCGTCGAAAGCATACCCCTCCCATCTGAGACTCCCTCGTACGAGCTCGAAGCGCATCAATCCTTTGGACTTTCGAGAATTTCTGAGGAGGGAGGTCCCGTGAGCCACTCGACCGTTCATAGGTGACGAGTTTTCACTCCAACGCCTAAAAAGTTTCTCGGGCTCCTTGGTATATGAGTTTAGAGGCGCGGCGTATTTACTCAGCGCAATGACGCTGTCAGCCCTTTGGACTTGGAAATACTATTTACGTTCTTGTCCAGTAAGAAGTTTAGTCAACGGAATATATGCTCATTAGTACATATGCTAATATCTCTCCTAGAGACCCCCTTTATGCCACTACAAGACTGTGGGCAGTGAAGCTCAACGAAATGGGTTTCAATATTTTTGATTTTCCGCGGCTATGGGACCGCATATCAATGTTATTTAAAATTACTTGCCGATTTTACATTCAAGCGTAACGATACTTTGATAATTGTTAGGTCGGCTTATATGCTGCACCGAAATACGTTAAGACTAAGGGTACACGCGATAGGGGGGGATATGGTATGGTAGTTCTATAGGTCGTTAACCTTTCTACTTCACCTGGAACCCAATGTTTTGTCAAAACCTGGGAAGAGAATAGATTGGCTCATTTGAACATTGCTGGTGAATCAAATCGCACCAACCCTTACGGAAACACCGTCCTTCAATATAGCATTCCCATGGTCTATAAATTAAGCGTTTCGACACACGAGGAACATACTCCCCTAAGGTTGAAAAAGGGGCTGTACAACGTCGAATTTGACTGACGACTTTACTAGTATGGGAGACTCTTAACATAACTAGGCTCTATTGCGTCCGAAAATCTCTATTATGTATCTATTGCGGAAGAAAACCGGCCTGCATTGCTTGCTTGTTTGCGCTGATTCCATGCCTCGAAAAGAATATATCTCTATGCATACTTCCAGGTATCGAACGTGATGAACTCCTCCCCGCAAAAAAGGTCTTGGCTCTAAAGTCTTAGCTCTCTCTATAAAGACTCGACTTGACGACTTGTAGTGCCAATTTGTAGCCCAACTCGCAGACCTTCACATTTTCGACTGAGGCTTATTAGGTAGTCACAAAGCGCCAACCTCGGCAAGCAGGCTCTTTAGTTCGCCAGATTTAGCTTGCAGGTCGGAGTTGCCACCGATATGCTTCTTCCCGATCCAGATGTTGGGGACAGTGCGCTGGCCCGAAATGTCCTCGAGCGCATCTTGGATAGCGGAACCATCTGGTATCTTGTCCAGCTCTACCACCTTGTACTTGGCATCTAGACTGTCGAGAAGGCGCTTCGAGGCGCTGCAGTAAGGGCAATAGGATTTGGAGAATACCGCTACAAAGGGGAAGTTTTTGTTAGTGGGATTAAATATCTAACGTATAATTGCGCAAAGGGGCCGATAAAGGGTTGTAGCTAGTTTAACCAACCGGTAAAATAAATCTAGGTAAAATACTCACCGACGGCATTCTCGTTGATAATGTCCTGAGCTTTCGTCTTAGCGTCGGCCATGGTTTGCGACGATACGGATTTAGAGAACAATCGACGGACGAGAAACATCAAAGTTCTTAAATCAATGTTGCTGCTGTGAATTAGCGGGGAAGTGTCGGGGGTTTTTATAAGTAGTTGTTTTTATTGTGGCACGCAATCAAAGACGTGACGGATGGATAACTTGGATAACTGGCAAAATTGTATTTGTCAACCTCCGATTTCGTCATAAGGGTTGCGGGTGCCGTCGGTGGAATCTGTGCCGCGGACTCGGGACGGGAATTATTACAGGTTAGATAAGATAAGGTACGTACTTTGAAATCTTGAATAGGTACCTAGGTACTTATGACAGCAGCAGAGGAACTTTGGCCGCAAAGGCAAATACAACTTGAGATAAACTAGGTACATAAGGTACACGACATGTGTACGGGATTATTTGAGATCGATTCATGTAGCCCGGAGCCAACAAAATATAGATTCCGGAATTTGACAATCGTAGAAAAAAAAAGAAGTACTTATTCTTATAAGTTTTGGTGAATAAGTACATGCTCGATTTTGGACCGTTAGAAAATGACGCAATTTCACACCCAACAGGTCTGCATGTGTATTTTGTACGAGGGGGAATGGAACTTCAACGACCTAACATCGAGGTATCTAGCATCCAAGACGTAAAGGTGGGGTAACCTGCCTTACATGTACATTGTCTGTAATCCGTACCCAACAGCCCAGTTAGCCTAACAGCTACCTATTAGGCATAGTAAAAATCCATCCAATACTGTGCTAGGAAAACAGCTTACATAAAAAACCACCTTGTTAACCCCGCTTAACCTAAAAATGGCCTAACTTGTGGGTTTTCTCCCCGAGACGATCCACGGCCAGCCTTGTCTTCGTTTCAACCACTGAAGCTCCGACACCTGGCTCATCACCAATTGGTAATTTTTCTTTTTCTTTTTTTTTTAATAAAAAAAAAAGACATTTACCTACCCAATGAGTCAAACTTTTCTTTCACATACCAACTTGTACTTGTACATATCTTCCAGTACCGATATAGGCCGTTTCTTTAAGCAATTGGCAAAGAGTTCTCGACCTTTATCGCGCATGCGCGTTGTCTGGCAGTTTTATTATTAGTCTGTCCAATAAGAGACAAAATTTCCTAGACGATTCTTTTAACAACAAGATCCATAATCTAAGCTTTCCCTCGAATCGTATGACCTTCCCTAGCAGCCTATCGTGGGTTCCTCTTTGACCGAACTTCTCCGTTCAGCAGCAACAACAATACATCATCGATCCGGTAAATAGTCGAACCTCGTACCGCATACATACATCAGAAAATAAGGGAAACTAAACTGTACAAACTTTCTACACATGTTACCTACATATACACTTCTACACTTCTAGAGCCCAGTATAGTGTCCAAAGCTTACCTACCCTCAGCCCGTAGAGTCGTAACGGCAAATCGGTTTGCTTTATTTAGGCGGCGGCGGCCCATAAGGCAGTAAGACTTATGCACAAGTCCTAGAAACATACGTATGCACCGCTCCGTTCCGATATTACTTGCATCCAGTCAAACGGATACTTAAAAGATTGTCTGCCGCAAGTCTCGGTACGAGTGGCTAGCGGGCTAGATCTGCAACTCTGCAGCTGCTTCTCCGCAAGTTAAAATAAAGGAACGTCGCTAGGTGTCCTCCGGGGCAACCTAGCTCTTCAAAGTGGCTTCGAATCAGGTAATCTTGGCATCCGCTAGTGCCATCAAGAACCTTACGACATTATTACCACCCGCATTACAGAATTACGTCCAAACAACAGTCGACCACCTTTCCGAAGCTGTCGCCGGATCCAGCGAGTACCTTGCTTCTCAGGGAGTTTCATATTCAACATTAGCCTACACCTCTGCCGTTCTTGCGCTACCTTTGATGATGGTATCCCGATTTTGGGGCAGCAGCCGCAACAACATATCGCCATATGCTTCACAGGCCGATACGCAGGACGTGCCTCACGTCACTGAGGACGACTTTAGCTATATCACGTCTGAAGACCTTGAAAATACTTTACCTCCTCCCTCGCGAGCCTATGACCCTCAAAGTCGACGGGCCCCGCCTTCTTCTAGCCTCGACGATGACGTTCTCCTGATCAAGAATAAAGGTATCACCTATCCTGTGCATTTCCCTGCATATTCCATCGGGGATGGAAAACTACATGTGCGAGATGTCCGGGATCGCGTGGGGTTGGTCATGGATCTTAGCGACCGCCAGACTCGTCGCATGAAGATGCTCTATAAGGGTCGTCATCTTACAGAGCCGGACGTCCCCATTCGCGACTATGGCGTGAAGAACAACAGCGAGTTGCTAGTAGTAGTGCCTGAAGGGAGATCGAGCGATGTGGATGGTGAGACCAGCAATGAAGAAGTCGTCACCACGGAGGATCCACAGAAGTCTAAGAAGGCCAAGAAGAATAAGGGTCGAAAGAAGAAGAAGGACCGTATCGATCCCCGCGAAAGTACAGCAAATCTTGAAGTGCCCGGGCATAGGGCAGACCGAGAGGGCAGGAAGCCATCCCCGGATCCGTCTATCCACCCATCTAGAGTACCTTCTCCCGCAGTGCCTCCTGGACCTACAGACAAGCTACAAGCAATCAGAAACCATTTTGATACGAAGCTCTTGCCACTTTGCCAGGCTTTTATGGATAAACCGCCGAGGGAGCAGAAGAAGTTGGTAGATGAGCATCGGAAACTGAGCGAGACGATCATGCAGCATGTGTTACTGAAACTAGACGAGGTAGATACGGGAGGCGACCCTGACGTCAGAGCAAAGAGGAGGGAGCTTGTGAAGTATGTCCAGGATGTATTGAAGGATATCGACGAGCGTCTACCTCTGTCCATTAGGCCTAAGGATAGATGATCTATTAGGTAGATCCATCTTCATCTACCTGCTGGCTTTAGAACTATGTTATAACTACTTGTTATACGTTCATGGATTCCCCTCTACCTAGGATGGGATGGTGGTTTGAGCTATTTCATTACGATAGCTCCTCATAGTTGCTATTCCTCACATATAATTTGATGAGTAGATACTTAGACTCACTGACCAAGTTAGGTAGTCATCCATTTGACTCATTGCCACAAGGCGGGTCATCGTTATTATTAGTGTTTACTCGAGGGGTGTTTACATGTGGTACCATACCTAGATGGTCATGACTCACGAGGAGAAGTGGGAAATTCAAACAAGCCGGATTATCTGGACGATGGCGAGATATATCGGTACTTGGGTATATAGAGAAATACCTACCTACCTAACCTAAGGTAGGTAGCTGTAGCTGAAGAATATACAACTAGATGGCCAGCGGTAAACATTATTAGAATAGAATGAAGTGATCGTGAGAAAATCGCAACTCTTCCCGAACCTTTCGTGTTATCGCAGGTACATACGATTGTACATACGTAGGTAGCTGCATAAACGTTCTACATACATACCTAAGGTATCTTAGGTACCTGATAAGCGGGCTGGCCGGATAAGCAGAAATGGGGTCTTGGTCATATGCAAAGTGGATACCTTTTCAACAGGCACCAGCTGGAATTGTTCTCAATTTTGCGGAGGAAATAATTGTTAAGGATGGCAGAATGGCAGAATGGTTAGGTTATGCAAGCCCTAGGCACATTAGGCGATAAACCCTCTCGCTTCCCGCTAGAGCCCCACCATGCCAAAAATGGATTAGCGGAGTTCTCCCACTGTGCACACTCTGCGATTGTGTGCCCGATAATTTTCATCATCCGCTGATGAACATTTCAACATTTGCGACCCTCAACAACAACCGCGACTACTAACCAACAACAGCGAGGGATAATCCGATAGGTCTCAGACGCATTTTCACTTTGCGCTCTTGAGCTATTTAATTCCTCCTTCCTTCTCTTCTTTCCACATTCATTTTCTTCACCCCACGAACCAACCGTGGTGACGATCCGGAAAGATGTCGTCCTTCGAGTCTGTTGTGAGTAGCTGCCGACAATATTACCCATCCACCATTATCTTTTTTGTCTTCTTCTTTTTTGCCGGGGAGCGTTGGGAGCTTGGTCACCTGCCAGTTGGCTTACATTGCGAATTGGAATATTTACAAATATTTACATGAAACGTTATTCCAATTATAAATCGAGGCTAATACGGGTTTCTCTCTTTTTTAGGTCGTCATTGATGGCAAGGGTCACCTTCTTGGTCGACTCGCCAGTATCGTCGCGAAGCAGCTCCTCAGCGGTCAGAAGATCGTCGTGGTCCGTTCCGAGGCCCTAAACATCTCGGGCGAATTCTTCCGCGCGAAGCGTACGTAGCCTCTCTCTACTCTTTTTTTTGATCGTACCAATCCTTCGGCAATTTGTTGGGACCGCGTCGAACTCGAAAAAAGAACTTGGAGATTATCTGATCAGTGGATTCGTGTTATACATACATGGAATTTAGCAGCTAACGTGAGAAACAGTCAAGTACCATGCCTACCTTCGCAAGATGACCCGATACAACCCTACCCGAGGTGGTATGTTCGAACTCTCCTATGCAGCGATTCTAGATATATCGCAACTCAAGTTTCGACGAGTACGAAATGTCTAACATAATTCACCAGGTCCCTTCCACTTCCGTGCCCCGTCAAGGATCTTCTACAAGGCCGTCCGCGGCATGATTCCCCACAAGACTGCCCGAGGCGCCGCCGCGCTGGAACGACTTAAGGTCTTCGAGGGTGTCCCTCCCCCCTACGACAAGCAGAAGAAGATGGTTGTTCCCCAGGCCCTACGTGTTCTCCGGCTACAGCCCGGCCGAAAGTTCTGCGCTGTTGGCCGTCTAAGCCACGAAGTTGGCTGGAAGTACCAGAATGTTGTTGAGAGGTACGTCGAAAACGAACCAACCCCGCCAGACCACGCTTTCTGCGTAATTTCACAGGAACAAGTTCCATTACTACGTGGTACAGGTTATACTGACTCATCCATGACAGACTCGAGGAGCGCAGAAAGGCAAAGGGTGCCGCATACTACGAGCGCAAGAAGCTGGCGGAGCGACAACTGTCGGAGGCCAAGAAGAACGCCAACGTCGACAGCAAGACGGCCGAGGCTCTCAAGTCTTACGGCTACTAATTGTTCCTTCATCCTTCTGCATTTTTTTCCGGGTAACCAAAACAAACAAATACCAGGACAACTCCGTCTCATTGCAACTAGATCCGGCGTGTGGGTTAGGGAAACTTGATCATCATATTTGCTCTTGTCATACTACGCAATTCGAGGAAAGGCAGGTGCGGTCATAGGGTTGGGAAAATGTTCACCGGCTCTGGTCCTGTGTTCTACGAATTCGTCGTCTAGACACCGAATGAGAAAAACGAACTCAAGAAAGAAAACCCTCTCGCGATCCCGGTCGACTATGCGTCTCATGTGATATCTTTTGAGTTAGCCACGCCGTTAGTTGCACTAATCATGTTGAGGTAGACAACCTCGAGAAGAAGCAAGCTCTTCCCCTTCTAACTTAGATCTGTCCGTTCCAATTCCCCGTCCGAACATATCGATATGTTCCTATTTCACGACTTGTAAACGAGATTTAAAGGTGGCATTCAACGGGAGTCTGGGTGAATATGCCGTAGTTTACTTACCGACACCTGGATACACATGTCCCGTAACCCCGAATGCCTCGGCTTGTTTAGTGCTTACCTAAGGTAAGGTTTCCATCGAAACAAGGTCCACCTTGCTCATCCACCTAGCAATACATAATAGTGACTTAAGTATAAAGAAAGGAACTAACCCATCCAAGTGTTGAGACAACTCCTTAATTTGTAAATTAGTTCAGGATCTGCCCTATCTGAATTAACCTCACTTCGTTGTTCGAGATATTAGTTCCCCCAAGATCAACATCAACCCTATACCTATCCCTAGCCCCAAATCATAAGAGCGCGATACCTGTTTCATCCACTTGAAGACTATTGAATTTGTAGATATAATATAATATGTCTATCATCACAACTCTATTCTAAAGCTTTCGGAAGGAGAGCTAAGATCCTGGCATAGGTACCCAAGGTATAGTGAAGCTCTACATTAGGTACATAGGTAGACGTGGGAATTCTCCCGTCATGCCGGGTTAGCATAGCTTGGCCATTAGGAGTCGCCGTTTAGTCAGCATCGAACTTGCTATTAAACCTTTAACCATGAGTACCTACCTACCTGTAGGTAGGTATCTTTTATATTTAATCTCAAACCTATGAGTTTCCAAATACGTGTTGCAAGCAAGTTCTCTAATCTCCCTTGACATGTCTGTATTATCAATAGAAGTACTAATACTGCATCACTACCTAAGTTATAGCTACCTACATAGCAATATGGACACAACGTTACTGGTCTGTTCCGCCAAAAAGCTAAATATCAACTATTTAACGAGAGAAGCTTGAGCCAGTTACATATACTCGGCCCGGTATAGTTCACTTAGGTATCCCGGGGGTTCATCCTGTATCTTGACCTGTTGGCCTGAATGGTTCATCTCAGGTCTTAGGTGGCATTCCCGAAAGCTCATCGGGTACCAATTTCTCTTTAACGTAGTTGGGTTGTCAGAGAGATCCCGTGATGTATGTCGTGCGTAGAGTGAATACTAGAGACAGCAGCATATGTAGAGTAGCAAGTGTGTAGTGTAGAGTAGTGGTCTATGAGCGCTTGCCCCTTATATACACCTATTCTAGTGGGCCTTATCTCCCAATCCGTCCTAGTGCCCCATACCCCTGACACAGTGTCTATCAGAAGATGATTGTAATTGTTGTTGTTTATTAAGGTTACTGTACACGATTCATCTAGTAGGATAAGTATATATACTTTGTGTCACGTGACAGTGTCAGAGGATCATTGTAATTGTTGTTGATGTTGTAAAGTTACTGTACAAGATCCACTGATGGTAGAAGTATATATACATTATGTCATGTGACACACGGCTTCTCTTTGAGTCTTAAGCTGCTACCAGTGTTGCTTGTAAAAGACGGTGATAAGCTTGGCGTTAATGTAGGGTGTCAACTGTTGCGACGCTGAAGTTTGTTTAGTCCCTCGCGAGCTGGACGCAGCGGTAGTGCTTCGTTGAGTCTGGGATGATAAGAGAGGAGGTATATCAGATTCCGCACGGATGTACTGGAGAGAGGCCCATGGGGGAGGCAAGATATCGTGGGGAAATACCCAATGGTTGAAAACTGGCACAATAGGGTATGGTTCTATAATACGTTAGTTAACAGAGTATTTAGTCTTTTGAAATGCATCCTTACCGTTCGGGTACGCAGAAACGTGAAAGAAGTACATGCTTCCGCGAAGGATATTATCCGAAGGTGGGTTAAGAGGCCGAGCAGTCGGGTCTGAAGATGTGGCAAGGTAAGCCTCGGGCTGCCTCGACTGGATCAGTTGTTGGCTCCGTTGGAGTATTGCTAGCCGTTTGTGGAGTCTTAAGGCCAACGTTGCCAGCGATAATACAGCAAGCATAATAGATGAAGTAATAATTGACGCCGCCATCGTCCAAAGGAAAGAAACGTGATGGTGGATGGTAAGTGTCAGGGTATCCGGGATGATATATATTGATAACATTTAGAACTTCGTCTGCAGAATCTTGGTCTTCAGGTTGTGTTATAGGAGCCTATAGCGGTGCTTTGAACGGCATGATGAAAAATGACAAGTACGCGCGTGGTGGAGAGATGAACATGGATTGTGTATTAGTATGAGGTTATTCAAAGTGGAGTAATAATTAGGTGCTGAAGCAAGGAGCAATAAATAAGATCACCGCCATAGGATGTCTTCGAAATATATAGTAAATATTGCATGGGTGATGAGAGAAGTTATGGCGGTAAATGTACAAAGTATTACAAAGTAAAAAGTAAAAAGTCAAAGTCATAGAAGTAGGTATAACTAAGTCCTACATGACGTAAGGCAGTAACGATACTTCCAAAAGGGCTACCTATTTCCAAAGCGAGCGCTCTTTCCAAATTTCCATTAGGCAGCAGCAACAGGTTGCCAATAAGCCCACTATCAAAAAGAAAGTACTTCCATGGCAACCTGGAACCAAGGCAGGAGCAAAAAAAGTATATTAGGTACAGCGTGAATCTTTTTTTCAGTTTTTCAGTTTTTCTTTTTCTTTTAACCGATCGATACCTTCCCAACTACTAATTACCCTCCCTTCTATATTACCTAGGTCCTTTACACATATCACTTTACACTTCTAACCTTAAGTCCATGTACCTCAGTGGCCAAGGTGTCTACCTATTTTACCTTTACTCCCACAATTATATTTCTACCTAAACCTTCTACAGCAACCAACCTCTACGTTTTTAAATGCGCAACCATACTTTTTTACTTGTTTATCACAAGAAGCCTTGACGGCAGAGCCGGATGCATTCTCGACCCCGTTCCCTTGCTTAGTCTCCCTCGGTAGAAAGTCCATGAGTTTCGACTTTAGTAATTCCCTCCGCAAATTCGGCCGAGGCATCCTAAACTAAGTCGGATTCCGTACTCGGCTCGAAGCTCAGATCAAGCAGATTAACGAATTCGTATCCTTTGTCAATGGAGGTTGTCCCCAGAATGTCACCTTCTACGTCAAGGATGCAGTAGAAACCTGCTGCGCAGAGACATTTGGCATGTACGATCATTGCAAGTGTGATAGGGGGCTCTGGAAGGAATTTAAGCAAGATTTTGAAGGATTGAATTCGCCTTCAGAAGGGTTCCAAAGGACATAGCCACCTGGAGGACGGGAGTCGAGACTCCCTCGACGTATCAACCCTACCTACTAAATACGAAGGTTGGACAAATTCACAACGGCAAATGGAAGCTTGTCGCCTAACATAAAAGAAACTAAGATTGGGAGTAACAATTTAAATCCAGTGGCAACCGTTTACGAAACTTACTATTAAATTGCTAAAAACACGCCGTTGAGGCAAAGAAGCAAACTTAATTAATCACCTCTTAAAACAAAATCAGTAAGTTTAACTCCGAAACATTTCATGAATACAGACTATTTCTATATCATTTTTTTTGTTAACTACAATCGAGTCTAAATATACTAACTCAACCCAGACCACCACAACTGTAGCAACCAACGTTTATTATGGCTATGAATTGAGTGCCTACCTCTTTACTATACCTAGGTACCTAACATTACAACACTTACCACCTACCTTAAATACAACTCATACATTCTATTCTAACATCAGCAACCTTTATCACTTTCTTAGTCGCCATGACATCAGCCTCATTTTGACCAGACGCGCAACTCGTCAATGCACAGTTGACGAGCGCGGAGCTACAATCCTGAAGGTCCATGTCAAACAGTCTCAGAAGATATTAACGGCGAATCCCGTGTGCTTATTGCATGATATAATCTGTATTACGTTAATCCCCAGCGGGCTAAGCTGGGCATTTACGACGAACTCAACATTAACTATGACGCAGACTAATAACGTTTATAATTGACGAAGCGGAAGAAATTCGCAGTTATTGGAAGTCTGATATCTGCTAGAAGAACGACAAGCTATAGATAAGCTTCTCGTTCTTCTCGTTCCTCTAGCAGATATCTTCTGATTCTAGCCATCGTGCCGTACGTATCGTGTCTTTGAAGCTTCTTGACTTTCCCGCCCTTTACTATCGATTCAGCACCGGCTCTTTATATCGAGGGGCTGGTAACGAATACCACCTAGATAAATAATAAGGGGAAGAACCGATCCACACCCAACAACACGAGGCGGTTTCAATATATCAAGGGGAGCGGATAGGTCTTTATTGCATCAGGAAAGCTAGGCTACTATCCCACTTCTAGGCTGCTGTGTGGCTATCCCTGGTTGGATATGCATTAATTTGTTCCTTTTCCTCCATCTTTTCTTCAAACGACGCAATCTTGACAACTATTTCGAGGTGTAGTAATGGGCCACTCGCAAGGGACTGCAGGGAAAGAGGGCTATCACGAAGCCAGTCTACATGTTCGTCCAATCTCCCTGGAACGGAGTAAACTCGTGAGGTAGCATGGTGCCGTTTATTATGTTGGCCCTATGATATCGCATTAGCGAACACGTAAGAAGGTCATCGTTGGCACGACGGTAATTCGCCTTTTTAATCCTTCGAGGTATCGTGAGATGCTGTGTTCAAGGTCAAAGATCGTTGCATCAGTTTGCCAGATGGCTTGCTATTCATAGGTAAACCGCCAGTTAGCCCTTGATCTTTCACAAAATTCAACACGAGAGAACAGATCTCACAGGAACCTAATGTCTAACAAAAGAGGGGGCGAAACCGGAGACAGACGGGGAAGGAAGGGTGAAGGAAAAGAATAACATGAGCAAGAATACAATACGGCGATACTTACGCGATATTTGGTGTCAAAGAACTGCGAGACAAAGTTGCCAGATCGCTCAGCAAGAAGAATACGCTTGACCAAGTTATTCAAGCAACTAACGATGCGCATAGCAATGACAATATGACGAGGTTTCATGACTTGCTCCGACTCTCGAGTGTTCATTGAGTTGTAGCAGATGGCCTTGTAGAGATGCTGTCGAATGGTAGCCGCTTTCATGAGACTGAGGCTAAGATCGAAGGGTCTGGGAAAGCTTCTAGCCCAGTCGGCATAGACGTTGCGAAGGTCTTTTCCCGTGAGAACCATGTAACCATTTATTCCAGTTCTCAACAGCTTTACGGCATGGGCAAGGGCGGCGTGGGGCGTGGGCTCGAGAACTTGGTTGAAGCGGTTGAGTGCCTGGGCATTGACAACTATACAATCGTCAGGAATTATGATGGCTTCATGGCCTGTTGGATACCACCACGGAGCAGCGGGATTAAGAGTGCTGTGAGCTGAGACTGAGAGCTCCATGGTGGTGAAGTAGGAGCTGTTGTGGTGAAATGATGAGGCTGGAGAATAAGTAGCGGAGGAGTGTCAAAGGGATAAAGGATAGAAACGCTTGACGGTGGGACAAAGATTGTAGTTTGGGGTTTCTTGGTGTTGTCTTGCGACAGTTCTTCAATTGCTAAGGGTTCAACTTGTTGCAATATTATTGCGACAAGGTGCCTCGCGATGCTTGGCGGTGACTGGAGTGGTGTGGTGTGGTGTGGTGTGCAATTTTGCCGTTGTCTTCACAGCATATCACAAAGAATTCAAATGAACTTATCAAAGAAACAGGTAGTTAGCTAGCCATGACACATTTAAATAATGCATTACCAGGTCTAATGACATTTTCACGCGTCTTTGACCTGATCTGGGCCAAAGGGGGGCTTACCACTGTGCTAGAAGGAAAGTAGATGCATGTAGAACTGGTCCCTAACTTGTATGATAGTGACGGCTGGTTAAAAAAGGGGTAATTCGTTGTGTATTTTGAGAAACTTCATCCAAGGGTTCGTTTATTGATGGGATGCTTCTGGATACTTTGTTGTAAAGATGCGTTTGCGAAGATGTAGGTGTAGTTGTTGAGAACTTGGGGCGGCGACCGTGTGACGGGATTAAATACATGAGGAAAATTTAGATTGGCTACTTCCTCAAGCGGTAACGACATGGCAAGGACTTTCCTTAATTATTCGTACCTTAGGTAGGTACCTACCTAGCTTATCCATTATGTGATTTCTTAGGAAGTTGCTGTTGAGAACTCCGGCCGCCGTTGGATGTATTGGCAGCTACGTTGGCCGGCTGGAGTGGAGCACCTGGTCCGGCAACTGCCTTGGATACCTCGGAAGGATCTAGCTAGCCCAAGGTAGGTGCAGTTTACCACTTTAGGTATTGTATTACATTGTATTGTACCAGACAGATAAAAAAGGCTGGACGTTAGAAAGAACGCTAGGAAGCTTGATTGCACTCGTAGGTAATGGGCGCGACGCTAATAAATTGAATACGGAGCCACCATCCAATAAACGCATTCAAGGTACGCAGTAAAGGTTTTTTTTTTTTAGGGGCTCAGGGGTTTTGGTCTACAAAACATTTCATACCAATACAATTCGTTATCTCGTCATTCATATCTAACTGGAATCTAGACAGGCCTATATCGTTCACATTTAAGATCTATACGATCCCTCCATTAGCATTGAGCATGGTTCCCGTGCACCAGCCTGCTTCTGGGCTACATAATAAACTAACCAACCCCGCGATCTCGTGATCATATGCTGGTCGTCCACCTAGCTTTTTCCCCAGCTCTTGCACCTCGGGGGTATCCAACGAACGCACTGTTCCCAACGAAGTGACGGGGTTCCACTTGGCGAGCGTCTGCCTGACCTCCTCGGAAGCACCGCTGTACATGTCCGTTATCACTGCGCCGGGGCAGATACTATTAACCGTGGCACGTTCCGCCAGTTCGCGGCTCAGGACGCACGCTGTTGCTTCCAACGCGCCTTTGGTACCGGCGTATACCGTCATGCCTTCCACACCGACCGCGCTGCTTATACTGGACACCATGATGATCCGACCGGACCTGTCCGTGGGCAAGAGCGGCAGGAACTCCTGCGTCAGCACGATCGGACCAAGGACGTTGACGGTGTACAACGTGTGGAAGTCGGCCTCGGTCACGCCCTCGAACGGCCCGAAGTAGCCGAGCGCGGCATTGTGGATGAGGATGTCGAGCTGCGCTTTGCCGGTCTCGGGGTTGGTGAAGTGCGTCTTGGCTGCATTGACGAGCTTCTTGCACTCTTCCCTCTTGCCGATGTCAGCCCTGACCTAGACGGCTTTCACGCCGTGGGCCGTCTGCAGCTCGTGGCACAGATCCGCGGCTGCTTGGTCGGATTTCGCCGTCGCGTGGTTCACGATGATGTTGCAGCCTTTGCTGGCAAGATTGTGCACGATCGCTGCACCGATGCCTGCATATGTCATGTCAGATGACAGATCCCGACTGCGTTTAAGAAAGCTAGGAGGTACTTACCTCTCGCCGAACTAGTGACAAGGGCTAATTTTCCATCGTAAATCCGGGGGCTGCTAGCCTGAGGTGATACCATTTTTGAGAAATGGGGAAATGATTTGATATTATAGGTGTGCTGGTTAACAGGGCTCGTTGGTTGGTTGTTCTATGGAGCGTGTGCATAGGCGGAGGGGCTCAAGTTCTTTATACCATCCAAACGGCACGCTAAATTGCCTACTACCTACCTACCTGGTATTTTGCAACAATGCCTGCCGTTGCCTACTAAAGACGTGATCCTTTCCATTAGGCACTGGGGATTATTTGCGTCGGCTCGGAGTTATTGGAGCTGGTTGTTGGAATGATGGCGCCCCCTTGATCGTATGTGGCGTTACCTAACCCACAAGATGTAGAAGCTATTGGCGCCCATGCATCTGGCACCATGCGCCATACATTCTATGATCTGCTGATAAGAACATCTCAAAGATCAAGACATACGTCTGTATTACCTGATCTAGCTGGAGAAAAAGGGGCCCGCAGATCGGGAGACGCCCTCGTCACTCTGTATCGCCGAACAAGCCCTACCGATAGGTAGACAAGCACCGGTGACATACCGTGACATACCGTGGCGCATCGGACGACAGCCGAAGTGAGCCTTGCGCGAATAGGCGACGCAGCCCGAATCGATTTGTGGGATAAGTGTATCTTCCCAATGCCTGAAGATGGTACCTATTAGCGAGTCGGAGACTTCTCCGACCAGCCCTGTGGCTGCTACCCCCACTAATAGCGGCAGCGAAGCAAGTAGTACAAAGGGAGATATTCCGTGTCATCTTAGAGGTACTAGCAAGCGTGCATCAGCGAAGTTGTGCCCCCTCATACTCGTGGCTTGTTAGTCTAGCTTCAACATGTTGGTATCACGACAGCCGTACATCGCATGCTCTTTATGCGGGCTGATGTTTTTTTTAGGTAGCATCGTCTAAAGACCCGACCGATGGCATCTGGTATTCATAGTCCAAACTGCCTCAGCTCTCATCTTCGCATGCTCGCTCCGCTTCGTGTCGAAGACGTCTCGATAGCTGATGAAAAACGGCGAAGAGGAGCGGGAGCTCGAGAGACTACACAGCACAAAGTCAGACCCAAATAGTGCTCTTGCTCGCGCCGAGGACCCTCTCTAAGGGTTATATCTACATCTTTACAACCCCACACCTGCGCAAACGAGCTATCTGTGGAATTCTACTGTAGGTTATAAAGCAAGGCTCTGAGTATAATAGCCATTTCTAATCTAATGCCTATCCTAATAGGCGATCTTATATTTGGTACAACTCTTCAACTTGGGTTGAGTTGTGTCAGGAGTCTCACCTGAGACTCCTTGGGAACAAAGGAGTTGTTTTGTATATACCTTAGGTAGATTTGAATCCAAAGTTATTGTGAGCGTGCCACTCATGAGACACGGACGTGACTCTTCTGCTCTTATTGAGTGTTGAGTGATTGTTTGTTAAAATTTTTTTTTTCTCTTTACATACCTACAATACACACACTCTTGTCAGTTATTGTAGTTAGAGTTCCTTGCGGAACAATGAAGTTGTTTTCCTACCTCATGCTCTGCGACGTGACAGTATGATATTAATTCTCCTTAAAAGTCTCTTCCACTCTGCTCTTTACCTATCAACTATGATGTTACCACTGCTCTGTTGCCTACCTAGTTCAGATGACTTAAAAGGGTTATATGCCTCCAAGCAGCTAGGAGTCCACTGCTAAACTCCTATTCTATGATGACAACAATGTTCAGAACTTTATGCAATGTTTCACTGAAGTTAATAGCATAGATCCTGAAGCTCCTGTTGACTGCGAATTATCTAGCGCTATTCTGGGTAGCAGATTTATATATCTAAATTGAGAATTAGATACATCAGGCTTTAAATGTACCATAACGTCACGGTCAGGAGTCAAAAAGTTCTCTTACTCCGCCAGGCAACTGGATGACTCCTTCGCCAGCTCAGTATTCTAGTCAAGGTCTTTTTACGACATGTAAAGAAGCCCCAGAACCCACCGCAAGGCCCCTAATGTTCCAAGCTCCCCATAACCTCGCCCTCAATCAAAAGTATCCACCGGTTTCTTAACAGGTACGTATGGCGCTTCTATCACAGTTCGGGACTGGAAGGCAAGTTGATCTGCTATAAGTATTCCAGAAATAAACAAATACTCTTCCGTCAAAACTTCGGTTCGATGTCGTCGGAAAATCTCGAATTAGAACCCGTGGGCACAATAGTTGAGAGAGAGGCACTCGAGAACGCTAAATTTTATATCGATCAAGGTACCTGGCTCGGCCTCCTCATCGTGGAGTTTGCTCCTTTACCAGAAAATGATGTAAAGCGAATCGACTATTTACTTAAACGGATTCCCGAGCTGCAAGCTGATCTTGACGCTGCTAAATTGTTTAGCACCAACTGGCAGATCGATGATTACAAACGACAACTGGCTAACCTTGAGGACGTAGCAAAGTACAAGAAGGATCGAAATGAGCTCCTCAACATAACAGGGAGGGGATAATTAGGGGACGGAGATCTGGGAGATGTATGGTCCTTGGAGTGGTGGAAAAGACTGACGTTACATCTTATTCAGTCTGAGAAAGAACTCATCTACCAAGAAGGCTATCAGCTGATAGCCTTAGGGCCCAATGAGCCGCGATGAGTTCATTCTAGTTTGAGATTTGATTGATTTTGATGAGCGGCATATCTCATACTCTTTTTTTTTGGGTTAGCGGTCGTAACAATGTTGCTACCTTATGTTCGGGGCGTCACCCCTTTCCTAATATATATATATATATATATATCTAAATTCTCCCCTTTATTTATTCGTGCACGGGTGATAACTTACTATCATTTAAAACTGAAGTGTAGCCACCTGAATCCTGACAGACACACCGCTGAGCCAAAAGCGTATTCTTAATAGCACAAGTGCTATTACAGTCTATCTGACCATGAGTGGTATTACCACCTCATAAATCCTTTATCGCTGCGGTAAGAGCTTCAAAAGTAACTTGATATCATTTATGCAAGCCTTATCATACAGTGACCTACCAGTCTTATCCGCACACCCCACTATAGCCTCACCAAAATACACCAACTTTACAAAGTGGTTATAATACCAAAATAAATAGTAAAAATATAGAACTTATTGAAATATAGAATTCTATGAAGGTCTTACAGATTTGTATTTAAAATTAAAAGTTTCATATTTTTACAATTTATTTTGATATTATAAGTTACGGCAGGCGCAGGCCTACCATACATTGGTGGTGATCACGTGGCCCGTGCGCTTACAGCGTGACTATTTGAATCCCTTACGGATTCCCCACCACTCTTAGATTTACCTTTCTCTCTTTAATTCAATTATCGGCAAACCTCAATTTGAGACCTCACGGTCAAGCAGCCCTCTGTAAGATTAGCCGTAACATTATAACCACTTTGTAAAGTTGATATGTTTTGGTGAGGCTATAGTGGGGTGTGCGGATAAGACTGGTAAGTTATTGTAGGTGAGTAACTCACACGTTACTTTACTACGTCTTTGATGTGATATAAAGTAAGGCGAATTGATTAAGCCCCGTTCTCTAATCCTACGCGAAGCTAGAACGGTCATAGAAGAGGGCGGATGTTAATTTCAGAGCACTATGTACATATCTTAAGTCAGAGAAGTACTATGAAGCGAGTCGTTACTGAAGTCAGTTAGTCAAGATACACCTTCGCTAAGGGCAAGAACACGCTCGGAAACGACGATATCGTCCAGAAATTCCCCGGGTACCCGATCGAGCACGCTCCTGCGCAACACCGGCGCCCGGTTCGCCATCATGTTCGGGGAAACGTATTGGTACTTTGTCGGACGTCACGAGGTCGCTGATCGCTGCGGCCAGGCGCACGTTGGCGTGTCATGGACTACACTATGGTCGATACGTCATCCTCTGAGCCAATTGTATCCACACCACTTCGAACCTTGTCCAGTCGCAAACGAAGAAAACTTATTTTGGCACGGACTTCGTTTGCGGACTTGTCGAAGGGTGGCGACTGTTCGAAGACGATCGCACCCACGCGTTTCATTCCCGCGGCGCAATGTAAAAACGAGGCTCAAGGTGTCGGGGTTCCGATCAGTTGAAACTGGTCGGTTGGATCTAGTGAGGAGAGTAAAATATTAGGTACGTATCATAGCGGCATCACCAACTACTAACCCAACCCTCGAGTGCCGAGGTCAATGAATCTGTTTGACATGTCTCGCAGCCACGAGGGGAATGAAGAGGCCGTTCGGGCTATTGACGATGGTTACGTTTTCCTATCTCGTCACGTTTAGCGGTGCTTAGATGGTATGATACATGGGTAGGTACCTAATAGATAGATGATTGAGAATGATGGATATAAAAGTCGAGCGCTATGTTTGGATAGAAATGTCATAGGTATTTGGTAAGAAAATGAGAATTAAAAAAAGAATGTTGTGAGATTGGAGCCTATAAACCCCTAAATTTACTGATCAGAAACCATTTGTCCCATAAGCCGCGCCTATAATAATACGCTGGGTGCCTCCTAACTCAAGGTACCGATCTGTTATTCGGAAAACTCTCCGTGTAGTAGCTGTAACATTGAGAATGTCCTAATCATTCGTAACCAGACTTCAAAGAAAACTGCGAGTACCTAAAGTACAATACATCGATTTCCTGGCGGCGATTCGTTGGTTGGTTGGTTGGTTGGCTTCGCCCTGTATGCGCCGACCCCAGGGGTAAATATTATGCAATTGCCAAAATAGGCAATCTCGCCATTGCAACGCGAGCGTCCATTGGCCGCCTTATAGATGGTACCACAAATCCGAAAACTCCCAAAATTGTATCCGCCTTTTCCACCTACAAGATAATTCCACGAGTTAATACATATTTCCAACACAGACATATCTACAGATAAGCGGGCGCTTGTCGACCTCACTAGGAGGAGCGGTCCATGCACCGTTGATCTAGCAACCATCATCCTTCTAAATGTCGTTCTGTATATGGTCACCACTCCACACCCTCGAGATCTTCAGCCCCGTAGTCCTCGAGCATGTTCAGGTCGGGACAGTCGTTATCGTTGTTTACCCCGTCGGTACTAGATGAAGACTGGTCCGCATCGGAATTGTCGATCCGCAATTCACTACGTAGCGGGGACGGTAAACCGCGTGCCAGTCCAGGATATTGGCCGTGACCCTCCCGTTCGCGGCTTTCGTTCCACCTCTTGTGTAGGCTGTATAGTTGTTTATTGTGTGCCTTGTTCCACTTCAAGTTCGCATCCATGCAATAGAAGAATATTTTTGCCTCCTTATACATCTTCTGAGCAAGTATATTCAGTTGGGCGACGTAGACTTCCCAGCTGATTTGGGTTTCATCGTTAATGAGGTACTGGATTTCTGAAAACTTCCCCTGGAAGCTAAAATGTTGAATAACGGCATTGGCGCAACTTTTGATGATGTCGCCATGAAGCGACGTATTTCCCTCTTCAAGAAGCGCATTGATAATCGGGTCGCCTGCAAGTTTTGACGGGACCCCATTATGCTTCTGCCAGAAATTTACCACAGGTGTGGCATTTATTAGAAAAGCTTTTACCGCTGCTACGAAACGTGCTTCACGTTCTATGTGGTCCGGACCCTCCTCAGTTGAGGACGAAGACTCTCCCGAGCGCTTAACCGGTCTTACAAGTTTTCTTATCAGTTCTCGAGATGAAGGAGCAAGACGGTGTTGGGGCATCTCTGCCGAAATGGGTGATGTAGTAGAAGTATGTGAAGAAGTACGGCTGTTCGAAGACCAGTGCTTCCTCACTCTTGATTGGATCGCTTGGACTCTCTGTGGTGTAGTCTTAGGGTAGAATTGTAGTCGTGCCATTGTTAATCTTACTTGCGCCTGTACTTTTTTCGCTTGGGAAGATGACGATTCTAAGTTGTTGCTGTCCATTTCGGCGATTTCTTGTACAGGTGGGTGGGCAAAAATTTGGAAGCTGGATCCTGAAGAGTTGCCTGCTGCCGGTTGGAAAGTCGAGAAAGTCGAGACAATCGGAAAGCCCAGTCCTTTTACTAGCAATGGCAACTGTGACTTTGCATTTGCGACGTAGATTTAGAATACGCCTTACGCGTCTGTAAATCGGCAGGTCAATTAACAAAAGTCCAATTGTGGATGTAATAATGGATACAGACAGATAGGAATGTTGCTTTTTGGTAAGAATACGACTTAATCGTGATCTCGAGAAGCAAAAGAACTGCGGACAGGTGATCGTTTCTCAAACGCGATATGATAGATATTCACCAAAATGAATCGATAAGAGGACGAATGGACCAATTCTTTAAGAGGTAGGAAAGGGGATAGAAATATAAGGGATGTGAATGGAACGAACACCTGGACAAAATAACGGAAGTGCGACGGCGGAAAGAATGGTGGAAAGGACGGTAGGTAGGTACAGTGCCTTACCTAAGGCAACCAAAACAAAATACGAGTATTAGGTGGAACTGTTGTCAAGTTCATCGTAAGTAAGTTTTACGCAGGTTAGACCAAGGAGTCATCTAAGGCTGTCGTGTCCGTAATGAACTATATCTTATTGTACTAACTGTCTGATAGTACTGGCTATTCCACCACCACCCCCCCTAGAACATATGCCTATGATGCCGTAACTTATACAGTTAGGTTGTTTCTTCACAAAAGTGCCTAAAATTGTGTTTTGTACTTACCTACGATACCTAGGTAGACTTCTACCCTTAGGTACCTCAGTATGAGGTAGGTACCTAACCTTAGGCATTGTACTTTACGTATCTAAGTTAAATTACCTGCGGCTTGACCGTCTCTCTCACACTGGTTTTATCCCACTACTTGTGAAAGTTACATATTGCATAATACCTTTACACCCATTGTGCCTTCCTGTAGCTTCTATAAACTATTATTAAGGTAGGTAGTAACCAACTGTGATATTTAAGGCTGCAAATATTTCATTGGTTCTCCTTTCTACCTACGTAGGTACCTGGTACATATTTCCCTAAAGCTACCTAGACCTAACCTACCTTGCCATCAAGTACGAGAAGTCTATAGCATAGGTATGTCCCGCTCATATCAACAAATCAAAGCTCAACACCCCTTAGAATATACCATCCATCTTCAGAATATTTTAAGAGATCCAACCAGTTGAACCATTAGAAGCGCGTATACTGTAGCCTTATTACATTTGAAGATATGAGGTACTGCAGCTTCAATCATTACAACCCATATTCCTAAGTTTTTCACCAGTACTTCACCAGTACTTCACCAAGACTATCATCATCGAGTTGACCAATACATAACCTACCCGGTTTAAATACATATCCTCGTATAAATACAGGTAAAGAAGAACGAAAGCTTAGAGTCTTCGAGGCCGATAGAAATTCAACCCTCCTTGGATTTATGGTAGTTGACTAATACAGAAGTAGATAAACTCTTTTCTTATATAAGGCGATCAGACACTTCCAGTATAGTGTCATGGCTGCGTCTAGATACCTCTGATAGCGCTAATAAATGACAGGGATTATCATCCTTCAACAAGAAATTTAAGCTTAACTCGTGATGTTACGCGCCGTCGGGGTGATTGTCCATCCGTCATTCCCACCTTAAACTGCGTTTCGAGTACTCGTGATATACAAAGACGCAGTAATTTCACAACTTTATTTCTTCCAAACTACTTCCTATTCTGAATGTGCTATCCCTCAATAGAGTAAGCGTATCATTGCGATGGATGCAGAAAGATTAAAGCAGCTAGAGCAAGCAGAAGAAGAATTACGTGTGAGTATCGAGCGCTGCAATTAGATCACCGACATATCGTGGTGTAACATTTTATAGAGATCATGACTAATATAAATTTTAGCGACGGCGTGAACGCGGTAAGCTCGCGCAGCGCGCGTTTCGGAAGCGCCAGAATAATACTACACGGGATAAACATGACGAAACCCGGAGATTAAAAGAAGCCATCTCAAAAATTGTCCGCGTTGCTCGACATGACGATCGTCCCGAGCTGGTCGAAGCGATCCGCGAAGCAGCTGAAATGACTGGCTTAGACAAACAGGCTATTGCTAAACTCTACGATGATGAGGAGGGCAATCAAACAAAACGCACTGCAAAGACGTCTCAACCTTCACCAGACTCGAGGCATCTTTTACCAGCGGAAAGAGTGCCATCAACGGAATTGAGTACTAACGCACAAGAGATACCCCTGAGCATCGGTACCCGGGCAGGTTGGATTTTAAAAACTCAGGACCCTGTCCCGCTTGGAAGAGGCAGTGACGTAAGGCGGACGAGCACAAGATTGGACTACGGGATGTGGTTTGATACATCTCGATTCATAAGGGCAGAGCAACCTCCTTCAGACATCATCCCGTATCTCGGTAAAGGGAAGAACACCTTCGCCGGTCGATTATTCTGGACTTGTGGGGAGCTTCTGCTAGAACAATGCCGAAGAGTTGAGATGTATGAGCATACAAACCCGAAGCTAGCTGGTGAAGCCAAACGGGTAATCTGGAATATGGTTCAACACTCGAAACCCCTACATAACATTCGATATATTATAGCTTTGGCGGAAGCACGTCGGGAATTCCGCGACCGCGGATACATCGAAGGGAATAACCCCGCCGGGGAAATCGATTCGGCATTCATTTTACAGGAACAAGTCATGAATGACTATAAAGCAAAGGGAAAGGACGTCGCTGTATGGTTATCTCCGATGGCTGTGGAGCTGGAACTTCGCAAATGCCTAAGCCCCGAATCATCCAGGCAACTCGATCGTGTCCTGCAATTAGGGGATTCCAACCAAGTGGAATCCCCTCTTCTCGATATGATACAGTCGCTTATCTGGAAACTAGCAGCAACTTATATCTGCTTTGGGGATGGACCTCGTTGGCGCACTGATCATGTTTTGGCCATATTGAGTGGAAGTACCACTATGCTTGAAGAGAATCCACTGTTACGACTTGCGAATGCCATGTAAAAAGAAATTGCCCGGCAGCTACCAGAAACCAAGATGATTGTGTTAATTGACAAGGACCCGGGGTTGTCACGGGCATTGTCTAAGACCGAAAAAAAAAAAAAAAAAAAAAAAAACCTCAACAATTACAAGACCTTGAATTCAAAGTGTAGAGATGGGCTGTTGGCTGGACTTCAGATATTATTTTTTCCTTCGTTGGTGATGTCTTATTGTGCTATCACGAAGAGCCTCAACACGTTCAAGATCTTTAGACATGTATCTGAGTGATTTAGGTAGCCACACGGGATGCGAGAGTGCGTAGCGGCTTGCATAGGCTTTCTGGAACTCTTGCCCCCAAATTTCCTCTATTCCCTGCAAGCAGTGAAAAACGTTTGAACCGACTTCCGTGTCGATAATATCCTTTTGGTATCTGGTCAAATTCTTCAAGACATAATCAGCGACAGATGTGTGATCTCTAGCCTCAGGTCGGCCGATACCGATGGATATGCGCGACCACCATGTACCGGGAGAACTTGGAGGTTTTATGCTTGCATTGACACTTTTAACGCCATTATGACCCCGATGACTTGAGTACCATGGTCGAACTTTCACATGGCCGAATTGCGACTCTAGATCATCGTGAACTAGTACCAAGCTTAGCTGTGATGGCTCTAGCTGGTGGGTTTGCAGCATCTCTTTCCAAGTCTTAGCAACCCAAGGACCTGAGACATTCATCTGGGTTGGGCTCTGAACCATGGTAAGGTATCCAGGATCCGTCGAGGCCAAGCAGGATTTCCCTCCATATCGTTCAGACTTGAATGGCGGCTGACTCGAACTAAGGAACTTCTGTAATGCAGCAAGTGCAAAATGGCCGGTGGAATGAAGGCATTCGTAATATGGTGCTTGGTTGCCTAAGCTGATAAGTAAGAAATGAGGATTGAACATGTCTTGGGCCAGTTAGGTCCGTCCCTGGTGAGTTTCAAGAGTTGGGTAAAAATATTGAAAGAGTTTAGATAGACAGAGTTTAGACTAGGCTCGTACTTTGTATGAGGTATGTATGGTTGGTTGGAATTATGAATTATTTCAATAACAGCTTCACAACTTCTCATTCCCATTGGTGAAGAATAAAATTAGGTAAAGATGGATACGATCTTATCGGGTATCTATCAGTGGACGAAGGGATTATAGCGGGGTACCGAATCTATCTATATCAGGCCGATACAAAGTACAGTGCGAAAACTACCTAAGGGGACATGATATAATGCGACAAGCAGCACGCGGCATAATGTTGGATTGGCGGGCTGGCGGGGTGCCGACTAGCCGTATCTGTGGCGCAGCTAGATTCACTGACGTACATAGGATTGATGGACCTCTGTTTCCATCATGTTGCTCAGCCACTTGCCAGCCTGTGACCAATTGTCACCTAAACCCAACCAAAGTTAACCAAAGCCAACCAAATCAACCTACAAACACGATTTGGATTCGCCAATCCTTCTTACAATTCCACCTCCCCTTTTTAATATTACGTTGACGATTTCCGATTCTTTTTATTTTTCTTCATTTTCATTTCATTCCATTCCCACGAACATTTACACCGTAAACCGTGTATCCGAATTCCAATTATTCATTTATTGCCCAAAACAAGCAAATAGGTAGTATAAGACAGACTGAAGCAAAGTCGCAAACATGTCGTGGGCAGGTATGAACCTCGAATTATTATTTCAGGCGTTAAGCTGTGGGGGAATTGACTAGAGGTCTATCTAACTAACCATTTGATCCTCACAGGGTTCAAGAAAAATGTGAACCGTGCGACAACCCAGGTGATGATGAAGACGGGCCATGTCGAAAAGACAAACGATCGCGATTACGAGGTCGAGGAGCGACGGTTTCGGACAATGGAAGCTGCTTCATTACGTCTCCAAAAGGAGGCAAGAGGATACTTAGATTCGATACGAGGTGAGTGAATGAAAGACCTACCAAATTGAGATGATGCGACACGACATAAACAGTATCCTAATAATCTCCGCAGCGATGACAGCCTCTCAAATGCGTATAGCCGAGACGATAGATGCATTCTATGGCGATGCCGGAGCTAAGGACGGTGTTAGCAGAAGCTACAAGCAAGCGGTGGAAGATCTGGATTCGGAAACCATAAAGGCGCTAGATGGCCCATACAGGTATGAAGCCATAGAGGGGGGGAAACGACTCTCGGAGCACGGAGCTAACTCTTACCAGAACAACAGTCCTAGAACCTATCACAAGGTTCTGTTCATATTTCCCCGATGTTAACGAATGTAGGGTTTCCGGTACTATCCACATCATATTCACAGCTAACGTCGATCTCATCTAGGCATCAAGAAGCGCGGCCACAAGCTGCTAGATTACGATGCCCTACGAGCCAAAGTCAAGAAACTAGCCGAGAAGCCCGATAAGGATGTCACAAAACTTCCGCGCACAGAGAAGGAGATGGAAATTGCCAAGGCCGCCTACGAGCAGCTCAACGAGCAACTCTCTACCGAACTACCCCAACTAATCGACCTTCGAGTACCTTACCTCGACCCCAGCTTCGAGGCCCTCGTCAAAATCCAGCTTCGGTTCTGCGCCGAGGCTTATAGTAGAATGGCTCAAGTTCAACAGTACCTAGACGCGGACACTAGGGAGCAGTACGCCCAAGGTCAACTGGACTCGAGAGTAGAGCAGGTGTTGCAAGAGATTCGGGAACTCAGTATCAGCGGCACGGTATAGCGGAACTGCGGTTGAGAACGAATACGCGGAGTCAAAAAACGAATACACTAGGTACACATACACATACGCACGCACAACCAAAAAAAGGCTTTCATTAGGCGTAAGTGGTTTTGGTCTGGTACGGGCTGGCATTTTCATAGGTTAGGGCACGCTGTTTTTGTTTGTTTTTTTCTTGGGACGAGCAACCGCGACATGATTCACGGGTTCATGGTAGATCCCCCGAGGTGGACGGACGGTCTTACGCGAACAGCAGCCGAGAGAGTATTTCTGATAGTAGATTTGGTTTTACGACTCTTCGAGGAGATGATACGATACGGCTTTGTGTTCCTTATTACTCAACATCACATTAGGATAGCACATAGCAACCTTGTATTTCTATGAGGCCCCCTTTTCTACCATTCTATCGGAATTGTTTTTTTAGTTATTATGCGAGATATTTTTCAGTATAAAGTCTTTAATCCGAGAGTGCCTTTTGACCTCTAGGTCAGATCACTCATATTCTTGAGGCTAGTTACACCTACTATTCGTACCATTACGATGATGTTATAGAAAACTAAAACAGCTCTATAGAGGTGTCGAGCTTAGATACCTCCTCTCAGTCACTTTTGGTTGTTGGGAATAATAGAAAGGCATGATCAACATGGTATTATATTCCGTCATGAGAAAACTGCCTAAGGTACCTGTGATTCAATGTTCGACAGGTATACAATTCCAGGAGCATATGTAGAATAATCGTTGACAACAAGAATTGAACAATATATACGTTTCTTCTCTGCATATACAGCATGGGAACCACGGTCCCAGTGATAGAGTCCTATATACTTCTTATCGTCCGGCCGGAGCGCAACCTATAACTTCTAAATACAATTTTGTCTAAGCTAAAGCGTTCACAGTCCCTCCCCCTTTTTTTACCACCAAATCTACCTACCTACTCAACCCACACAACAGCACTCAGCCCATCCTCTTGCTGCGGAGTGCCGGGCGTCGCGATTTTCAGGTTAGCCACGAGGTCGCCTAGCTTACCTGTCTTGGGGTCGCGCGCGATGATGGCCACGTTGCTGCTCGTCTGTCCGCCGACGGCGACCAGGTCGCCGGCCTTGTTGATCGAGAACGTGCGCGGGAACCAGGCGTGCGCGGGCGTGGCCTCGACGAACTGGATAGCGCCCGACCTGGCGTCGATGCTGTACGTGGCGAGCGAGTCGTTCTGGGGCCCGAACGTCTCGTCGGCGCGGTTGGCCGCGTACAGGAAGTTGCCCGCGACCCGGACCTCGGCGGCCTTGGAGCCGTTGGGGGGCGCGCTACCCGCCGCGTACGTGGATAGCGTCTGGGTCCTGTTTAGGGAGAGGCACCCTTCGTCGGTGTAGGCCACCTTCCAGGCCGAGACCGAGTTGCCCAGCTCGTTCACGGTGTACAGCATCCGGCCGGCTGTGCGGCCGAGGTCGGGCGACCCCCACCACGCGCCGTGGCGCGGCCCGTCGCCTGCGCCTGCGACGCCCGGCTCGCACGCAGTCAGGCCGCCCGTCTTGGCGTCGATCCTGAAGATGCGGATCAGGTCCGCGCCCAAGTCGGGGACGATGAGAAATCTTCCCGTCGGGTCCAGCTGAGCGGCGTGTGGGTGAGGCGCGTTCTGTCGCGCGTTTGGCCCGGGCGCGGACATGTTGAACTTGGACTGCGCCATGACGGTCGAAGCACTGGAAAGAGGCAGCTTGTATCTCGTCAAGGTTGACGGGTCACTAAGACAAAGGTTAGTTCTGACCTCGACGATGGAGTTATGGATAGTCTCTTACTATTCGACTGTAGCGAAGAAGCCCTTTCCATTCTCACCCCCGTAGGGCGTGCCGTGCACGCTAGCACCGGCAGTGGAAGCACTTCCTGTCTGCTTCAAGCTGCCGTCCGACGCTACAGAGTAAGAGGCAAGTACACCACTGCCGAACCAGTCCTCATCAACGCAATATACTACTCTCGAGTCCACGTGCAGCCATGCGGGCAATCGTCCACAACCCGACACGGATGATTTGTTGACTAGCGTGGCATTGCTGCCGCGCCCAGTGAAAGAGAGCGAGAAGATCTTGCCCGTATAGTGCGATGCGAGTAGATTGGCTGCCAACACCTCTGGTGCTAAGCCTAGGGTTCCTAGGAGCAACGTCTTGAGGAATGCCATGGTGGATGGACTATGTCTCGCAATGTAGCAAGAGAGGGCGTCGGTCGGGCAAATGAAAAGACCAACGAAAGTGAAAGAAACAGATTAAAGATTATAATTTTTGAAAAAGCGAACCGACTATGTCTGTCTTTGAGATAACAGACAGACTCAGATTGCGAACTGGGAGCATTAGGACTCAAGGGGTACAGGTAAAACGTGTCATTCATAGCGTACAGGCTCAAAAGGTCGTATGGTAGTCTGGGGCAGTCTGGGGCAAATCGTTGCAAACAGATTGCTACTAGGAAAACCAGGCCGTCGAGTTGCTTCCGCGAGCGCAAATGGAAACGATTCGGAACATCGTCCCGATTGTGCAACGTTCCGGATGGGAGGAATTGCTCTCGGCAGGGGGGTTTGAGGCTAATTGGCCTGGTACGTCGTCTGAATAGTCAACCCTAGCTTAATTAAAAGACCCCGGTGAAGCGATCTCGTTGGTTAGATAGCATTACATCCTACGTCCAATGTGACGATGCCCCCAGAGAACACCCCACACTCCACGGGGCGATCCCGGAGGCACGGTCCTGCGTCCTGATGGACAGAGAGCACATGGTAATTACGGCGTCTAATTACTGCTTTCCCATTCTTCTAATACGGGCGCGCAATACGCGGCTGGCGCTTAGGAATTGTACCCTCTTGGCGGGAGATTATGCATCCCAACTTGGAGTTGATAGACGCGTGACCTGGTATTTTTTCCCAGAGACCCCTGGATATGCTGCATATTGGACTGCGTATGGTCCCATAGTAAGATGAGCATTGACGACATTGAGTTTATCTCGTAGCTCCTAGCCCTAGAATCGGCAATTGACACCGTCTTGGCCGTCCGCCTGCCATCGAGGGGACTTAACAATATGGCGCATGACGCTCCGTAGAACCATATGTTGAGGGACAGGGGTTTAAAACTTCAATTTAAGCGTATCGTAGATGTCAGCCTCTCCAAACCTGAGTTGCCGAGCTTAGACGCTCGAATACTCATAATTAATGACACAGATCCCGAGGAATCAACGAAGGACCTTGAGTATTGAACCGTCAAGAGAATAGAATACGCATATATCAGGTGCATTTTCAGCAATAAGCGGCTGTTTGATCTGTACCCCAGAATGTGGAGGTGTTTAAAATCTAGACGCGCGCTTTCGTCGCTGTGCTTCATTAGCTGTTATATATTAATGAACCAGATTTCATATAGGCTGTAAATTGTATTGTGATACTTGTAAACTAAACTGGCAAGCCGAGAAGATCGCCACGATCCCACTGGCGTGGGTACAGCATGTCTGATTCGGATCAAGATTCCTACATCTCGGCTTCTCTGACTGAAAAATTCGAGTGTTTAGTCGGCCATTCCCCGGGGACATCCACCTGGAGAGCCTCCCAACTCCCGAGGATGACGGCCAAGGATTTTCGATATTAAGTATCGGACCATTTAGCCCTATATCTTCGTCGACATTGCATCCGCTATAAGTAAAGTACCTACCTAGGTATGGATAGAAATCTGTGATAAAGTTGTGGAGTCGTTCGACAGGTCGTTCGAGTGCTGCTGGGATTCTACCAACGGAATTGGCCGAGTCGAGAGTATATCAATCTCTGGAAGATCAGAGATTCGGGACGTTCGTTACAGGGCTCCCTGAAAGCATTGGTGGCATCTTCATAATACTCATCATCTTCATAGAACTACCGCCAGGATGCATTCGGCAGCGGCCTTCTGCCTCGGGCTCGTGGCTAGCCTTGCTCAGGCAGCCGCTATTGCCAAGCATGCTGCTCTAGAAGACTGCCTCTCGAGCAGTAAGACAGTTGTAGATGCGATTGGTTCGGAGGACTACAACCGCGACATCACACCCTTCAACAAACGGCTAGAATTTACGCCTGCGGCCATCGCCGTACCAACGACGGCGGAACAAATCCAATCCGCCATAGCATGCGGTTCGAGACTGGGCTACAAAGTCACCGCGAAATGTGGAGGGCATAGCTATGCATCTCTGGGTCTCGGCGGAGAGGACGGCCACCTTATCATCGAGCTAGATCGCATGAACTCGGTCAAGCTTGACAAGGAGACAAATATCGCGACTGTTGACTCAGGTGCGAGGCTGGGCCATTTGGCAGCGGAGCTCTATGAACAAGGAAATCGTGCTATATCCCATGGAACATGCCCAGGGTAAGTCCAGTCGTCACCGAAAATGATAGCCAGAACTAACCGACTTAGCGTTGGCATCTCCGGTCACATCCTCCACGGCGGCTTCGGTTTGAGCTCTCACTCGCGTGGTTTGGCATTGGACTGGGTGGTTGGAATGAACGTTGCATTGGCAAATGGATCGCTCGTCCATACGTCGGCAACAGAGAACAAGGACATCTATTGGGGATTGCTAGGCGCGGGCTCAAATTTCGGTGTCGTCACAAGCTATGAGCTGAAGACTTTTGAGCCTCCGGCAAATGTTACGTGGTTTGTGGTGAACTTGCCGTTGAAGAAGAATACTTCCGTTGCTGCTTTGGAGGCGATAGAAGACTACACCCTGAATACCATGCCGGCTGAACTGAACATGCGGCTCTTTGCTACGCGCCAATTCACCCAGCTGGAGGGTATATACCAGGGAAATAAGACAGACCTCCAGGATGCGCTGGCGCCATTATTGAACAAGCTAGGTGCATCCATAGCGCAAGCTCAGACGACCACTTGGATCAAGGGCCTTGAACACTTCGCTACTATGAAGCTTAATCAGACATATCCATACACGCAAGTGGTAAGTAAGCTTATCCGGCAAGATCGACGAATTAACTAACTCAGCCATAGCAAGAAAACTTTTACGGCAAGGGCTTAGAGCTGAAGGGGTTGAGCGGAACCGCGGCAAAGAACTTCGCCGACTATTGGCTGGACGTTGCCAAGAAGGAGACAGCTCGGTGGTATATCCAGCTGGACCTTCAAGGAGGCAAGAACTCTGCGGTGTGGAAAGCCGACCCCGAATTGACGTCGTATGCGCACCGCGACAAGCTGTACATCCTCCAATTCTACATGACGACGACAAGCGGTGCGCCGGACAAGGCTTTCAAGTTCGTCAACGACTGGGCGCAGACCACGATCGCGCCCATGGCCTCGGACGACTGGGGAATGTACTTCAACTACCCAGACACGAACCTCAACCGCACGAGGGCGCAAGAGATGTACTGGGGTAAGAACCTCGCCAGGTTACAGCAGCTTAAGGCGGAACTCGACCCCAAGGAACTATTCTATTACCCAGTGTCGATTAGCCCCGCAGAGAAGCCCGAGGGCTTGTAGCGTGGGATGCTGGGCGAGTAGGTGGGGGAACATTTCGCATGTGACGAAGATAGATGAGCGATATAAGCTGTGAAAGTCTGTCGATGTCATTTCTAGATACCTCACAGGTACCTCATAAACCTGATAAACGTAGAATGAGAATGAGAATGAAACGATTTTGAACAAACAGCCACTTCTTGACATATCGTGATTGGATAAATCCGAAGATCTAAACCGCTTTTGAACCAGGTACACGGAGACACTGTGTGGCTTGCTTTTTTACTCTTTTAAGTCTCAAGTCTCAAGTACCGATGAACATAGGGTTAGGTACATACCTCTAGCTTCATTACAACTCAACCTTACTAATAGTTTCAACCGTCTGTTATATTTAATTTCTTATTCGCATTTATACTATGAACTCTATAGAGACTGAACGGATTACGTATCCCATGCGACGAAATAATACCAATTTTGATCCCTTTCTTAGATTCAAGGAAACTTGGAAACGCTCACTCCTAGAAAACAGTTCAACTTTGCCCCATGAGTTCCCGAATTACTACCTCTCTAACCCGGAGTGTTTAGTGAGCACAGCGACAGTGAAATCTTTTTGCATAGGTTCGACACCCCTTATCAACTACCACGGTGGAATGCTAACTAACCAATACTTACAGGCACTGGTGCATCTATATTCTTGCGCTCATTACTTCCCGCGATAGCCGCGGCTAAACATGAAGTCATTCTTGTCACTTGTTTCTGGGCGCGTGGTCCCACTCTAGACGCGTTGAGGGAAACACTGGAAAAGCTCGCTGAATATCGCCGTGAGCTCATCCGTAGCATTCGTTCAACTAATACAGGGCTAGACGCATTGCCACCTTTAAAAATACGAATATGCTTCTCATCGAGGTCCCTGTTTCAAAAGCTATTCCACCCATCCTCGAAGGATGGGTACGTGTATCCCCCTTCGACGTGGCCGGCACGATTGGGTTTACCAAGTCAGGAGGTTTTAGAGGCCGGGCTCATCGATTTACGAGTGAAAAGCTTGTTCTTTTTGCCCTTTAGCGTGATGCATCCTAAATTCCTTATCGTTGACCGCGAGAGAGCCTGGCTTCCTAGTTGTAATGTGAGTTGGGAGGATTGGTTTGAAGGGTGTGTCGAAGTGGCCGGTGACGCAGTGACCACCTTGGTCGAGTTTTACCGACATGTATGGGACAAGCAACTTGAGAGCCATCTTCCCGACGGAGATGGGTTGAGTCCCGATCATCCTCAGCCTCTAACACTAGCTGAGTCCGTGCAAGTATCGACGTCGCGAAATCATCCTAGTACTTTGGAAAACTTTGTATCGGATATTGAGACCCCGGCGATTCTTCTGCCGTCTTCTCATCACTGTAATCCAAGGTTCGATTTAATCCCGTGGCACAATCATCCACCGCCGCCGTCGACGCCCCTCAATACAGCTGTATTGCAACTCCTATATATGGCAGAGCATACTGTTTATATGCAAACCCCAAACTTGACATCTGCGATGGTAATTGACAAGCTTTTAGAGGCTTTAGAACGAGGAGTCAACGTCACTATCGTAACTAACGCGCGACTAATGCTTCTAGAGCAGCTTGTCACAGCCGGAACTACGACGTCTCGCTGCCTTAATTCACTCATTAGTAGATATAAAAGGCTCAAATCACAGAATTCTCTATCTACCAGTAACGACAATCCGGAGAACTCAAGCATGGCTGTTGATATCGAAGCGCAGCAACCTCAATTAGGGGTCTTAAATGTCTATTATTATCGCCCCAACTCTGAAGGCCAGACTAACGTAATGGCCAGTGAGCCGGTACAATCACATCTTAAATTAACTATCATAGATACTCAATATGTTGTCCTTGGATCTGGAAACGTAAGCAAACCCCCAGGATGGATCTAGACCCCCTTGATAAAATCTGGAAACACTCTGATTGCGCCGCGCAACCTTTGACAAGTCTTCAATTTTTGCATGGCACAAACTTGGGTAACTGACTGTGGAAATAAGCTAACGTGACGCTTTATAGATGGATCGCGCAAGTTGGTTTACTAGTCAAGAGCTAGGTATATTGTTCCACTCGAAAGACTTTGCGACGGCATTAGAAAATGCTGTTTTTGGTATACTTGATAGTAGGCGAGAATCGGTTTTCCTCTCGGACGAGTTAAGAGATTAGAAGATCCTACTGTCGCGAGGTTATCCAATAGGGTTACTGAACAGTTCTCACAGCTGCCTCGTGACATCAGTGGCAAACGTGAAACTCCAGTAAGGGACTTCCACAACTAGGTTGGTCCTGGCTGGGAATCAAGCCTCTTTTTACATAGTACATTCACTACACCCCAGCACCCATGCTTTCCAGGAAGTCTTTTCTGTGGGATATCCACAAACTAACCACGTAAGGAAGACGGCAAAAGCTGGAGCTAGGATTCCCCACGCCAAAGGCGCTTAGAATAGTTTTTAGGCGGCTTTCCCGTCATCTAGCTGTCCACCTAGGTAGATGAGGTCGCAATTAGGACGAGTCTCACAGTGTCTTGGCTCTTGAAAAACCATGTGAAAAAGTTGCATGATACTGTTGGAACTGTAAACATTGGTTTTGGGAACCTCGGTTAAAAATTCCAAACTAACTGCATCGTCGGCTTTCTGCATCTTTTTTAAAGTTTCTCGGTCAGTGCTTTCGGTATCAATACGCATACGCATACGGTAGAGAGAAGAGACATTTTGTCGATATTCAACGGCAGCATGAAACAAATAGGCCGCGCTACGTATGGGGCTGATGGCGTTAAAGCTAGCTTATATGGGTTGACCGAGGCACAAAATAGATAGTATCTGTAGAATATATGTGGCGTTCTGTATCTAGCCCTTACCGACAAACGCCGCCGTTACCCAAGCACAGCAGACGGCAAACGGGCAGACGGCAAGTCAAATTCCCATCAATAGCCTTGGCCAAGTTAGCCATTGCTATTCGTCAGGTTCCGATAAGTAACTGCTGCGTCACAGCATTGGCACGCGGACAGAAACAAGCTTCTAGGATAGGATCAACGACTTCCCGTTGCGATAGAATTCCAAAGGCGCTGAAATACTGATAATACTAACGGACTGATAACCCCCCCCCCCCCCCCCCCCCCCCCCCCCAACGTATCAGCTTCTTGTTGGGAAAAGCGGCAGCTAATCTTACTGGCTGGTCGATAGAAGCAGAGCTGATGTCAGATTTTCAGAAAACTCCCGTCGGCAGCCTACCTATGTCACATCACTTCCTCCATCGGTGAACCATATGAGAGAGAGAGAGAGCCTTATCGGGGTACCTTGGTTCGCCCCGGCGTTAGCTCCCGTCCCTGTCCCGTTTAGTATCTCGTTGCTACTGATATTTCTCGCATGCATACCGATGATATGTAACCCTACCCCTTATCTGACTGCCCGATCGCTGATCACTAGGTAGATAGGAGGTAGTTGGTATTTATTGTATAATATATATAATACGATACATGTAGGTGGTTAGCGGTCCGGTCCCAGCAGCCAGTCACATTCACTAGTTCAAAATCCCTGCGTGTCAATAAATCCCCCAGGTCAAGCCTAGAACCAAGGCGCCGGATTCGGCTTGGCGCATAATATCTTCTCACTGTTCCTGTTAAAAGGCCGCATAGCTAATACTATGTACTGGTGGGAAATCCTTCCTTCGTCATTCCAGCTTTTTGGCGTTTTTTTCTTTCTTTTTTTCCCTCCCCCTTCTGCATTTTGCCAATCGACGTGACTGGTTGATTAGATCTCTTAATCAGATAGCCCGCTTGGGATTGACTTGCCTTGCCTTGCCATCGCAAGAATCAATTTGATTTCCTTTTCTTTTTTTTTATCTTATAAGCTGCCTCCTATGGACTTCGTGCAAGAGTTCTTCTCTCTTCTTCTCAAAGGAATCTTCGGCCGTCTTAGCACTATCTCTAGCACTACCTCCTGGCTCCTTGCTCGCTGAAAGTCTTTAGTGCTCGCTCCACAGAAGGGGAGTCGGTGATACTCGTCTCACCATGGCATCTTCGGGTGTCGACTATCCCGCCGGCCCGGCCCCCGCGTATGCGGCTGGAATCGGGAATTCTTCCGATGCGGAGAAGATAGCTCTCGGTCGGCAGGAGAGCCGGATCGAATCCCTCGCCATGGTCGGTGAGACGGACGAAACACATCGCAAGTTGAAGGCTCGTCACATCCAGTTAATCGGCATTGGCGGCACGATCGGCACGGCTCTCTATGTCCAGATCGGCGAAGCTCTGCTGCAAGGTGGTCCGGGAAGTCTGTTCATTGCTTTCTCGATATGGTGTACCGTCATCCTCGCCGTGACCATGAGTTTAGCAGAGATGGTGTCGTACCTGCCCATCTCCTCGCCGTTCATCCGCTTCGCCGGTCGCTACGTGGACGAATCCCTGGGTTTTGCTGCCGGTTGGAATTTCTTCGTCTTCGAGGCTATGCTTGTGCCATTCGAAGTAACAGCATGCAACCTCGTCATCCATTTTTGGAGTGATATCGTGCCGGCAGGTGCCATAATTGCAATTGTCATTGTGCTTTATGCCCTGATCAACCTTCTCGCCGTCGAGTGGTACGGGGAATCGGAATTCTGGGCTGCTCTCGGTAAAGTGTTACTTATCGTCGGGTTGATTATATTTACCTTCATCGTTATGCTTGGTGGAAATCCTCTGCACGATCGATTCGGCTTTCGATATTGGTACGAGCCCGGATCATTCGCCGAATATTACACGACTGGCTCCCTCGGCCGTTTCCAAGGTTTCATGCAATGCTTTATCCGGGCGGCTTTCACGATTGCCGGCCCGGATTATGTCTCCATGGCCGCCGGAGAGGCCGAAAACCCTCGCGTGGTGTTGCCCAAAGCTTTCAACGCCGTGTTCTATCGCCTGACCACGTTCTTCATGCTTGGATCTTTATGCGTGGGGATCCTAGTTCCGTACAACGACGCCGAACTGACCCAGGCATATGAAAATTCCGCTCCCGGAGCAGCAGCTTCGCCGTACGTTGTCGCGATGAATCGATTGAACATCCCAGTCCTACCGCACATAGTCAACGCCATGGTCTTGACCGCAGCCTTCTCCGCTGGCAACAGTTACGTATACTGCGCGTCGAGATCGCTCTACGGTCTCGCCCTCGAGGGTAAGGCGCCCAAATTTTTCACCAGGTGCACGAATAAGGGCGTTCCTATCTACTGCGTGGCGTTGGTATTGTTGATAGCTTTGCTGGCGTTTCTCCAAGTAAGCGAGAACGCCGCCGTGGTGCTTAACTGGTTTGTAAGCTTGGTAACAGCATCTCAACTCATCAATTTCAGCGTCATGTGCGTTACCTACATCTGGTTCCACCGCGCCTTGGAGGCGCAGGGCATCAGTCGTGACTCCTTGCCTTACAAGGGGTTTTTACAGCCTTATGCGGCTTATTACGCTTTGTTCGCGACCTTTGTCATGACCTTCATAGGGGGCTACGCTGTTTTCCTACCTGGCGAGTGGGATATTGCAACTTTCTTGTTCTCGTAAGTAAAGCATCCTTAATCCCTCACCGACAAATCACGGCTGATAGTTGTATTAGTTACATCATGGTAGCGGTCTTCCCAGTTCTCTTCATTGGCTGGAAGCTGGTTCACAAGACGCGCCATCGTAGGCCGTACGAAGTAAATTTGCTCAGAGACGTAGCCGCAATTGAAGATTACACCAACAAGTTCGTCCCGTCACCACCCAGGTATGTTCCCCCTTATGTTTACGCATCACAGATCTCATCTAATAATTATAGGAACGCTTTTGATAAATGGTTCAATTGGCTGTTTAGCTGAAAAGACGTATCCTGTCGTATGGGAAACCATCTGATGAATATCAGGTAAGGTAGGTACGCAATAGACATAGAAACGATCTCGTATCCTGTCGTTCAGGTATAACCAAATAAAACACATCCTGCTAGGCAGCTACAATTCACAAACTATCTCTGCTGTGTCATATATGTAAATATGCTTGGTGTAGAACTTTACTAAATAAGAATATGATTGAGCAAGAAAAAAAGTCATGATTTCGCTTTCGCTATCCTGGTTCCAAACGCTACCCTAGCAACCTTCCAAACGCCGAGATATGTTATGTTGTTTTATATACAAAGGATATCATACTTCATTAAACAGTAAATTCCAACCAGAATGGGTATTTCAAATCAATGTGAAGAATCGAATTGTAAAACGTCACCGCCGTCCCCTTGGCATAGGGGATAACTCGATCGGACTGGTCCTGTAAGGGCTCGAATAGCCTCGTTTCGAGCCCGCTACGGAGACAATGGAGTCTCTATCCCACGAACCCGGTGTTTCGGATGGCATCTTCCAGCTAGTCCCATTTCGGGCGGCTCGCTTTTCTCTCTCTTGCCTCCGCCCGTAGAAGAATGCAACCGCCCCTAACAAAATGATGGCCATGGATCCAAATACGGAGCCAACAATAATGCCCACCGCTTTCGGTGATAGGTCATCAGACCCCTTAGCACCATTAGCGCCTTGTCCGGTAGCCTCTGCTCCCCCTTCGTTCATAACTGAAACCATCATCGGTGGGCGTGTCGCTAACGCGCCGGTTGTGTCGGCGGCCGTAAGAGGCAAGGCTAGCCTTGAAGTCGTCGGCACTGTCCGATATAGCAGATTTACTTCACCGGAACTGGCGCAGAGAGGCATGAGAGCCGGATCGCCGATTCCGTACGTCGGGAATATTTGGCGTGTTTGACAATTCATAGGGCCGCTTTTCGAACAGTTAGTTAATCGAGCTGAGATCTACTGGGTTATGAGGGAATAATAGATTTAGGTACTCTTACCAGTTAGAGGTCACGCCTTTGGAATATATCATGGCATTGTCCTCGCAGCCCGTAGCAAAAGCACAAGAGGAGGCCGTCGAAGCGCAGCATCCTGCGTATTTGGAGGATGTGGTGAATATCTGGCCATCGGGACAGTATATCGGCTTAGCTATTGGGTTGTGTTAGTTAGTTGACTGTGCTTCTTTGAAGAGACCACGAATAATTAACATACTTGTCGCTGACACAATAACGAACCCAACAAATGGGTCCTTAGTAATGGACGAAGCTGGAGCTGTGATAGGTGAAGCATTGTTCGTCGTTGTAGTAGACGGTGTCAAGTTCTCAGATTGTCCCACAACCCCCCATCCCCCAAACGACGCTATGAGCAAAGCTATGCGCCACTTCAACATGATTGTCGATATTGAAAGAGAGTGTGAGATCTAGATAAGTGAGATCGTAGATATTAAACGAGTGTATAGAAATTAAACGAGTGCCGAGAAATGGAATTCTCGTAATTCATAGTCAATTACCTAAGGTAAAGATGGAGCGAATCTTGAAGTCCCAAAATCGAGACGTAAATTTCAGAAACGATCGGCACGGAGAATAAATAAGGCATTTCGTCGTCTTTCCCATAATAGGCGTCATCCTGTGCCTCCTTGAGTGTCTGTTTCACGATAAGCAAACTAATTTACAACTTTCTGCATTCGTTCCTTTGGCTAATATTTGTTATTGCAAAACTCACATAATAGGAAGGACTAGAGAATCCTGCAGCCCTAAATGGGTCCTATATTTAGTCGATGAAACCCCCTGTCTAAATAGTAAGCTGGTGAGAGCCATGGAATAACAGAAGCTGTCGTCCCACGTGGTCCGTTTCCTTTAATAACGGAACAAAAAGTCAACAGCTCTAGAATCTCAGCTCAATATACTATCTCGTTTCACTACTTTCATTACATATCGTTCGTTACCAGGGTGGCGCAGCCCACTTCAAAGTCCTCCGCAAAATAGATCAAGATCCTTAAATAAAACCTAGCTGGTACTTTATTTTCGCTCTGCTTCCTAATTCTTCTAGCAACTGAACCACCAAATAGGATGACTCGTTAACCTCATGTTAACCTCGTTGGCTTCCTCCTGTAATCGTCACCCCATTGAACCTTTTTATATTCTAGTATCGTATGTTTCCGTACTTTAGGTACGTCCGAATGTCGCTCCCCCGATTTTACGGGTCAGTAAGTCTACACAGTAAATCAAATCGATCTCGTTGCCGGTTGGTTGGCCATTCCTTTGCCAATCCCAACTTGGGTTAGGTCGTCGAGCTCAACGATTCTTGCATTTTATTTAGCCCACAGACCCAGAAGTTGGCCAGTATGTACATAACAACGTGGCTGTGCTTATCAAGGCATCGCTATAAGACGACTTACCTTAAGTAAACCGCCTATGTTAGCCCTGGGTTGGGGTTACCTCCCCGCGCTATGAGATGCTTGTCGATAATACCAGAGAAATATCTTAATGTGACAAATAAAGGGTGCTAAATCGGGAGTGACAAACAACGAAACACGGCGTTGGTCGCTTTCTTTGTCTAACTCGAAACAGCCATCGGCACTAGGTTAGGTTTTTATTTTACCCGCTGTGCCACTTCTCTTAGGAATCAAAGCACAGTCCATGATGCTATACTATTATTCAGAATTTCTGGGTACGCATCCGGCGGGTTAATTTACCCTTCTTATCATATGCTGGTGGGCTCACACTTATAGAATTTGCGGAGATAATCATGCTATTAGAGAAAACGTAAATGATCCTAAGGCTTGGCTCCATGTGACTTCACGTTACCTGCTGGGTCTGATCTCTCTCTGGAAATATAAGACCTTGCTAACCCGAAAGGTGATTACTAACCACTACGAAGTATGTAGGTAATAAATAAGCAGCATCAATAACTCTATGAGAAAACGTTAAGCTATTCGAGAGTCCCAACCGGACCTTATACCCCGTGAAACTTTTTAGTCTCTGCTCACTTAGGTAAGTTCGAAAGAGTTTTGGAGAGCTTTTTCATGGTGAACTAGCCTATACATTCAGTACTCGAGCAACACCTCTTATGAGCCGGTTGTTCATTGGATTGTAGTTAGCTGCTACTGGCTATCTCCCATCAATGAACCCAGGGTTGCGGGTCTGCCATGCGATGAGACTAGAAGACGCGGAAACAACTTCGTTATTTCGCGAGGAATTCCAACTACCCCCTTTGGTACAGGACCCAATTGCTATAAGTTCAAGAAAAAAAACATATTCTTTTATACCCTATCACATCTAGAATTTGACCATGTCTAGATCTGTATGAGATTAAAATGAGATTCAACAGTGCCCCGTAGAGTTACGCGGCACATGCACCCACATTGGATGGAGTATAAACTCTCTTGAGATGATTTAAAACTATACTGGTATAATGAGTCCGGATTACAAATAGAAAAATGATATATTCCTAATTTAACCTTACAAGATACAATTGAGAACAGACTATTTTGAACAATATATGAAACAGACTATGTTGAACAATATACGATGTGTTAAACGAGATTAGTTACGAGAAATATACCCACATATGATTAGACTTCATGGAGATGAATTAATTATAAGGTGTAAGACTAAGTAGTATACAATGTTCGTATTTCTGGTATTGTTGAAGCTCGTTAGAACTAGGGGGTATATGACATGCCAAGAGAATGAGGGGATTTCCTCATAAGACAAGGCATTGGTTTGGCTACTGTATTGCGATTGGACCTAGCTTCGTATGAATTTATGGAGTAACTGACAAGAGAATACCTCCTTAACCTAAAGTCAACTTAACATACAATACCTACGACATAGGGTTGCTTCATGGGGTCTGATTAAGGCAAAGACCATTATACGGAGCAGAAAAAGATTATTAACCTTGCCAATTGATTTTTTCTTGCGGACAACCGTACCATCTTCTATCATCGGTGCGCTTATACTTTTCAACTGTAACCGTGGCGCGTCTCATACATGGCATGAGTTATACTCCACCTTACCGCCGCTAACCCTTCACGGATAAATGTGCGTGGCGATTCCTCCAATGAGATACCATCGCCGGAATTTCAGGACTCCTTGACGAAGACTCGTTACGAAAACATCGTCCGCTTTACCCGACGAGGTCGGCGCTGAACCCACCTATATTAATACGGGGCGATGGACTTCGAAAAAATGAATCAGAAATTTGATTGCCCAAAAGAATCTCTCTTCTCGGAGGCCGATATTGTCGGAGGCAGAGATTGATCATGGCGCTGTATAAGACTATAGGCGCTCTTTTGCTCTTCCTGGGCACCACCGTGTCTGGTTATGCTAATCCCGGAGCATGCTCGGGCACTTGTGTTAATACGCATGATCCGTCTATCATCCGACGATCCGACGGCACGTACTTCCGCTTCTCTACGGGAGGGAAGATAGCTGTCCATACCGCGCCGGATATCACTGGCCCGTGGACTTATAAGGGTGCAGCTCTTCCTTCGGGGTCGTCAATCGACCTTGACGGCAACCAGGACCTATGGGTAAGTTACTTCAACAGTGCAGTCTTCGTTACGTGTTATCTCCACGAAATAGGTTCTAACCAGGAGCTTTCTCCAACAACCAGGCTCCCGAAGTTGCCTTGATCGGCAGCACCTATTACCTGTACTACTCCGTCAGCACATTCGGCGTGCAAGACTCGGCCATCGGCGTTGCCACCTCGTCCAGCCTGGACGTGGGCACATGGAAGGACCTCGGGTCGACGGGGATCCGCTCGTCGTCCGGAAAGCCGTACAACGCGATCGACCCCAATCTCGTCAACGCGGACGGCACGTACTACGTCACCTTCGGCAGCTTCTGGAAGGACATCCACCAGGTCGCCATGAAGAACCCGCCCAAAGCCGTGGCTAGCGGCGCCAGCGCCAAGCAAGTGGCTTTCGACCCCGTCAAGACGGACGAGGAGGGCGCCTTCGTGTTCAAGCACGGGAGTTATTATTACCTCTTCTTCAGCAAGGGCAAGTGCTGCGGCTACGACACGAGCAGACCAGCGGCCGGTGACGAGTATAAGATCTTAGTCTGCCGGTCTACCTCGGCGACGGGCGGGTTCGTGGACAAAAGTGGGAAGGCTTGCACGAATGGTGGCGGGACCGTGGTTCTCGAGTCGCATGGAAACGTGTATGGACCGGGAGGACAAGGAGTCTATGATGACCCCGTGCATGGACCAGTAAGTATCAGATCACCCACCCAAAAGGCTTAGGTACTAAGGATGCATTTCTAACTGTGTTTTCTTTTCCTACAGATTCTCTACTACCACTACGTCGATACTACGATTGGGTTTGCGGATGGTCAGAAGCAGTTTGGGTGGAACACCATCAATTTCTCCAGTGGCTGGCCAGTTGTGTAGACGACGGAAAAGTCAGCTTAGGGGGCACGCAGGCTACGTAGCAACGTACTCCAATCTCGAAGCCATCGTTTTTGGCACGGCGTGATTATAGATTGACTTAACTTGTGATACTTGCCTCAACTTGCTCAACCTGTTTTGTTGGTTGACACGATTTACCCGGGATAAACACCTAAGAGGCCCCCCTAAACTTCCTAGTGCAGCAGTCTAATGGCCTCACGAATCGATTGCGGGTTGTCCATGTTGTGACGGCGTTCTCCGTGGCCCACCTCTCCACTCACAGGCTATTTTATCGACCATTTGGTTGATCTGAGTTCGTGCTCTGTCTCTTTGAACTCCCCGTCTCAAGAGTTCGTCATAGTCTGTATGGCGATGTCGAATGTGAGCACGCACAGCTAGGCGAGTTCTCTCAGCAATATCCAGCTTCGTCGTTCTTCCAACTCTTCCACTATGCTTTCTCATCGTTTGCTGGATAGCTTCTGTCACATCTTTGGCGGGTATCTGAGGAAATAAGGAGAGAATGGAATTACGGAAATCGGTTTCCAGCTTAGTATCCTTTTTATGGAGATTTCGAGCTCGCGCATCTTTTGTCAAGTGATGGTTCTCTAGAGCTTGAAGGTAGATACTCTTTGGCACCCTGATGCCGGTCTGCTTCCTTCCTTCAGCGACTACATAAACAATATGGCCCTCGAGATGCGCTTGCTTCCGGCAATACCTGGTGATATATGCATTCCCCCTTCGAACGAACCGGTATCCCTTTGGCATTGGTTGCTCAGAAGATACCGAACACTCTGAATTTGACACCATGTTAGCTAACGGTTGGATACCTACCTTCTTACTTGAGTAGAAACGAAGAAATGAGGATGTAGTGATGCTTTCCCAACCAAGATTCACCACGCAGGCAATTTGGGTGTGTGAGAACTAGGTACCTAAGGGTGAGAAATATGACGAAGATGTTATTTGCCTATAACATTGGAGAGTTAGAACTAATCAATTATTAATGTATTGTATGATGGGCGAACAATGAGTAAAGCATTGGCATTGTTGATCTTTAGCTTAGGTACTGCCTAGGTACATTCCCTGCTATTTATTGCCTTTTGTTGTTAAGAAGTAAGTTTCAGATAAGAATAGTACCTTAGCAACTATACACACAATAATGATAAATACCTGTGGAATGAGTGTGTTGTTTGTGTAAAAGAAAAAGAAGTTTTAAGAGAGAGCAAAGGGGCCACGTGACTCATGAGCAGCATATTTACAATACCTCTATGTAATTGTTTGCGTTCGAAAGGCTACGGTCTAAGGTAGAGTAGATCCTTTGAAGGACATGCGTCTAAATCTCTTCAGGGGTAAGATGAGATGTAGCCAAATCATGAGAAGGATTCAACTTGAAGCAGCAGGAGAGTCCATAGAGGCCAGAACATGAAATTTCCATGCAGCTGACACAGGTCTCAAGCTGGAGGACAACTGAGTTGGCTGTTGCAGATCTGTTATTAAGAGTTGTTTTAAGTGCATATATTAGGCAGGTACCTACGTTAGGGACCTACGATATATACCGCTCCTACTAAGGTAGCATGATTTATCATGTACCTAGAAGCAGTAGATGGAAGACTACGAAATTACCACTCAACCGTCTATCGTTTTAGATGCTTACCCATATTAATATTAGGACCCTCAACTATACAAGACTAAACGTTATGCTAGCCAACTCCGTGGACATGATGTGAACCCAACCAAGACAAAACTCTTTCTAACTCTGGTGAACTGCTAGATTGTCCTGTAAGAAGTCTCGAACCAAAATGTTAAATCTCGTGTCACGTGTCCTCACGATCTCGGGAGTCAACTTGCTGAGATGTCTCTCCCAAGCCATCTGACTCCACGCGTGGTAGGCGAGTTGATCCTCGTAAAGGCTGCCGCCGTTCTTATCTATCTCCGCTGCCCACCTACGCGCTTCGTCCGAGCTCAGCTGCTTATGCATGAATTCGATATGGCTCCAGGTCCAAGTCGGCCAGAAAAACGCATTCGGTGCTAACGTGCAGACCTCGTCCGGGTGTTCTAATTCCAACTCCTTAGGAAGGACAACGCTATGGTAATTCCACTCCTTGGAAAGATCCGCGCCGTTATACTCTCGAAGCCATCTCGCAATAAACGAGCTGTTTTTTCGAGCGACCATGATAGCGTTACATAGACCCCCACGGTTCCCACCCTCGTGGCCTAATATTATATCGCGTGAGGAATTTAGAAGGGAAGTAAAGGGTCGGAATCCAAATGCATCCATATCCATGTAGATACCACCCTGTTCTTGGAGAAGCTTTAAGCGCAAGATATCGGAGACATGTGCGGCTTGCCATGTCACATCGGGAGAGCTCTTCAGAGCGGCAATCTCTTCGGGCGGATGGTAGACGAGTTCGATATCATCCTTCAATAGACGTATCCATGGGTTTGATAGGGGAGATGCATTCGGTTCGGGTGACGGTGGATCCGCAAGATATGTGTAATGAAGAGAAATCTTCTCTGCCTTCATACCCACGATGGCGCTTCGTACAGCGAGATAGCAGAGAAAGTCGAAGGTACCTGCACTAGGCTTGAGGTAAGGGTTGCTGAGTCCGTATATGAAGTGAACATGGTTGGGTATCGGATCTATGGGTTTATTGCTGTCGGTGGCTAATCGAGGGGTAAGGCCGTGCAAGCAATCGAGCTCATGTTGAGTAGGTACGAATTCTTGTTGAACTTTCCACTGGTAGGCGAAAGGCAAAGTTTGGCGCACTCGGTCCCCGAATTGTCTTACGGATGGCCAGATGGGAGGGCTAAGAAGCACCAAGGCGATGATGATGGGAAAGAAGAAGTAAACTCGACGACGGCGTGGAAGTATCATAGAATGATACATGCTAGGAGATATGCGAATATGTACCTAAAACAGCCTCGACGTGGTCGTGTCCCCCAAGCAGACAAAAAAAATAAAAAAATAAAAAATAAATAATTGGGAGCCCGGACGGCGTCTTAATTACGGTCTTTCTTGGCAACCCCAAGAGCCGGATAGCCGGTTGCATTCGCTAGTACTGGCTGCCGTTGTCTGCGTGCCTGGTAATAATATACCATTTATCGCGTAGCAGCAGCATCAGCAATGCGAATTGATCTGTTCCATAAATTGTGAGATGCGATATAGCGAAATGTGTGAGAGGAGACGGTTTGAAGCTTTGAAGAAGCGTTTTGAGACATAAAATAAATCATTGCTTAGGTACCTGGATTATGTAATAATTATGCATATAATGTAGCTGCCTATTATGTACATATGAGGTACATACGTAACCTATGCTAAGCCGCTGGGTTGGATTTAAACTTATTGAGCTATGACTTAATTGCCCAACACTGCTTTTCTCATTAAGGTTTGAAGGTACCTAGGTACGTAGTCCAAAACACCTCTTACGCTGGATATCTTAGGTACCTGAGTATTTAACAATTTATGACAGGGGCATTTTCACAGTTTATACTTGTAATATTACCCATCAAACAGCTAGGTTAAACTTAAAATTTATACATAATATACCTTATAGCGAAAAAAAAAAAGGGAACTCAACATTACCTAGCAGCTGCATATGCAGAGCTGCATGTGCATGTTGATAAACCCTGCATCAGTCCCAGAAATAGGGGTCTATCGACAGGTGCAACGTAAACCTTACAAACGCTAAAACACACTACGAGGTACATGTTTGTACAATACTTACCTAGCTGAGGTACCTATTGCCCTAATTGACATTTTCCAATTGCAGTTCCTTGTTGAAAATGGACCCTTGACAACTAAAAAAGATCAACACAACAACAATACGGGATAATCTCAGCAACAAATCAAGTTGAAGCAGATGGCCTCTCAAATGCCAACAAATAATAACAACGCCACCCCTTTAATTCATACAATACGCATGAGGTAACCCGTAGTTTTTTTTGGCTACGATATTTCTATCATGTCGTTTCTTCACCGACTCCCACGATTGCGAAGAAGAGGAGGATGGTTACAATCGCCTGTCCTTTGGGTTATAGGCGTTGCATGCCTTATCGAGGTTACCATTCACGCCTCTCGCTATCGCGTACCTATACCGCCGCGCGAGTTCGATACCCCCTTCTACACATCATGCCAGGAGCCTCCGAGCGCTCCTCCAGACTCCCCGCGCGAGAATGCCGCCATCGTGATGTTGGCTCGCAACCAGGAAGCCGAGCAAGCTGCGAGATCCGTTCGCAGCATCGAGCAGCGCTTCAACCGCTGGTTTCGTTACCCGATAGTGTTTCTTAACGATGAGCCTTGGAACGGCGAGTTCAAAGATGCTATCAACGCCTCTACGAGTGCCCCGACCTTCTTCGAACATGTCCCTAAGGAACAATGGACCTTTCCGTCGTGGATGGATCAGGACGCTGCCCGCGCGAGTATAAAAGATCAAGGCGACCGCGGTATATTGTACGCAGGGAAAGAGACGTATCATCACATGTGTCGGTTCTTTTCTGGGTAGGCTAGCCGACTATTCTTCTCAGCTGGTGTTTTACTGAGATGTCGACAATGTAGGAACTTCTACCAAGTGGAGGCGCTAAAGAAATATAAGTGGTACTGGCGATTAGAACCCGACGTCGAGTTCTCTTGCTCTATCACCTACGACCCTTTCGTCGAAATGGCCCGCCACAACAAGGTGTACGGCTTCACGATATCGCTCTGGGAGGAAAAGCGCACCTGCCCCAGTCTCTTCAGAGAAGTATCGGACTGGAAGGAATTAAAGGGTATCCCTAGCACCAACCTCTGGAAAGCGAGTGTTGATGCATCCTGGGTTCCTTGGCCTTTCCGCAGCCTACTCAGCTGGTTTTCGCATCGTGATAAAGCTGGTGACGGATGGAACCTCTGTCATTACTGGAGCAACTTTGAAATCGCCGACCTTGATTTCTTTCGTGGATCCAAGTATCAGGACCTTTATCAACACCTGGAACGCACTGGAGGCTTCTATTTCGAAAGGGTTCGTATACTCCAGGAATTGCCTCTATTTTTAAAAATGTTTGAATCGCTAATCCGGTTTTCTCGTAGTGGGGTGATGCCGCAGTTCACTCGCTGGCCGTGAATATGCTCGCAGAACCGCATCAGGTACATCATTTTGCCGATATTGGATATCGCCATGATTGGTATTACCAGTGCCCCGCAAACGCACCCGGTGGCCAACTACCCGAGTCCCAAGCGCTCAACGACGTCCAGAGTAAATGGGCTCCGGAAATACCCGGCGGCGTGGGCTGCCGTTGCGACTGCGACGGTAACCGGAATAGAAACCATGCTAGCTATTGCCTCAATAAGTTGAAGGCGCCTAACACTGCCCGCCGCCCCTGGTCTACTTGGCTACTTAGCTTTATCTTTTAAATTGCGCGCTTTTAGTTGATGTTCGTAGCCATTTCTCGCAGCATAGAGATCCCCTTTGGCCTAGGGCTTGTTGCCTCTGATCAACTTCTATTAGACCGTGGTGATTATACTGGCCATAGGGCTGTATACTTGACATTGCGTTTTGAATCATCATCATGGGAATAGTTCATACAAAAGCATTACGGGGCGACGAATTGATTTCCCAGACCACGTTTGTCAGGGGTCTCACAACCTTGTTTAAAGTACATCCCGCATTTATGTCATACATACGACTTAAACGAGCACTATCTTCTCTAAGAGTCGAAAGAAGATATTATACCTGTACCGGGATAGGCGTTACCAGGTCTATAGGATATCATATGATAAAGGAAACGACTAGATGATACGGCTGGTCTCGATTCGCTGTTTTTATACCCATTTATACGCGAGGCATCTAGATGAAGTCCCACCTATTTAGACTAAATGAGATACGAGCTTGAAGAGAAATACTGTCAGAGCTTTGATGACTTGTAATCTTTTAGGCTATGATTTTGCATTATTTGCTTTTGGCGTTGCTATTGCTGCTATTGAAGCTGAAACTCGGCTTTCAGCGTAGTAATTGTAACAGGTTGATCCAGCTGTCAGTATAGACCTGGATCAATATCTCCGTCGTCATTCTTTCATCTGCCTAACCTAAAACCCGACGATCCAGTTTGACCATTCCCGCCTTGCCGCCCTGCACCCTTATGTGGCTAGTCAATTGCCTAATAATATCTCGGTTTTCCCTATCGACCCCAGATCTCTTGCCTCAGGCTGTGTGCTTTGTCGGTCCAAATGGTCCATCAGGTCAAGCAATTATAACCTCTCCAGGTATACCAAAACGCCGAATGTCGAGATTTGGGACTTGATAACTCCTATGCGGTACGCATATGGCATGATATTGGCTGAGCCGAAGACGCTGAACCTCGACTCGGGCGTGACGCGCCGGCGTATATGCTCATGAGATGTTGTCGGTATCGACGGCCATTTCTTCCTTGGCAGCTTCGGCAGTCTCTTCCGCGGAAACGTCTACATCGAAAACACTTAAATCAGCCTCGACTTGTCTCTCCTATCCCTCCGCGTCACCGGTTGTCTTCTCAAAACAGAACAGAACATACCTTTCATCTCAAACTCTCCCTCTCCCTCCATCTTCCGCTTTAGGGCGTAGTTTATCTTGCGCTCGAGCTTGCGCCGCTTCTTATTACTAATAGAACGGTTTACACCACTATTAGGCAATAACCCAGGGCGAGCACCCCGCTGGGCATCTGCTTTAGAAATGCGTCCTTGTTTGTTAAGCATCGCCACCCTCAAGCGCTTCTGGTTCTGCTTCCTGGCTTTAGCAGCGCGGGCGATAAGCCGGTTCTTCGAGGGGCCATTGGGGTTCTTAACGGACGGCATTGAGATAGATGGATGAAGAAAAGAAAATATTGGAGGTGTCAGAAGAAGATGGATGTAATAGTTGTTGTATTCTCTAAAGGTTACGATACTTAAGATCCACTAAGTGGGAGTATATATACATTGTTGTCATGTGACAGGAGGGGTCCAAAGTTTCAAAAAATTTAGTGGGGTCGACTTTTAGGGATCTGCATGCTCCCCGCATCCCCGCAGCCCTCGTTAAGAACAATATTATGCAATACAGGTAGACTATATCTATCTACAGAGAATGAACTTTGAAGTATGAAGTACCAAGATACTTACTTCTATTACTACCCCTTTTCCTAGAAGCTTAATCACCATTGACTGTAAAATTATATCAAAATAAAAGTGTTTTGAAGTATCGTTATGCGGGTTGAGGAAACATGTAAGCAGACTTCCTGCAATACTACCGATCAGGTATGAAAAGGTCAGCGCCCTTGACCAAAAGAAGCTCTAGTCTCTTGTTGAGGTTGAAGCCCCTCTGATCCTCCGTCAGTTTCTCCATATCAAACATTGTCTTGCGTTTGAAATAGTTATATGCGGGTTATTTCATGATTATTCCCGGTTGGAAGTCACCTATTACATCCGAATTCAAACTAGATTAGATACTTAGGGACGTACCTTTATAAAAACCGCATCTTCCAAGATGAGCCCAGTCCCGATAACTATCACGGGATCCCTATGTGAGCTTTGCCACCAATTTATTGGCGACCTCTTCTCCTTTGACTTTACTAGACAGACCGTTTATCCGGCACGATGGGTTCCAACAGGCTCAGACTCAGACTGGACGGGAAAGGCTTGGGGAGACACTTTCCATCACCACGACACGCTCGAAGACCTGTCAAATAGCGCCAAGACGTGCCGCCTCTGTGAAGTTCTCTACGCAGACCTCGCACCATTAGAAACCGCTCTGCGTCAAGGCTGGTTAGGTCTATACCCATTTTGGACCTCAGCCCGCATAGGAGAGAACAAGCACAAGGGCCACTTTCGCGCCGGCTTCCGGGATTCTCTACAAGGTATGCCTTGGGGAAGCAATAGGATCGGGAGCATCCCGTTACACACCTTTAGAGTCTGCCGACGAGAGCCCTTGGGGAAGGGAGAACAGGTGCCCATCTTAGACGACTATAGGGCTGTCCCAGTGGTGCCAGCAAGTGTAACTCCCTCGCATATTTCTCAAGTCGCGGCTAGATGGCGGCAAGAGTGCAGCGACACTCACAGAAATTGTGTCAAGTCCGACTCGGACAACGCACTTCCGACGAGAGTCGTCGACATAAGCGATATTGAAACAGGTCGGATACGTATCTATGAATCAAACGGCGAGAAGATGCCTTACGTTGGACTCAGCCACTGCTGGGGCGGTATAATCCCGTCCGTCACCACGGAGGCCAACTTGAAGGCAAGGACTACTAGCGGGATGGACATCGACGAACTGCCACAAAACTTCAGGGACGCCATCCAGGTCACGAGAGCGCTCGGGTTGAAGTACCTTTGGATAGACGCACTCTGCATCATCCAAGACTCCAAGTCGGACTGGGACCGAGAAGCCAAGAGGATGTACTCCGTGTACGCCGGCGCCACGGTCACGATATCCGTGCTCGACTCCGCGGGGAGCACCGAAGGCTTCCTCAAGCCGACCAGGGCACCCCTGGCGGTGATTAGCGCCGAGTACGCCGTCCAGAAGGTGTACCCCGACATCAACGAGTACCTCTCACAGAGCCCCCTGAACGGCCGCGGCTGGTGCATGCAGGAAAGGCTCCTGGCGAAGCGCGTGCTGCATTTCGGGAAGGAACAGATGTTCTGGGAGTGTCTCTCGGACTTCAGGTGCGAGGACGGGAAGAGCATTTCGGGCGAGTCTGACGGCCACTTCGTTGCGCTATTCATGAGGATCCGAAAGCAGATTGGCATCGCCGCTGCACGGGGCGTCGAGCTGGATTGGGGGCCCTGGTACCAGCTTCTGGAAGAGTATACCACGCGGAAGTTTACTATGTTTACTGATAAGCTGCCTGCTGTGGATGGGGCTGCGACTTTGTTCAAGTCCACCAGGCGAACTGCGACGTACATCGCCGGCCTGTGGCGGGAAGATATCGCGCGGGGTCTGCTGTGGTGTGCGCATTATTACCACGCGCCGGGCCGAAGAGTTTGGGGCATATCAAGTACCGACCAGATCTCCGAACTGTCTAAACCGCCTAGAAAGCGCGCACCGAGTTGGAGTTGGGCTTCACTCGACGGTGCGCTTGACTTCTGGGCGCTCCGAATTAACGGGTTCGTGATCGAAGTCTTGGATGTCACAATGAACGCCGAGAAAGAAGCTACGCATGGCTACCCGGACGGAACTGTAACACTCAAAGGTCGTATAGCACCAATGTTCTACCATCCTCCCGAGGATAACAAATACGACGTCGGCGCCTTGACATTTGAACAAACCGAGACGCCGGATTCCCATTCCGGGTCATTAACTACCTGTGTTATGGATTTAGATCGTCGAACTCCGCGAGGGTGCTGGGCGCTGGTAATGACGGAGTCCTCCTTCAAAAAGTATTTTCTCGTCCTCCATAAGCGTGACGATGGATCCTACAAAAGAATCGGAATGGGCAATGCCGATTGGTCAGAGGTTGATCTGGCTAGGTTCCAAATGGAAGAAATCCAGATCTCTTAGAAGATTATCACAATGGAATACGAAACGAATAACCACCCACTTCAGAAAGAACAGCTCGGCACAAATAACTATAAGATTGATCATGCACGAAAAGGCCGATAGCTTTGAACATTATAGTATTTTTTCTTAAATAATTTTCTCTATACTCAAATGCGCTTTTACCATTCAAGTCGGTCATCGCATATTAAGCTAACATCGTATCGTCCATTTCCCTGCCAGACCTTGGCGCCAGAATTACAAGATGCTACAATACTCCTCAAATCGCTTATCATCCCTCCTGGTCCGCTAGCATATACGGCCGTGGAGCCTCTGACGGTGTTATCCACGAACTCTCTTACTATCTTGTTCAGGTCGGGGTGTTTATCGAATCCTTCCCCTCCGATCTTTTGAACATTGAGAAACGACGCAGACTGGACGGCCTTGATAGAAGAAACGGTAGACGAACTTAACCCGGACTCATTTATGGCTATGTCGTCCTTCTCCAATACTTCGTCGTTTATAGACGGACTCTTGCTGCTCGCTTCTCTCGTCACGTATATGTGAACTTCGATCTTATGCGCCTTGGCGGCTTTGCGAATGGTATCGAGCTCCTTCTCGACCCACCGGGTATCATCCTTCTTCCTAACCGCCCAGACCAGCTGGACTTTCCTGTCCTTCACTTCCGGCCGCTCTATTATTCCAAGCAACACCGGTAAGACGTATGTAATTCCTGTACCGCCAGCCACGCAAAGCACGTTCACATCCGGCGTTAATCCTCCGACTATCGATTCTCCATACGCCCCCGATAGGATTAAAGGAGTTGTTGCGCTAGGAGATGCGGCTAGTTTCTTTGCTGTCAGCTCTGCGAGCTTCTTCGTCTCTCCCTTCTTCGCCCTGAGGATGTATGAGTGCGAGACAAGCCCATCTTGTACCTTCGGCAGGTTGAGCGGTGTAAACGGGTGAGACTGCCATATGCTGCACTGCGTAAAGCAGAGATAGAAGTGCTGTCCGACTTTCCACGCATCCTGAGGGTGAGTAAAGTCCATACGCACTACGTCCCCGTGCTCCGCGTCGGGGAAATGCGTCAAAGATGCGTGCGCCGCTCGGAAACCCATGGATCCGCCAGGTAAGTATTGATAGTGAATAAGGGCCGAGCGTAAAAGCCTGACTCCGCGATCCAAGAACCAAAGAGCCAACCCAGGAATCAAGAAGCACTGCAGATTCGCCCAATGGCCCCAGCAAGCACCGATATACACCATCGCAAGAACGTAGTGCGCCTTGCGGAAAAACTCGTAGCCGGTGAGGCGAATACCCCAGGGGGTACTCAAGGCAAAGATAAGCAATAGCAGGATTTGCGCGACGATTCCCCAGATTATATACAACTGCTTGACCCATTCTATCGCAGTCGTGGGCTGCGGTTGATACAGTCGGATTTCGACAATACACCAAGCAATTGTGTGGAGAGATCCCTGGATAACGATAATGTAGCCGAGCCAGCGATGAAGGAAATTGAAGCTCTGGTACGGGACTCCGGTGAGAAGGGAGAGAATGGATTCTCTGCTCGATAGCAAGATGGACAACGGAGTAAGAGCATAAGCGAAGACACCAACTCGATCAGACCACGGTCCCAAACTTGTCCTGGTGTTGTACACCCCGGGCATCTTTTTCACGGGCGTGATCCACGTCTGATAGGTGATACCAAGGAAGCTGAATATCAGCAAATAGCCCGCTAGGACAGTCAGAATCAAGACTTGAAGTCGCGTCGTCCGGCCAAAGATGAACCGGACCGAGTCGGGTAGTAGATATCGGCGGACTAATGCAGCGGCGGTCCTCCTTATTCGCGAGCGTCGACTAGCTATCTTTGCTACCCTCTCGCTGTCGACGGCGCCGCTCGGAATTTCGTCTGCTCGGGGGGATGGGAATATACGTCTTGCCATAGTCCAAATCAGGAGAATTCCAGCAATTGCCGCCCACATGATACCGGAGTAGACCATAGTCAAATCGTGGGATCCGTAGACTTGGTCGAGATAGGCGCAAGACCCGGGATCGTTCGTACACGGAACAGCTCTGTCGACATAACCCCAATGCTTTTCCAGCGCGGCCGCCTCGCTGAAATTTTGAATATGGCGAGGTGCCAGTGAGTTCTCCATGGTCGCCATCGTTTTGCAAATCGCCCCGACGGCAAGACGCTGAGAGAAGCGTTCGAACTTCCAAGACGAACCAGCGACTAGAACAACCAGAGCGACGGGAAGGGGCTGGTTTAATACCTGGGGCGGTAGGGCTGCAAGCTTATTAGCTCCTGTCGATGGTTGGTGGATGGTCTAACGGTTACTTGCAGAAGCCGGTGGAACTCGATGATAATATAATAAAAAAAGATATGATAAAGTGGACAAGCATACAAGCGGAATCCGGCTGGATGACAGACTCTAGATAGCCTAGTTAGGCAGGCCACCGTCTAAAGATGGCATCCATTGCCGGGACAAAGTGGTGCCATGTTTAAAGTTGCCTCCTCAGCTCCTCCGTCCAAAGGGACAGCAGCTCCTTAGAAGCTCCGTCATCCTCGGCGGACTGGTGGAAACTTGCTCAAAGATGTTACCCCCCGATGGTTCGAAACAGACACCGTTGAGGCCGTTAAGGCCGTGAAGGGAAAGGCTTGAGAAGAATTGAGCACGTTTTTCAGGGGTCGTGGACGGCTTGGCGTACAAGGATATTCCCTAGTGTACGTATCCAAAACGACCAAAAGTGACCAAAAATGACCAATAATAGACGATGATAGACTAGACTTTTCAACGTTTTAGGGCGCCGAGCCGTCGAGGACGAGGTCCTAATGGACCAAACTGTCGGATGCATATCCACTTCGCCCGCGGTATGTTACTATCTATGTACATACGGTACGCAGACAGACAGATATGATCATCTGGGCCTCCATTGAATCCATTCCCGCTTCCAATAAGACCCGCCCATCTGATGTTTTCGTTCTTAGTGTATCTAACACCGTTAAAAAGCGAATTTAAAGAGGGAACTTTAAGGCTGTAGGCGCGGTCGCCGCGCCCAACTCCTTTTTCCAATCTTAACCCCGTGGACCTTGTTGACCTTCCCAAAACGCCAAAATCTTACTGCTCAATCTTGCTCTTATACTCTCAATTTATAAGATTATCGTCATATCTCCTGTTGTCGGGCGGGTCTCAAGAAGTCTTGGAAGTCTTGGAAGAGAAACGACGATAATCATAATAAAGGCACCATTACCTACTACTTCCTACAACCTGACCACTTTTTTTCTGAAGTCTCTCCACAGGCTATACAGGTGAAAAAGAAGAGCCCTTCGTCTTGTCCCGGGCCCCAATTGCAGGCTGAATCTCCGTGCCATCTTCCGAGAGCACCCAACGGGAAGGTTGTGACTAATTTTGCCGGCGCATCTAAATTAACCGCCAACATGGATCACGGCCACACGGATATGGGGAGTAGCAACGCTACGTGCACACATGCTGTACGTGTTGGCCTATTATATTCATATTCAAATTCCACCGGAGCCGACTGGGCAATGACTAACCGGGAAATAGATGGCATGGAACTGGAATATTATTGGCACCTGTAAGCCTTCCCTCGTTATATCCAAGACATCTTGGGGATGGGTGGGGTTGCGAGATTATTAACTTGCTGTAGGTTTCCTTGCCGAATCCTGGCGCATCGAAAACGAGGGTACTTTTGCGGCCTCGTGTATCGGGGTTTTCATCCTCGTCGTATGTCTCGAGTTCCTCCGCCGAGTAGGCAAGGAATACGACAGCTTTATACTGCGGCAGTTCAAACAGCACCTAGCGGCGGAGGCCCGCGCGGCCAAAGCAGAAAGCTCGTGCTGTTCCGACGAGCCGCCGGCCCCCGGGCCGCAGGTCGTCACGTTCCGGGCGACTCCCCTGCAGCAGTTAATCCGCTCCGTCATACATGCGTTTACGTTCGGAGCCGCGTATATACTCATGCTCATAGCCATGTCGTTTAACGGCTACGTCATAATCAGCATCATCATCGGCGCCGGCGTTGGGAAGTTCTTATGCGACTGGATGATCGCCAAGGTCGTGATCGGAAATGAATCCCAATTAGATAAGGGGGCGAGCAGTAATCTGGAAGAGGCGTCTGTGTGCTGTGGTTAATGACAGGTTTTATGTTTAGATACCCATTATGAGTTTAGTTTTTGGTTCAGGTTTGCTCGGACAAATAAATTTCTAATTTCGTCACAACGGTTCGAGGCTGATCTGCAAGAAGAAGCATATTCTCGATGTCCAGTCTATTTCAAGATCGATCGGTGAAGAATTTTCTTTCTGGAGACCACGTCGCAGCGTAGAGACGTTCTCGACCTCGCATCATATGCAATGCAAGTGTCATGATCTGTCGTCTAATGGCTATATTTAGTTCAACTGTAGACTCGGAGTCGTTACCAGATGCGATCGGTTGCTTGGACTCGACGAGTCTTGGATAATTATTATAACCCTGAACGGTCAGTTCTTGTCTTTGTAACCTCATCTCAAACATCACCAGTCGTGTTGCACAATTATTGCGTCACCATCTGGATATATATACTGCTTGGCCTGTTTTTGGCCACTCTCCGGATGTCAAGAGGCTTGGATCGGCCGGTCATATATTAGGCAATATGTGTCTGGCTTTTATTAATGAAAACATCACCGTCAAAAGCCGATGGGATATATCGGTCTGGAAAGGGGAACTATAGACTTGGAGGCGAATGTCTTGGAATTCAAGAGAATGTCGAGAGGTGTGAAAAAGATTTTATGCTTCACCTCGGAATTTTATATAAAGATGGTCTCAATAACACAATTGATGATTAGCAATTGCTGACAGCTACATCATCGTCGAGCATCTTCGAGTCAAGCTTTCGTCCAAGTCTCACATTCTCACCATAATACCAACAAGATGAACGTCATCGTCTCTTTGGCTGCCTTTCTTTCCGTGCTAAGCATGGCTATGGCCAACCCAATCACTAAGGCAACCGGTACAGCAACAAATTCAGCCACGGCGGACGTCACAGGAAGCATGTCGCTTCCTTATTTCCCACCTGGCGAATCAGCCAGTGCAACGACAACATCTTCGGCACGAGCGGAAGAGACTCTCAGCATGTCGCTGCCTTACTTCCCTCCTAGCGTATCCGCGACTGGAAGCGCTACTATCTACACTCCTGTCCCTACTTCTTCCTAAAGCCTCAAAAAGGGGAGTTTGTGGTCTGCCCTTGCTTTTCCGGTCTTCACCTGGGAGTCGCTCATTGCGCCTTTGGGTATCCCGAAGCAACGAGTTGACTCGTACGCCGGAACACTCGTTCGAAAATCTGGGGTTGAAGACCGAGGGAACTGCGAAGTTGCGCTCCTTTACTTTTCCCATGGGGTCTGTGATTTATAGTCTAATGCATTTATTATTGCCGGTTGTTATTATTACTCACAAAAAAAAAAAAAAAAAAAAAAAAAAAAAAGAAGAAGACGAAGGGGGGATGACTAGGAAAAATCTCAGGGAAAGACTTCATCCATCCGTTTCCGGACCTCCTCACGAAAATGCTGACAATCTTCCGCTGAACGATTGGCCAAGGCCCGTTGTATTTGTACCTCAAAAGTCATCGTTACGTTGGAAATATGCGCTCGGGTTGGAAAATGTTCGGAGTTTCGCTGTCTCGGTGGGATCGCGAGTTTTTACATTCGATTAGGAGTATATACAAAATTTAATTGACAAGTATAATTGGTCAATTGCGAGGTCCCAGGAGTTTTATATTCTGCTAGGCTGCACGTTGCTTATTGTTGTTTTCAACTAACTCTATTGCCGAGTCATAAATATGCTGATTTTCACCAGCAAGTCGATGACAGCGTCTTGATGTCATCGGACATCCTCCGGTGCCCGTCACTCATAAGAATGTATAAAAATGAAACTGCATTTCGTCAAGATATCTCGAAATCACAGGGACTTAGGTAGATAATGGTAAGAAGATTCAAAATATAATATTATATACCTACCAAGTATTATTGACTCAAACCCCCAAATACCACCATGAGCGACCCGAACAATCCGAACATCAGCCAACGCAGCACGCCGCAATGGGGTCTCTATCAAAGGGAACTCTTCTGGGCACCGAACGAGGGGAAGCATCCGCCCTTTAATACACGTAAGAATCCAATGTCCACCTAGGTATATATATATATATATATACAATATGAGTATCATACGATCTAACAGCCCTCATAGACCCCGATAAACTGAGGGAGACGGCTAGAGAACGTCTAAGCCAGTCCGGATGGTATGACTGCCTCCATCCTTTTAAGAGAAAACCTCACAGCACCTAGACAAACCAAGTCTCATATATGCACCTACCTAATATATATCAGGTACTACGCATCCTGCAACGCAGGCCTCTCGTGGACGCACTACGCCAACCGCCAAGCCTTCTACCGGCACCAGATCGTGCCGCGGATGCTCGTCGACACCTCGCGGCGGGACACGGCGACCAGCATCTTCGGGCACCGCGTCGCCGCGCCCATCGGCTTCGCGCCCATCGGCATCAACCGCATCTACCACCCCACCGGCGAGCTGTCCCCGGCCCGAGTCGCCCGCGACCTCAATCTGCTGTACTGCCTGAGCTCCGCGGGGAGCTGCAGCATCGAGGACGTGGCGCGCGCCAACGACGAAGGAGGAGGAGGAGGAGGCAAGGACGAAGGTGAAGGAGAAGGGGGAGGGGAGGGAGCAGGAGGGGATGAACAAAAGGGCGTGCGTTTCTTCCAGCTGTACTGGAGCCCCGACGACGCCGTAACCCTGTCGATGCTCCGCCGCGCCGCGCAGAGCGGGTACACGGCGTGCATCCTCACGACGGACACGTGGCAGCTGGGGTGGCGGCACGACGACGCGGCGCACGGGAACTACGCGTTCTACCACGAGCACGGGGCGGGGGACCTGGGGCTATCGGACCCGGCGTTCCTGGAGCGGCTGCGGGAGGCGAAGCTCGACCCGGAAACCGCGGGCGGCGGCGGCTCGAAAAAAGACAAGTACCGCGTCGGCGCGCAGTGGATCGACAAACACATCTGGCACGGGCACGCGTTCTCGTGGGACAGGCTGCCGTGGCTGATGGACAGCTGGCGGAAGCTGAGCGGCGGGAAGCCGTTCTGCGTCAAGGGGATACAGAGCGTGGCGGATGCCCGGAAGGCGCTTGAGCTGGGGGTCGATGGGATCGTGGTTTCGAATCATGCTGGTCGGCAGGTGGATGGTGCGATTGCGAGTTTGGACGCGCTGGAGAAGATTGTGGACGCGGTGGGGGATAAGATATATGTGAGTTGCTTCAACCTACCTAAGTTGCCTGGTGTTCTTCGGCTGGAAATGTTTATTACTACCAGGTGTGTATACGGTGGCATATGAAAAACACTAACGGCCGGACGACAGATCATGTACGATTCGGGAATCCGAGGCGGTTCCGACGTATTCAAGGCTCTAGCCCTCGGGGCCAAATTCGTCTTTGTAGGCCGGTTGTGGGTGTATGCATTAGGTTCTGCGGGCGAAGAGGGTGTAAGGCATGTGATGAAGGGATTGTTGGCGGATTTTGACATTCTGATGAACGTCGCGGGATATCCAAATCTAAAGGATATTAATCGCGATGCTTTGGACTCTCTTCCCAAGGGGGTGTACTTTCCGTCCACGACCGAGATCGCGTGAACGGTTATAGACGTGTCATTTTTCTGCGGGGGACAGTTGGAAGTTTTATCTTGTTACCCTAGATAGAATTGAGGAACGGAGATGATGGTAATGAATTTGGTAAATTGACAAAAGGGAGTAATATTGGTGTCTCTGTCAGATGGTTTGTTTTCATATCGAGCAAACGGAAAACCGTCTCGATTAATCCAACACCCAGGTTTCTTTATATATACATTTCCAAGCCGGTACCTCTCCCCCTTTCCCGTTCCGCATTTCCCACCTAACCTGTAACATTGAAGTAATTGGCGGCAATAGGGTCCTTCAGTCCAGCAGCCGTGATGAACTTGGGAACGCTAAAACCCACCTTCTGGCTTTGCAGCATCTGGTTCGCCGCCGAGGGGATTTGCCAGTTTTGTGGTTGTTCCCATAGGAGGTTTGTATATCTGTGAGGATGGACGGGATTCTCCGGTTGGGGGGCTGGGGCGAACCATGCCACTGGACTGTTGGCCGTCGACTTAAGCGTGCTGATGCCGTCTACCGACGCGCCACCACTGGCTTTGAAGTCTCGGATCACAGTGTGGAGATACGTGGTTCGCTGTCCCTGAGCGGGGTTGGCGAAATTGGTTGATCTAGCAACATGTGAAGTTAGTCACGACGTAGGATGACCGGTACTAATCTGAAAGGATCATCGGAACATACGCATCGAGGTCTATAATACACACTTAGTTAGCAAGTTGAATCTTGAAAGTTCCACGGGTAGGACTTACCGATTAGCATCCACACATAAGTACCGTTGGCAGGAATACTCAGACCAATAGTCGGCTGCCTTGAGGTTTCGGTTTTTGCCAAGGCCAGGCCAGGCGTCACAGACTTTGTCCCAAATGTGACTTCAAGCTTTTGCTCGACAGCGGGTGTGAAACCTGCCGGAGTCTGAGCGGCGGAGATACTGGCTAGAGCCAAGGCGGAAAGGATACAGGAACTCTTCATCTTGAATGTGAAAAGCCTACAACGAACAAAAGTTACTTCAGGTGAGACGACGATTCGTCTTGTTGTGGTATACTCCCAAGTCCCGGGTTAAGAGGTAGGTATAAATACTGGTTGGTTAAGCATGTTATCGAACCGCGGACTTTACGCCATAGCTCACCCGGAGCTCTTTTACACACTCTTTACATTACCCAGGGATAGGCAATTTACATCGACCCCATGCCGCCTCTGTCAAGTTTATATAAGCTCGTTGGCTAAATAGGGAATTTTCCTCATCGGGCGCGGTTGACCTTTGTGCCTGGCCAATCTTCCGTCTTGGCGAATTAGGTATAGGGATCTTGTCGAACGCGGGGTCTCCGCAAATTGCTGGCAGTTAGACATATACTCTTGCTAAGATCTCGATATTGGTTGCCGATCATTTGAGTAGGGGGATCTGGTCTGGACTTGGATTGTGGAGCGGGAGCTTCGAAGACATTTTGTAGTTGCCAAAAGGAATCCTCGGCTACCTACATGACCCTACATAGACTTGCTTTCCTTGGTTGATTCTTGCGCTCATATGAAAATGTGAGGCTCTGAGTCGCGAGCAATACTGCTATCGAAATTTGCTCGACTTGAAGTTCCCATGGCACCTGTTAGACTTTCACGGATCGCAAGGAAGAGAATGCAGTACTTAGCAACAATAGAGGTAGGTATATAACCCTACAGTTGGCACCGCTTTAGAATAGCTTTATTCAAACGCATTGTTGATATGAGCTTCAAACTGATCCCTTTTATAAACTACCTACCTACCTACCTTAAGTACCTTCCAAAAACCCTTATCCAGACGCCAGTGGCCTATGCAATAACGACAATGATGTATATCTCTTTCTAAGCCAGATATCTTTACGATATATAGACTTTCCGCTTAACACTTTACTCAACAATGATCAGTGAGCAACACCATCACTGTTCTTGCCAACAGTGCTTGGGCTGTTCAACGCGCTGTCGTCATCCCTCAGCGGCCTTGCATCCTCATCGTCGCTCATTAAGCCTTCCAACTCAAACTCCTGAGCGTCCCTTAACGGTACATTGCCGTTTACCCGGGGACCTAATCTACCATTCGCTACTTCTTTGGTAGGAACTGCTGGGGTACTGTTCCGGTCATAAACTCCGATAAGAACATTTACGAAGAGGAAGAGTAGGAAGGCGAGCGAATACAATATTAAGATGTAAGCGACGTGGTCCATACCCGAGGCTGCGACTAGAGACATCTGTTCCTCTGTAGCACCCATGAATAAAAACCCAGAAGCATAGAGCAACTTTAACAGACAAGTTAGTAAGAGGCGTAACTTGCATCATAATGAGCTGGGTAACTTACAAAGACGGGGACGTATTGGAAGCTAGTCGTTCCTCGGCCATCCTCGGATGAACCAGGCTGATCACGAAGAACGAAAGATATCTCAATGATACGCGTGACACCAGCTGCCATGAGCGTGTATCCAAACATTTTGTGAGTTTCGGCGCTGATCATCAATTCTTGGGGATGGGCGCTCATAGCCCAACCGGTCATTAGGAGGACGAAGCCTGGGATGAAGTTACGCTGCGGTCGTCCATCACGGTCTTTACTCAACCAAACTCCGGCCAATCCTGCTGACCACCAGATAATACCCATCGTGGTATGCTGCCAGTCATTCTTGACCCACGCCGTGCCCCATCGGTGTTCGGTGAAGGTATTAACTACTCCCCAAGCGGCGATGACGGCACTATCGAAGAACTCCTGAGAACGCCCAGTACGCCTTAACCAAAGCTGTCCGGCGAGCAATAACAACGTCAAGAGGACTCCGTAGGCGATAAAAGCGCTTCCCATAATGAAATGCGCCAGACATTGGCCAAGATGATCACCCTGGCAGAAACCGAGAGCTGTAATACCGCCAAAGAGCATTTGCGTCCATGATAGAACAGGTAACGCTTTTCCGACTACGCCGTGTCCGATCTTCACGAATCGTCTGATTTTCCCGTTTATACCTTTCTCGAGGTGTAGCTTCAGGTAGATGCCCATGAGAATTTGGAGGAAAAGAAGTAAAGAGATCGGCGATGCGAATTTCGAGTGGACGTTGGAGTGCTGAAACTCGCGGCCGCCGTGCATATGACCTAGGGCATATCCGAGGATCGCCAGTGCTGTCCCCAGAACCTGGACAGGGACGTGCCATCGGGACTTGACGATCTAAAATTGGAGAAATTAGTCGGAATGTAGATTGATAGGCGAGTTAGAAGTTCAAATAAATAGATGATGCGCATACTCCAAGAACCATTCCTAAGGGAAATATGATGCCCCAAGCGAACATCTGAACGAAGATATGAATCCATAGTGTTGTGTCCTGCATGAATAATCAGTTTCCGCTGCTTCCGCCACAGCCGAATCAATGCTATTCAGCTGAGCGAACGTACAATAGGATCTTCGGAAATGGCGTGGCCATCTTCGATATGCGTAGAACTGTGATCGTGTGCGGAAGCCATTGGTAAAGCAGCCAAAGCCAGCAAAAATGTGAGAGAAAGAGAAGAAGATGAAGCCATCATCCTCAAGCTCTCACGGAGCCTCAGTTCTAACATGATGCGTTTCGGAGCCAGAATCTGGGTCCAAGGATGGGTGGATCGAACCCCTGGAGGGAACCGTGTTTCGATTATCTTGAGAGACAAGGGGGGGTGTCTCTTAAAATAATAACGAATAACTCTAAGTAATAATTGGACGGCGCTAAGAAGTTGTGAGAAGCTTAAACCAGCCGTCCATTGTAATGTTCACGGGTTACGGCTCGTAGTCGTTCGAGAGGTTGAAGACGGGAAAAAATGAAGACGGGAGTGGCTGACATTTGTTAATCGCTGCAGTGATTTTCGGATTGCGACAGCACGCTAGGTACTGGGTTAGGTACATTTGTATTAGCTTAGGAAACTGCCTTACGCTTGTGCTTGCGCAAGGTCTAATTCCGCTGTAGCCGGAACCCCACTTCCTTTACAGATGCTGCTGGAATGCACGCATGTACATGTGCAGTACAGGGGCTGGGCTTCGTAATGCGGGCAATCCAACGGCGGTAGGTGCCGCACCTCTTCACAAAGCTTAAGTCAAATGGGGGTAATGTCATTGGTTAAAAGTCGACCTGTATCTTGTGCAAATATTTTTAGGTACCCAGGTATTAATCTCCGACCTACCGGAGCTAAAGGCATGAGCTTCGTAATACTGTATTCTTAAATATTATTTTCTCATAACATTTGGACGGTAATGCGCCAAGTCAGTTTGTACACTATTCATATATCTTTAAAGCTGGTGACGCCAGCAAACCCAGGAAACCAGTTTAAAATCCTTCCCAGTTGCGTGGAGCTGAACCGTATGAACTGAACCAAATGACATAATTTCAATAGAAGGGGAAAAAGAAAGGAAGACTCAATAGTCCGAAAACTACTAACTAAACGCCAAAGCATTCACATGTTTCCGCCAGGTAAATAAGATATGTCTTCATATATATAATTAAGGTAACAATACCACAGCTATTCACAGCGAGGTAGGTATCATCTTTTGTGGTTGCTAACCTCCAAAAAAGAGACACAGTTGCTGCATTCAATATCCCCCAAATATTAGGTATGAATCCAGATAAACCGCTTCAAAGCACCCCTCCCCCCTATCCCCAGTATCCCAATATTCGATAATAAAACAGGTAGGCCTCCGAACCAATACGCAGAGACTATCAAGCTGCCGCACCTTCGTCTCTCTTTATGTCCATGCATATGCACATCGCGATGATGATGGCCATGTCGACGTTTGGCGCGATCGTAACATTATACGTTTGCTGGTCGGCTATAAGCTCTCGCGCATTCCAACGGTCGCGATAGATCGTTGCGACCGTTTGCCCGCTAGCCTCGTCTATAATGTCGGCGTTCGTGTCCATGAAGTCGCCCTTCATCACTAGCTCCTCCTGCTGGCCCGAAGCCGAGGTGAATGTAGCTATAAACTTGGAGCCAATCACTGCGGGTTGGTTTATTGACTCACGTTAGTTTGTCTCATCTTATGCTGTGTGTGTTGTGTCCCCCTCACTCCCCCAATTCCAGCCAATCGACAAGGATGCGCCAGACTCACACTTGAATTTACTCTTCACTTCGAAGATCTCCTCTTCTTTGGCATTCTCGGCGTAGAACGTCGTGTGTATGGTGAAGTGCCTCTTGCGGATGCAGAACAGGAAGTTCCCGTTTACGTCCGAGACGTTCGTGCGCCCGGAGAGCGACAGGCTCTCGCCGTTGACTTTGAGGATAGGTTGGCCGTTGTAAAAGCGCACGTCGAAGCTGTTTCCCGACAGCGACTTGATCTTCTCTTTCAGCACTAAGGTTTCGCATTGCCTCGCGAAGAAGGACGGAAATATGCCTATCGGCCGAGGGAGAGGGTTCAGTAGCGGCGGGTTACCCATGTTGATTGATATTGGTGGTAGATGTCAGGTGGACAAGTAGGTCAAGTTCGATGTGAAGGGATTGCGACTAGATAGGCCGACCGACTTGGATTGAGAATAAAGAAAATGAAATTAATAAGGAAAGCTAGAATTGTGCATCGTGTCACCAAGTGAGTTGGAAGCAGACAACTAAGGTTCTTATATTCCTATCCAGCTACCTAGTTACTCAGTAGGGTAGTAGGACAGCTATCCATTTCTGATCGGCCATATAAGTCCTACGTGATGATCCATCGTCAACCGCCCATTACTACGTAGGATTAGGTTAGGTAGTTGGGAGCTACGTCAGTCCGCTAATTAGCAGTTGAAAATAACATCAGCCCCCTTGTTGATCCGCTTTGTAGCTGAATTGCTAAAAAGGCAATCTGAGCTCAGCAAGGTGGTCGAGATTCTGATGTTGGTGGTGATAATCCGCCAAGATTTCCCCTCATTGGGCGATTCTCCATCATGACCCTGCATGTTAAAGCTAGCTACCTATCCAAGTAAACCGAATGTACCACAAAAATAATTTTCGTATTTATTTATGTTGGTACAGCCTTAAGAGTCACTTGCATGAGGCTGTACGTGGATATTATGCGTTTGAAGCGCGTGAAAATCTATCTTTTATTCGCAAGTTCATCGCTGTCGAAGCTATCCGCAGAAAAGATTATGGGCATCGTGGATGGCGCCATTAAAATAAAAAGCTACCTGTTTCCATTCTCAGCCACAGCTGAATAGAAATTATGCCTAGAAGAACATAGCCGTCTAATAAAGTAAAATTGGAATTGGCCCCATCAAACCCCAAATCTTGGGTTGGATACGGCGTATTTGCCGAAGGAGGCCTCTTTATACTGAAGACGTTGAAAGGATTTACTTATTAGGAAGTTAGTAACTCCAATTAGTCAAAAATCCCAATGGGTACTACTTGATTAGCGAATGAAAAGTGCTGGTTAGTATAAAGTTTCTACTACCATACCCCCTCACTGACACATTCCACATCCTGTAAATGTACCTAAGGTAAATACTTAGTTCTCATGGAGCAATCAAGGCGAAAAGCCTCATCAAGCCCGCGCCACAATATTGGCTCTCGCAAAAGCCGCGGTCGCATTATAGCGGCTGTCTTATTGTTCAACATCGCATGGCTATCATGGACTTGGGTACCCCGATACGCTAAATCCGAACACGATACCACTCGGGTGCAGAGATGCGCTATCGATAATCTCCACGGAGACCTATCTTTCCTCGACGGCGCGTCGCCTATTGGCAAATTCGAGTTCCTGGAAAGAAGAGATCGCCTCGCGCGAGCTTTGGCCGTATCTGATGTCGATGCTTTCGTCCTTGAGCCGGGGTACACGTTCCAGTAAGACTGTATCAATCAAAACCAGATGCATTCCACGTCTGCGAACCAGCGTTTGGGTGTTCTATTGTGATCTGTGGTTAATTATAGCCTATTAGATATTATGGGAATATCTCGCAAAGCGATTGGGAGCCGTGGGAGCCCGAGGAAAGACCATTCCTAATGGTAATCCTACCCGTGACCTCCGAGTCCGGCGCGGTTTCCGCCAAGACGGCTTTTCTCGCCCCGCATTTCGAAGAAGGCCGGGTCCGCATGCTCGGGATTCCCTCCCGGGAGCCCGAATTGGACATCGTAACCTGGGAAGAACATTGGGATCCTTACGATACCCTACGTCGGTCTCGTATTTTTGCAAATATTAATGGTGCAGGCGAGCACGGGAGAAAACCTAGACTAATGATCGATGAGGAGATGCGAGATTTTATCGCGCGCGGACTTGCGAATACCGGGTTCGAGACTTTCGGGTTGAGCCCGGAGGTCGAACTGGTAAGGCAGCTAAAGAGCCCTGCTGAAGTAGAATTGCTCCGCGCTGTGAACACCGGCACTGTCGCGGCGGTAAGGGCGATGCGTCCGTGTCTCGTGGCTGGTTTGACCGAAGACGAGGTACGGGGAATTCTCGATGCATCACTGCTCTCCGTCGGCTTCTCTCTCTTCTTTAATATAGTGCTCTTCGAAGAAGACGGTGCCTTGCCTCATGGTGGTTTTGTCGTTGGTAAAAAGAAACTAAATCACGAGACTATGGTTGTAATCGATGTCGGGTAAGCACATTTGAGGAAGCCTCGGCAAGGCAAGACCTCTAATTCCTTGCAGGGCCCATTACTTGGGTTATTCTTCCGACATCTGTCGCAGCTTTTTCATAGATCCGGAGGCCGCTAAAAGTGGTAGGATATACTCCACTTTAGTTGCACCTCTCTTGAAGATGATGAAGCTACCGACCGGGCTCCCCTCGGTTCCTGAAGGGGATCATCAGCTGCACGAAGAAAAGTTGAAGGTATGGAATATCGTATTAGAAGCCCAGACAGCTGCATCAAGGGAGTTCAGAGCGAACAATACAGCGGCGAATGTCGATCTTGCCGCCCGTAAGATCATAGAAGGAGCAGGCTACGGTCACGCCTTTACGCATCGGCTTGGTCATGGAATTGGAATAAAGGGTACGTGATATTTAAATCTATTGTGTCTGTAACTTCAACATGTGGATAATATTCACTTACATCCCTCAGCCCACGAATCACCTTACTTGAATAAGTGGAATACGAAAGTCACTCTCCAGCCTGGGATGACATTTACGAATGAACCTGGTATATATCTAGAAGGGAAATTTGGTGTTCGTCATGAAGATATCTATCTAGTGAAAGAAGAAGATGATGCGGAGCTATTAACAGGACGAAGAGCTACGGGGCCCTATGACCCCTGATAGACATAACGCGTCACCGAGATTGAGGACAGTCGGTGTATAGTCAATAAGTAACAAGTACGATCTTGTCTATAATGAATTTTTAGTATGATCCGGCTATTAAGGGTTACATTAGACGGTATCCAATGCTAGAGCAACTATTGACGCCTAAATTTCATCAATTTCACAATGGCCAAGTCGCATGCCCTTCCTACTACTCTATGGTAAAATTCCGACAATCATGTAGAATCAGTTAGCTTTGAAGTGGATGTTAGGCATAAGACGTGTAGGACAAAGGAGACGTTTGTATGCATACCTCTGATTCCTAGAGCTATCTTAGTGAAAGTTTCTCACGGAACAATTAAGTTGTTTCCTTACCTTCTGCTCCACCTCGTGACAGTGAATGCAATCTGCTCGTTGGCCGTGGGCCAAATATTGTCTATATAATCTTAGTTTTGGAAACCTTATGTCTCTTTTCCCATCCCATCTAACTAACAGTAAACCAGCTCTTCTAGCATAACACAATGCTTCTTCATCCATACTTTTGTCCTTGATAAAAATCAACCGCTGATCTTTCTATGTCCGATTTTCCAGGGGGGAAAATGGAAAAATTCATTGCTACGTTACACAACACACCGGAAGAGATCAAGTCCTTCGTTGAGAGGTTGGAAGTCCAGCGCCAACCATTCTCGGCGCGTGAGCTCCAAGAAATCATACGCGTCCTTCGTCGGTTGCAGGACAAAACCAGCACGCTTCGAAGCCAAGCTACTACGCCGCGGCAAAATGTCGCGCTTGACGCAGGTGACGAAAAGCGCCTCCGAGAACACCGAAGGAAGTTCGACGAAATCGACGCCCTTATTGTCAGGAAGGTTCACCAGGCGGAAAGTCGATACTGCAAGTTGAAAAAAACATATTGAATATGGAATATGGTAACCCTGTGGTAAAGAGAGGCAGAAGTTTGAGTGCATGGCATGCTGGGTTGAATTTGGATTCACCTGACTTGTACTCGTTTGTATTGATGCCTCGTTATCGGGGGTGTGGGCAAACCAAGGGCATACTGGCTATAAAGGCCCTCACTCAGCCAACTCTTGACAGTCTTTAATAATATTCAATACTTCAACATTATTAACTATTGAACTCAGCTATTGAATCTAGCCATTGAGTGAATATGATCTGCTGGATGTTCTTAAAGCCAAAATAAAAAAGTATATAAACCTGCCCTTGACAACCTCCTACCTCTATTCCCATGTCCACCTCCATTCCCATCTTCATTTCCACTTCCTGGAGCAGCACACCAAGCATCTTACCTAGCAAATCAATCCATCCTCGAAATTTTTTCCTACAACCAAAACAACTTTACCTCTACATCTTCTCCTACAACATGCATTGGCTCAGTGAGAACACCGTGAAAAACCTAGAAGAGGCACCTAACTGTAAGGCCTGGGCCGATGATCTCGACGTCGAATCAGGAGCGCTCTCCGATGCGGAATACAGCGAATTAGAGAACAGGCTCCAATGGGTCTTCGATGCGTTAAGTCCCTATGACTTAGCAGTACTATCTCCCGATCGCGATCCCGCAATTGACAACCAGAGGAGCACACTCGAGGACGTTGAGAATGCATTACAGGCAAAGAAGGATAAACATGATGAGCTTTACGGGATCGGCTAATCAGGGGAGGCGGAGTGTATAGTCGAGCTGTAGCGGGCTGAATCTATGAGCCTCACGACTTGGCTCGCCTTGTAGGCGGTCTGGATCGACGCCTTGGGATTTCCGGCGGATTTATTTTACTTGGGCGTGCTGTATGCACCGTTCCCTCCAGTTACTTGAGAGATGAGGGAAGCGTTGTCCATGTAACCTTAGCACGTAGCGTTGCCTTATAATATATTTACTCATTTTACTAATATCTGTTTTGTTTATAATGTGTATTAACTTTCTTTGCTTGTCTTATTTACAACGGAAACTTGCTACGAGTATGAAGAATGGGGCTGCGTTAATTTGTATCTTGGACGTTCGAGGAATGCCCTCAAAGGATAGGTACATAGTAGGCAGGTATATAGAGCTGCTAGTTGCTTTTATTATAGCGCCATGAGCACGAACTTGAGCAATCATTCAACTACGGCGCACCAGTAACAAGTCGGAGACCATCTACGTCTTATAGGAGGCAAACAACGATAATTACTTTCCAGACTCACCATGGCGAAGACGTTATATTGAGAGCCAGTACCGGCTGAATATTACGTTATCAAGCAGGGAGATACCAAAGACCATTTCACAGATTCGTAACTTAGATTATCTGTTAGTTAACTACTTGTGTTGGTTATAGTAATTTAAGCGGTTCTCTCGTACGAATGTATAAGCGGTATGCAGGAGGTGAGAGAAGTAGGGCCAAGCTGAGAAGCGCAATGGTTGAGCCCGCTTACACGCATTTTCCGGATATGTAAGAAAAATGATTTGTCACTATTACCTTAATATCAGTTATCGTTATATCGGTGTAAGGACATCGCATCGAGTGATCAATAAATCGTGGAGAATATCCTCCTTTTATTAAATAACTTCCGCAAACTTCTTACCTTATCAAGGTTATTTAATAAGAGCGATTACCATAACGTTAGGCAAACGAGACCTGATAACAAGATAGCGTGGTCGCGGCAGAGTTGCCGGAGTGGAAGCAGAGTGGGAGAAGCCAAAGAGACCTTCCATCTTTAACCTAGTTCCGGGGTTCGACTGGGGTTTGACTGCATAATCGCCAAGGATCGTCCCCATTATATGGGCTACCCGGTGGCGTATCCAAGCTTGATAATACTACGCTATCTGTTGTCCTGCCTAAAGTAATAATAACGAGAACGCAGGCTAGATATTGCACAATGCCAAGCGGGTCTCCGATCACCGTCTTAAATACAGGGCGTTCCGCCTCATTTTTGGACTCTTATTTACCAGAATATCTCTAGAGGCGCCATTCCTCGCCATGGTTCGTTGCGGTGCAGTCGTTTCGGGCCTGCTGGCCCTTGTCTCTTCCGTCGAGGCAATTCAGAGACACCCCTTGCCAATTAGCGAGCTCGCGAAGCAGGTATGCGAAAACAACCGCGTTCAAATAGTATTAGGTACACATAGGTGCAAGAACAAGAGGCTAACACGTTCATTTGCGGCAGGTCAAAGGTAAAGGCGCGTACGATACCAGGGATCTTGATCTCCAGGCCCTTTACCCCGAGTACAACCTCTCGACTCCGATTGACCACTTCCATAACGATTCCTCTTACGAGCCTCACTCCAATGGAACGTTCAATTTGCGGTACTGGTTTGACGCCCAATACTACAAGCCCGGGGGTCCGGTGATTGTGCTCGCGGGAGGAGAGACAGACGGAGCTGGTCGCCTGCCTTTCTTGCAGAAGGGTATTGTTTACCAACTTGCCAAAGCGACGGGCGGATTGGGTGTCATTCTCGAGCATAGATACTATGGCAAGAGTATTCCGACGCCAGACTTCAGTACCCAAAGCTTGAGATTTCTTACTACGGATCAAGCCTTGGCTGATACTGCTTACTTTGCTAAGAATGTCAAATTCGCCGGTTTGAAGAACGTAGACCTGAGTCCCGAAAAGACACCTTGGATTGCCTACGGCGGCAGCTACGCTGGTGCCTTTGTCGCCTTCTTGAGAGCCCTGTACCCGGACGTCTATTTTGGTGCAATTTCGTCTTCTGGCGTTCCCAAAGCTATTTGGGACTATTGGCAATACTTCGAAGCTGCTGCCGTTTATGGACCGCCGGCATGCGTCGAGACCACCCAGAAGCTCACGCATATTATCGACAATATCCTGATTGGCAAAAACGGGTCTGACTACGTTGGGCAGCTCAAATCAGTCTTTGGTCTACCTAATGTAACGCACGACGGCGACTTTGCTAGCGCCATCAACGGCGGCATTTATGGATTACAGAGTCTGAACTGGGATCCTTCGCAAAGCAGTGATAGTTTCTTTGTTTACTGCGACAAGGTCTCGTCGGATGACGTGCTGTATCCCGCTACAGAGGCAAGCAGGGAATCCGTCGAAGAGCTCATCAAGGTTGGTGGCTACGAAGACGAGTTGGAGACTCTCGCGAACAGATTCTTAAATTACATCGGTTATGTGAACCGAACTTCGGTTGCAAGATGTTCAGGTGATCAGGATGCTTGTTTTACTACATATGATCCGGAGTTTTACGCCCAGGACGACATTTCTCAGACCTGGAGGCTATGGCAATACCAAGTTTGCACTCAGTAAGTCTCAAGCACACTGATTGATGATGTTACTCTCCAGTACTTACTAGGTATTTAGATGGGGTTATCTCCAAACCGGAAGCGGTGTTCCTGAGGACCAGCTCCCTCTCATTTCGCGCACCATTGACGTTGACTATTCCGCTCTCATCTGCCGGGAGGCTTTCAATTTGACCAAGCCGGCCGATGTAGAATACATCAACAGGCTTGGTGGTTTTAACCTCAGTTATCCTCGACTTGCCTTCATCGACGGCGAGTGGGATCCGTGGAGAGCGGCGGGCGTTCATGCCATTGGTCTACCCGAGCGACCTAACACGCCAAGCGAGCCTTTCATCCTGATCGACGTAAGTTTAAAAACCACCTAACCTAGACAATCTACTGCGTATATCCCTTACTAACGGGAGAAACAGCGGGCGGTCCACCACTGGGACGAGAACGGGCTATTCCCCAACGAGACAACAGAAGACTTACCGCCGGCACCGGTTAGAGACGCTCAGAAGCAAATCGCGGCATTCGTGCAGGGATGGGTGCAAGAATTCACGGGTAAATACTAGCAGCAGGCACTTGGACTTGCACCTGTCAACCAGAAGATGCTGACGGGAGTAGCAGATGTTGTAACGGAGTCTAGTGAACTATGAACAATAGCTACCTCTATCAAAATATCATAGCGATACCTATGACGTAAGACTCGGAATTATGTCGATCTTGAAACGCATGCTTTCATCGGTATAACTATTAAGCCACGATTGAATGGTAACTAAAGCTCCTTATCATACCCGGTTCCGTTATGTTGCCATCGTGGCATGTACGTGATTCAGGGGCTACATACAAATGGCGTTAGTGTGACTCAGTATAGATTTGTATTACTTTGGTTTTTGTGGTCACTCGGATTTTGATTTCTAATGGCTTTGGATAAAATCAATCTTATAGTTACAGCATTTGTTATAACCCCTTGTTATAATCTAGGCACTATCATAATAATCATTAATTTTATCATGTAAATGTAAAAATGACTAATGTCTTCCTTCAGCCTGGCTCTACGTCAAGGCAAGCTATCCGGTAGCCGAAGAAGAAAAATCTATTCTCGGGTCACACAAATACTACATAGCAATTGGCAGCGACCTGATTGATGCGTTGAAAGTGAAATGCGCCGCATTCAGGGATAGGCACTGGAACATTCGTAATTGACTTAACGGCTATCACCCTTGGCGAACAGGGTTTATCACAGTCCCTTACTTGAGTTGTTCATATCGTCCCTCGAAATGGTTATTTGTAATAGACAACGTTCACCATTTCCTTGACTAGCATCAGGAATCAAAACCCGAGTTAGTTGCTTAACTGCCTAGACACACACAGCCCCGAAGCCAGCGCATTCACTTGCGGGTCTGTCAACTCGTCAACCATGACATTGGTAGGATTTTAGTGTGAAAAGGATAAAGAATGCTTATATACGCTGACAACGAAATATGGTAGTCAATGCTAATGCTAAACCCAGCGACTCTAGCTCTCAATGCAGATTTGTCCAAATCCAGTATATGCTCGTTTTGTGTGATATGTACAGTTCCGAGGTATATACTTGAGGAATGCCCTGAAGCCCCATAACTGTCCAGATAGATACGGTACGACCGCTACCTACCTAAGGTATAATGATATATGCTATCGCAAATGTTCAAGCCCGAAGCCTCCCTTTGCAGCTGAGTTTAACCCGATGGTTATCTGAAGTCAACCGCAATGCCGAAGGATATCATGGACGAATAACTCCCAACCAGTGATTCGATAATGGAAAATGAGAAAAGATAAAACAAAACGATGAAAAAAATGATGAAAATCACGGAATCCTGCAAGCTATACAGCGTGTTGAGACCTGATTTGATTTGGGCTTAGCTTGATTCGACTTGCACAAATCCTCCCCCCCCCCCCCCTTTTTTTTTTTTTTTTTTCATATTTGACCGAGTTAAATATGAATTTCGATATAGCCAAATAGGCCTCATACGATGGACGTGAAGTGAATGCAGTTCCGCACCTAAGTTTACGCCTCGGTGATAGTTCGTCCGTAAGGAACACCACCGCGCTCGTAGACAGCCATGACATTGCCGTCTCCCCGCATGAACGTACCGGGCCAGTAGGAGCTCTCCTCGGAGAGGCGGAAGGACTGGGTGGTCCACTTGAGCTGGCCGCCGCTGAGGGGCGCGGAGAAGATCATCTTGATGTCGGCCTTGTTGGCCCAGTCCAGCTGGTCGGCGGGGATGTCCTCGTCCGTCATGAACGCCACGGCGAGGTTGTTCTTGACGGCCACGATCTGCGGCGCCCCCGCGTTGTGCCCCTGCGGCCGGTAGATGGTGCTGCGGCTGCCCCACGTGTTGCCGTCGTCGTACGAGAGCACGGTCGCGACGTGGAAGTTGGCGCCCTCCTTCACCTCGAACACCATGACCAGCGCGTCCTTGCCATTGTCCTTCACCGCCACGATCCCTTGCATGCCGTCGCGGAAGCCGTCGGCCGACCCGTGCAGGTTCAGGTTCTGCGGCTGCGACCACGTGGCGCCGCCGTCGTGCGAGATCGTGCGGAAGGTCTCCTGGTTGTTCCGGCCCAGCTCGCCGGAGTACGTCAGCTGGATGCCGCCGTCCTTCCCGATGCGGAGGAAGGGCTCCCACAGCCCGTTGAAGCCGGTCGCGTCGGCGGGGTTCTGCGCGGCTTGGGCGAGGAACGCCCATGTGCGGCCGCCGTCGACGCTCTTGCAGACGGTGATGCGGAAGTAGGTCAGGGCGCCGTCGGCGTTCTTGTCGTGGTTGCGGAACGCGGCGAGGATGGTGCCGGACGGGAGCTGGAGGAGGAATCCGTTGTCGAGGTCTCCGGGGCCCTGAGCGATGGTGCCGATCTCGTTGAAGGTCGCGCCGTTGTCGTCGCTCCGGGTGACCCTCAGAGTGCGGAGGCCATTCTTGGTGTAAGACGAGACCGCGAGGATGCCGCCATCCGCGAGCCTGGTGAGACGAGGGTATGTCCCGCCAGGGGCCAGCTTGACCTCCTTGTCGCTAAGGGTGAAGCTAGCTCCGATCTCTCCAAATTTCACAGTGTTGTCTCGGTAGGTGAGGTTAAGCTTGTTCCTGATCGACCTCCATCTGAAGGCCTCCCTTAGCTCACCCCCGGGTCCTATTTCCCTTGCTACATGAAGGGGATGAGCGGGCTTAACAGGTCTTGCTAAACCAAGGGAGATGAAGTTAAGGCAGTGAAGAAAAATGAAGAGGAGTGACATGTTGGCTGCTCGAGCCATGGTGGGCAGAGTAGGAAGTAGGAAGTAATACGGACTTAGAAGATTGTCGTTGCCGTTGCCGTTGCCGTTTTTGTCGTTGTTGTTCTGAGATACCTATAAAGAGAATTGATCGGTGGGAGAAAGCATCCTCTTATAGAATTACCATAACAAAGACGTGCTCGTCAGTAGGGTAGTATAAGTGAATAGTAAGTTTTGGCCAAACTTGGCTTAGGCTTGGCCTACGATGGACTCTTACACACGTGCCTTAACGACTGTACCTCCCTTACACCTCACGAAGCACAGCATCTGATGGCAGGTGAATGATGATAATTTCAGGAAGGTGTATTGACGGATCTCTTGACCTAAGCGTAGGGCTTACCTGCAGGAACTCCGGGGTAATCATGGGCTTTTGGGTCCCATCGTATAAATGTCTGCCACGAATATGGCGGACGCATCTGATTGGTGTGTTATCCGGTAAGGGGCGCCAAGGAGGTAGCAGGTGCATCAGCATCATGGTATAGGAAACTACCTAGGTAGGTAGGTATAAGTGGCATAAGTTTAACGCCGGCCTATTGTCTGGCCGAGGGTTTTGGTGTAACCTGTAGTGATCTATAATACGTATATGATATGAGATTTATGATGCTTCTTGTAGAGTTTAACCCGGATCCGGTTAGATATTTGGTTCGGTTTATGTGGTTGATGCTTCTTTTCTGGCCTGATCCGGTGAGTTTGCTCGAAGGATAATGGGTCGAGCTAAGACATGTGTTTCTTATTTCGAGCTTTGCATTGCATAGGTTTGCTTCTGGCCTTACTCCAGAGTGCCAGTCAGAGTAACTCAACATAGCTAGTCTGATCTCGAGTAGAATTATCAGGGAAATTGTTAAGCAGGTAGCTTCACAGTACTTCACTATACCCCTTAAGGAATGAGATCTAAAGGATCCGAAACATTTGACATTTGACCAAAGGGTTTGACCTGGCTCGTCAAGATTAACATAAACAAGGTATATTAAATAAACTTATTTCAAATCTATCGAGGCTATCTGGTGGTTAGTTAGCACCGATAATTCCCCATAATCCCCACCGGCCGGCCGGTCTTAGTGGCGCTGCTGACGTTAGACACTAAGAGAACAAACGGTGAGAAGAATTGTTGTATTCGTCGTACATACCTAGTACTTTGTCAGTTGCACAGCATGCGGGAACAGAGGAACAGCGGGGGAGGAACGCGGGCAATAATGGAGTCTCGTAAGTTATTTCTACCTAACCTAGGTACTCAGGTACATAGTACTTGACGAACTTAAAACGGGCATTGGGTTCCAATTCTTACCTAAGGTATAATACGTTTTCTGGAAAGATTCTTTATTTAGACCATTCTTATATTAGCGAGTTGGGCAACTTCTATTATTTGTACTGTGACTTCGCTTATATTTAGAGAATGCTCGGACTTTGTGGGCCATCCAAATACTTGGACCTATCATAAAAATAAAACTTACAAAGACAAAAAGACAAATAATAATAAGTGCATATACATACCTAATACAATAACATAAAGCCACGCATAGTAAGTACATAGTACGTACTATTATGGTACATGTAGGTATATATGTTTTCTCCCACTACCCATGCGACCCGCCAGGCTGGATCTTCTTCAAAACAAGCGAAATTCGGGGTCACGGGGCGAACCGAGCTTTGTACCTAACAATACGCCAATGCTACACAACTTTTTCACCTTGTATAATGTAAATTGTATTTCAACAATAGTCTATATGCTATCCGATACTATTTCTTTATCATCATATCACAATCGCACCGCATTTACGTCGTCCTACTACAACAACAATAAAATATAAGCCGGTCATGCCGGGCGAAATCGGTATGCCGGAGCAGTGCAACTATTCTTGTGTTGAACCATGATAGCCCTGCTTAATAGACGCCGGTAGTCTGGATCCCGCATCTAAGTCCTGCAGGTCACATACTTCATTGGGCTTCTTTTGTTTCCTTCCTTTTTTTTTTCTTTTTCCCCTTTTTTCCTTTTTTTCTTTAGCAATCCCGGAACATCCAAGATGACATGCATTCAACATCTCTAGCCAAGTCAGTCATCCATTGAGCTTTCGCTAGTTCTTATTTGCTATCGGTCATGAGATATGCAAAGTCGCGTGGCAACCCCGCGTTGGGGTATGTAATCCGCGAAGCCACCGAAGAGCCTTGTCAGATTCTTATTGCTAGTTTGGACGTGAATAACACGCTTACTTTCCCCTACCCCAAAATCCACTCTTTAGTCAACGTTTCATATTAGCGTTGCGGCTAGTTCGACAAAGACCTCGGAGAGCTTGCGGTTATTCGGTTATCTGCGGTGTGGCTACTAATGTTTAGTTTGGAGAGCTGGTCCTATCACGAACTTGGTAAGGCTGTGGGTTACTACTATAGGATCCTGCAGTCAGTTAGACTACCGGTTACAGCTAACTTGTTACGCATTAGGTAGTCGATGGAAGGCTACGCTTTCTTCTGGGAATGGTCATTTCCTGTTTGCATTGTCCGAATTTCCCTCAGCATAAGGTCAGAAGAGCCAAGTGGTGTAACATAATGCAGGTCACCAAGCTGTCACATATTTTCAAAAGCCCCGGAGAAAAACGGAGGATGTTAAGGCGGTGAAACATTGAGTATAGCGAAGAGTTACGAGACGTGGCAAACTAGCAAATATTAGGTAGGTGAGGTGGAAGTTGAGGAGTATTCAGGGAGAAGGGAATGTGAAATGGCGCCATTCCCGAGGAGTGACTGCTAGGTGAGGTGCTTTAGCGTTTCGTAATATCAAGAAGTTGATTTGAAAGAGGTTCAATAGTCTGTTGCAAGCAAAATTATTCAAGGGCGCTTATCCTTTTCTTCGGCCCGTTCCCGTCTAAAGGTTGCAACCATAGAGAAAATATGATGGATGAGAAACAAAATAGGACTATGATATAGGCCAAGATTTGCTGGCGCATACGTTATCCATCAAAATTTGACGTTTGAATTCTTACTACCAGAGTAACATCAACTCAAAAGCCATCGCAAGACAAGTCAAGATGCCCGAGGATGAAGCCGACTTCGCCAGGACAAGGAATATATGCCTTAGGCTAGGTATGGAAAGTTTGTAGGCAGTCATTTTGGTCACATGAGATTCATTACAAAGAAATTATCTAGCAATTACCTAGCGTGCTCCTTTGGGAGATCGTCCTGATGACTTCCATGGTACCTTACTTATCTTCACAGGATCAGGGGGACTTACCTAAAATTACATGGTCTTTTTCCCCACATGGATATACGGAAGTCTAAGATGGTAGGATGGGGTATGCGAGCTTATTAGGTGGGTCTTCGTCCGATCTTTACGTCACTAAGCAGTCTTTGTAAGTTATATATAGAGCTGCCGTATAGCCTCATTACGGCAGGTACTTAGGGAGTCTAGGCAGGCTGAATAGCCAACGAGGGCCAACGAGGGCCGACTTTGAGGATAATTATGTAAAATGGCCCGCGCTCTAAAGTCACCATAAGAATAAGACGGCGCTATTAAATTTTATCAACAAAAACGACGTCGTAATTGCCAACTAGCAATTACGCCTTATATACACTACATGACAAATTTCATGTATTAGTCGAAAACTCTAAGTTACTACCCAACCTACCGTTTTATTTTCGAAATGAGTGGCCGATGAAGGATTATTTAAGCAGTAGCATTCGGCCGCTTTTCCAGGTCACAAACTAGTCACTTGGCTTATGACTCAAAAAATCTGTAATATGCGAGGATTATTATTTTGATATTCAAGGTATAATTGATGATTAGGCCCTGCCTACCAAGGGCAATATTTCATCCTGTTGTTGTAATGTGAGATATTGTAACATCAGCAGCTCGTCCAAAGGTTAAGACGTCTTTTTCGATTTGACCTGACTGTAATTACCATCATTAGCGCCTATCCAAACTGGCTTTGACGATAACAGTATGCCTCTGGGATGTTTGGGTTGGCACTCTAGCAAAACTTGAAGACGCGGCTGTTTGCAAAATATCGAGGTCATTGGAGTCGATAGTATAATGCGATTAATTAGAAATTCATGTATTATGATTATCTACTTGTCAATATTCTATTTCTTCGTATGTCAACATATTTGTTCTTTATGATAAGAGGCAAGTTTCGCATCTCGACGGTCCAATCAGCGTCAACTCCATAGGTCAACTTTATTTTCTTTCATCAGGATAGTGTGCATATATTGTTCAATTGCCCACTGTGCAGTTCCACATGCACAGTGCATTGGCAACCTAAGTGTCCATGTGCATCATTAAGTTGAGTAAATCATGTACGTGGTTCTTTCCTTTAGGTACAGGTAGGTGCTGGGTAATAGGCACCTAAGGAAAGTGCACCTGCAACTTTGGAACAAAACACTTCCAATTTTTTAACCATAGGTAGCAGCCTGTTACGTACAAATATGTGGGGCCTGGTAGCAAACCATGTGCAACAATCGCGCTGTTACAACTCAAAGTCTTTATCACGCCTTGTCCACCTTCCTTTCAGCTTCTATCATAAATACAAGGAAAATTCCACCTCGGGACTGACACTTGCTTCGTCCTACATCTTTTTTTCCTCCAGCACAATTGTCAAGATTCACCTAAAACGCGATATAACTTACTTGACTTGCCTCTTCACGTCGTCGCCTTCCACTACAAGATCTGAATCTTCGATTGAGGGATCGTCTCATTTGTCTTGTTTTTGCAAAACCTCTTGCGCTATGGAGGTTATCTCTCCGCTAGCGACCGATTATTATTCGGCACAGCCGCCTTCCCTCATCGAGTTTCATGATGTTGATGATACACAGAACGACGAGACAATTTATTACGAACCTCTGAACTACATCTATAAGGCTGAAGATGTTCAGCTGTACAACGAGGGCGGACATCACCCTGTACACCTTGACGCTATACTCAATAATCGCTACAAAGTCGTCCACAAGCTCGGCAACGGCGGCTTTGGACTCGTCTGGCTCTGTCGCGACACCTTCCTACACAAGTGGAGAGCAGTCAAGATACTGACTGCTAACCAGTCGGCTAAAGGTACCGAGAAAATGATAACCAAGAACCTATCCCAGCGCTGCACCACGGCTAAGTTAGAGAGAAATCATATCCTACTACCCTCGGATCAATTTTGGCTCGTGGGTCCTAATGGTCGCCATCTTTGTTTCGTGATGCCAGTTCTAGGCTGGACCGTTTCAGACTGGCGTCTGCTGCAGAAGAATGACCAAGAGCAGACTCATATTGACGCAAGAAACATATGTCGACAGATTATCGAGTCTGCGCATTTCCTCCATAAGTGCGGAATATGTCACGGGGACTTCAGACCAGGAAACATCCTCATGAAATTAGGAGGTATCGATGATCTAAGCCAAGATCAACTCCTAAAGCTTATGGGAGAACCGGTGTGCCTCAAAGTTGAAACACTATCTGGTCAGCCTGGAGCACCTAGAGCTCCCAACTATTGCGTGGCACCTGCAGACGAATCCTGGTCCCGGTCTTTATCAACTAAGTCAATTGCAGTCATCGACTTTGGAGAATCTTTTTTTATACACTCCCCACCTAGAACAACAGGTATTCCGGATTCATATGCTGCCCCTGAAGTCCTTCTCGAAGGTTTCGGGGACTTAGGAACCCATAGCGACGTTTGGGCATTGGCATGCACCTTGTTCGAAGTCTGGACAAATTCGCCATTAGTTGGGGGGCAGTGTGGAGGAATCTCCGATAGCCTTGGAGAAATGGAGTACTTCTTAGGGCCCTTGCCCTCGCGGTACCGAACGTCGTATGATACGATGCATTGCAGTATCCCATCAGAATCCCTATCCTACAGCGGGGCCCCTGAAGCTCAACTGAGCACAGGAGACTTTACACCTAAAGGCCAGCTGCAAATTGATGCCCCTGAGAATGACTACTACGAAGAAGAACGGGCGGAGATAAGGGAAAGGTCAGGTTATCAGGATATATTTGAGGCAGTACTCGGACAGGAGCATACGCTCTATCGAAACGCGCATACACCTAAGGAAACAGAGCTTATCAAATATCGATATGCTAAGGAGGATGTGCTAGGCTTAGCAGACCTTTTGCGGAGAATGTTAAAGTATGACCCGAAAGATCGTATCGGCATGGATGCAGTTATGTCACATCATTGGGCGAGAAAAGTGAGCAAGGGTATTGGAGGTGGGAAATCAAGGCCTACAGATGAGAGGATGCCAATTGCCCTTGTGGCCACTGCTGTTACATTGCTTCTAGTTTATAAGCTTGGCAAGGGGGCAATGATATAGGGATCAGGAGCCAGCATATTCAGATTCACTGTTGAGGGAACAGTTACTTAATATTCTAGGGGTCTCATAATAGAATGGAGGATTATGCCCTAAACTAAGCTTCATCGTGAATAACTTGATAAAAGTCTTCTTAATATTAACTACCAAAATCTTAACACTTACAATAGCAATGCAATGAACACTAGAATTACGTAGATGAAAAGTGACTATATCTGATAACGATGTCACTTAGGTGCCTACCTACCTCTTCCGGCATAACAAAAAGCACTCGAAATATGCACCGAGGGCTTTACCTAGCTAGAACTCGGGACTGATTATTGCTAGGACTTGGCCTCAAGCACCTTACAACTTCAACTAGTACCCTATTGCCCTTATGGCAACTGAGAAAGCACTGACTGGATGGTAATTGAATCCAAATGGCATACAATATATTACGGGTTGTCCGAGAACTTGTCGTGACTTTCAAGTACCGCCCCCCTGGTAGGTATTGATGTTACGGCAACCAGCTGTTAGTTATCAACATTGCGAATTATTCCTATAAGAAAATTTTCAACGGGTTGCCAGTGACGCATTCAACTCATACGTTAGGTACCTCCTACGTTCCCTAAGTACTTAAGTACTTCCCACTGTGCGTTAGGTAACTATTGTAAACATTCTGCCTTACGCTTTGCTTGAGGAAATGTTTGTGAAATACGGACTTTCGCTCAAAGGTCGGTTGTCAGGTTACAACTGCTCACAGTGCGGTACAATAGTCGCTGTAACTAGGGAAACAAAGATTTGAAAAGGCGTTATCAAAGAGTTCCGCCATAACGCTTTTGTTATTATTTCACGCCATTGTAATAACAAATACTTTAAACACATCGCCAGACCTCTGTGTTTAATGGGATAAACATACATGCCACTTCGTTGCAGTTACAAATTATACAAACAGCAAATATGTCTTTCCCTCCATCCAAAGAATTTCAGGCAATTCCCTGGGAAAAAGGAATGCGACTCGGCCCTGGCAGACGCTTTCCAGATACCTTTTTGGACAGGCTCGGTGAAATAAAAGTAAAGACGGGCTCTGGTACTGTGGAAGACCCTTTGGTAAGTTGCCAATTCTAGAGAACACGCAATTAGACATACTTGTAATTGACATATATTTCAGGTCCTTTGGCCTCTCCCGGGTCCCTGGACAAGCAGAGGCCATAGGCAATCCGTAATCATGGACATAGTCAAGCAGACAACATCCGATTGTGGTCTAAGTCATGCATGGATCGCGTAAGTCAATTATACTATTACCCATACCAACAAATACTAATTACATGTATAGGTCTGATATTCACCCTACATGTACTACCGGATGGAAGGACGGCAAACGCCAGATTGATAAGGATGATTATCATGTCACTGTGCGGATGGGATCCAACAGCAGAACTTGTAATATTCATGGGCACATCTACCTCATTTGTGAAGGAAATGATATGCGAAGAAACATTGTTCGCGCCATGAAGACATCCGAACGAGGCATTGTGGGCGGCACAAGCCCTCAACTATTGGTTTGGGGCCCTTACGATCCAAGTTGGCCCAGAGCGAAGACCCCATTGCCGGAGCCGCCATACAAGGTCAAAAAGGATTCAATTCTGGAATTCCAGAACAAAGCCAGAGCTGAGGCTGCCGCCGCCGCGAACGCATCAAACAGGAAGCGTTAACTACCTATACAGGAATCCAGTCTCTTATTATCCACGGACGACCCCCTAAGATACCCTATGGCATATCTCACTTCACCGACACCTTGTTGGATCGAGTTACAACGAAGCAGTATTCCAGAATCAATTTCGATCCAAGGATGAATACTCAAACTTCGGTTTTTAGGTTGTGCAATATTCAGTTTATTACCCAGAGACTTGCTGATATCTGTGAGTACCCCCCCTCCCCCCTCCTCTACCCAGTCCATTTACGACGGAGGTTCCCCGGGGAAGGTTGTGTGTGTATTAGGGGTTGATGTTTGTGATGGTTGCTCGCGTGTCCACCTCTTTAAAAGTGCCTAAGCATCACTACACTGACTACCCTTGATATGATTGGTTGTTTGATGTTTAGGCTTGCTGAACCTACGGGATACTTAAACGACGAATATGGCCTATATCACGGCATACCTCCCTTTCCAAATCCAAGTGGATTAACATGATTTTTGCGTAGTAAGTTTCCCAATCCTACCACTCATCACTGATAATATACTGGAATCGACCCCCAAACTAGCGTCGATTGAATATAACAAAACAGACAACGAACCGGAGCAAAATAGAGGAACACGGTTTGATATCAAGTGATTTATGTTATGGTAGTGATATGTTTTTTTTTTCTACAACAACATTTACTCCCCCCATCCTTTGCTAATCTACCTATTATTCAAATTAAACGTATTTCCATGAGTCAGGTAGAGTGAGGTACGTTTATGCCCCCCTTTCCTTTGTCTTTCTCAGCATCTCCATCCTCGGGGATCCCATTATCTTCAGCTCGCTTGAAAAAGCCCTTTTCATCGGCGTCGAGAATAGCAGTCCAGAGGATTTCGGCCATCATGTGATACCCCTTATCCAGCGGGTGGGTACCGTCGGGTGATAGGTCGACAGGCTGCGGTCGACCCTGAAGCCCGTGGCAGCAATGCATCTCGGCCAGCACGACGGGTTTCTCTTCGTGTTGGAGGGCCGACGCGGCGTCCCTTATCTGAGAGTTGGCATCCAGAACGCAGGATTCGATGTTGGGGGCGTTGTTTACTAAGAGGGTCGACATGACCACGGTAGCGTTGGGAGATGCCCCTAGTAAGTAATCGACGATGTCTTTCGTGCGCACGCCGAGGTTATTCATGTCCCAGTTCTGGAGGCAGTCGTTCGACCCGACATGTACGACGAAAAGATTCGGGAGGGTTTCGGGAACGACGTGCGTAGCGTGCTCGTGGATCTGGTCGATGCGGTTTCCGCCGTATGCTTCCAGCTCGTTGTCCTTGAAGTCCCCTACCCGTTGGGACCCGACTAGGTTGATAGGATTACCCGATGAGACGAACGTATCGCGGATGAACTTTCGAAAACCAACATCTCCCGTTGAAAGATAGCCTCGTGTAATCGAAGCGCCCAGGAACATGACTCGGAAAGGCATGCCACCAGCTATCGCTGACGAGGGCTGGTCATGGTTGGGTACCGGGTTGTCGTAGCAGTGGCACTGTAAGCCAGGTCGCGCAATGCGATGGGAGTTTAGAGCTAGGTAGGTTTGCAGTTAGATCATCTTCCTTGCTAAGATCTAAAGGGATGCCTTAAGTATACTTACGCGCGAATTCACTTGCCTGTGCCAAGGACAAGCATACGGCAAGAAATTGCCCCCATGGTTTGGAAAGCATCGTCGGATAATTCTGATGCCGTCCGCCAAATGCCACTTGTACGGGCTTTGCCTTTGCCGTTTTGCTAGAGCCTTGGATCTACGGAGAGGTTTTGGAGGTTGGCCAAAAGCTTGGAGGCGAGCCTTAGTTACTCTGTAGGTTGCAAAAAAAAAAAATTGAAGATAGGTACCTCTTATAATTGGCAACCCATTTTCGTTGCAATTTCTGATTCAATATTAACTCCATCACATCATTCGGCGAGACTGCCCATTCAATAAAATCCTAGCTAGTGCAAGACACCGTTATTGACATAGAGTTGCTCAGTCATTCTGATTAGGTGTGACTTCCACACTAAAAATCTAGTAGTTAATGGTTTTGAACGGTTGGGACAAAGTACATAGCTTTGGCATATCGAAGAGATCGTGAAGTGTTGCCAGGGGCACGAGATGTAGAGAATCTACAATATGATAGCGTAAAGATCCTAGAATCCAAAATATGACTTGCCGATGCAACAAAATTGTTATTCAGGGTATCTCGACGATGTCTAGTCCTTCTCGCTCCTTACTTCCAAAGTCTCAACAGTAGCCTCCTCATCGTTAGATAACTTGGCACTGTCGCCATGAAACACCTTAACATCCCCAAAAATCTCGTCAATCTCTTCTAGCGATTTCCCTGAAAAGCGTCGATTAGTAGTCAAATTTCACCTTAGCGTCCAGGCCTATGTTGGGTACCTTTTGTCTCAGGATATGCGAACGCAAATACCACAGCGCAGAGAGCGTTCGTAAGGATAAAAAGTATCTATCGATGTATTAGTAAAAGCGACAACTTTCTAAGGAACGGAGGTGGGAGTACATAGTATTTCCATCCAACCGCCGCGAGTGCGATTGGCGAGCACTGCGTGATAACTAGACTAATAGAGTAGTGGATAACTTGAACCAAAGCGTTTGCCTTTGCTCGAAGCTCCGTAGTGAAAACCTCGGGACTGAAAGAAGGTTTTCGAACGTTAGCACGAATCAGGAACTAAACCATTATTTTTAAGGATAAGACTGACGGAATGATCCAAGTCATTGGGCCAAGAAGAGCTGAATAGTTTGCCGAAACAGCAAAGATGCAAGCAATGAGACCCCTTTGCGCCAAAGTATTCGTGGGTAAGCCGGGACGCGCCGGGTAGACTGCGGCTAGGATGGTGATTATCATGTAGCAAACGGAGAGGAGAGCAGAGCTGGTTATCAATATCTTTTTCCGGCCAATTCGGTCGACGAAAAAGAGAGATGCAAGGCAAGCCACGGGCGCGACAGTTCCATAAAGACCACTTACGAGAAGCTGCTCGTTCTGATCAAACTGAAGAGTCGCATAAATGGCTGTTTGATAATATTGGACGAAAGATATGCCTGAGAGCATGGCAGCTGCCCATACGAATGATCCGACGAAAAGACGCTTTCGAAACGCCGGTGTCTTCAAAAGGTCAGTCCAAGCCAGACGACCTTGAGCCTTTCTCTCCTCTTCGATATTTACTTGGATGATGGTGAACTCGGTGTCAATCCACGTATCGTTGGACCCGTCGTGGTGGTAGTTGCGGAAAGACCTCTTTGCTTCTTCGTGACGACCCTTCAAGCACAACCATCTTGGAGATTCGCTGATGAATAAAACTCCGACGCCGAGTATAACGGCCGGAATGCCTTGAATAGCAAAGCCCAATCTCCATTGATTTGGATTGTTCCATTTGCCTTCGCCCACTCCCGTCCATAATGCGACGAAAAATCCCCAAGCGACCACTTCGTTACTGTTAGCATAACGACGCGTGCTTCTGGGAATCCTATGTCTTACTCATCTGATTGGCTGCCGTGATCTTCGCGCGTTCGTGTGTCTGCCAATGACCAGGTTAGTGCACCCCTAAGACATTCCCTGTGATATACAATAAGGAGCTGGATACCTTTGCAATCTCAGCACCAAAAACGGGGGCTACGCCAGTAACTGTTCCAACGGCGAAACCGACTAATAGGCGTCCCATAATAACTATACGTATACTCGAATATTAGCGTTATTCCGTGTTTATTTCAGTCTTATTTACTCACGCATAGCCACGTGAGCAGCGCCGGCCATGAGCGCCGAGCCGATCGCACCCCAAAGACATCCGAACGCTATGGCCTTCCGTCGACCAAACCTGTCACTGGTGATACCAACCGAAGCACTACCGAGCCATGCTGTAGAGAATATCAATATTAGATATTAAAAAAAAAAAAAAAGACAGACGCCAATATGAATTACCTCCAGCTTGGTAAACTGAGACGATTGCTCCACGAGTAGCAGCATCAGGTTGGCCAAAGTAAACTAGGAAGGATTTCAACGCCAGACTCGGCGTAATGATCCCCGAGTCGCTTAGGCTCTGTTAGCACTGGGTGGAGCAGGCTTTATCGCAAACAAAAACTCAGAATACTTACTAGCCATAGAGAAATCCGCCGATTCCAAGGAATAAGGAGGTTAAGAAGGGCTTACTCAGTAACGTCTGATTCTTCATGGTTGCTACAGAACAAGATACCTGTCCAAAGTAGGGAATATCGAAGGTGCATCGAGGCCCTTCGGTCAGACCAGAGGACGCGCATGGGGTTAAGTATCGCCGCATTGACTCAACAAGAGGGCGTCTAGGCTTTGAGGAAATCCGGGGTTAGTATCCGACTGCTTGGTTCATGGTATACGGGGATGGGGTCCGCCAAGGGCCCGGGGACGCGGGGTATACTAATCAAGCTGTGCTCTAGAGCACAAACTATTCACAACATTACAGCCCCTATCGTGGTACAGGTCGCAAGCTTTGAGCCTCTAATCTAACTAGCTGTCTCTCGTTTTCAGCTGCCTTGTGACTCCTTCGTATTGTCTATCACACTGGCCATATTACTAACCCAAATCGAGTTCCTGTTAGCGAGGGCCTGGGTCTCCGTCTATGCGCTACTCCGCAAAACACACGGGCGTCAAATTTGGGGGTGGGAAATATCCACATGGGCTTCCCCGCCAAGGGTCGGCAGTTTGGATAGAGGCACCTGGATTGTCGGTCACCGTTACCCCCATTGTTGGTATTTCCTGCGAGGGGTAATACCTTCTTGTAGATCAACCAACCAACTCCGTTCTTCTTATGTCGAAGGGGCCGCACGTTAGAAGAGTGTCGCGGTTAGTTCGTGAGTGCCCAATGCCAAAATGTTCGCAGCAATTCTTGCTAGCATAGGCTTCGCTGTGTCGCTTTCTTATCTAAGCTTGATATTCCCGAGGGTAAGCAGCTTATTACCGGAAATTTCAAGGGGCCGCGCAAGTTTGGCTGACAGAAGTTCGAATGTTAGTTGCTGCAAGAATGGAAGATCTACGCACATCGCAAAGAGCTGCCGCCAGGGCCTCAGGTTATCAAATCTGGTCTTCGAAAACCATGGCTGTGGTTTCGGGAACTGAACAAAGAATATGGCGATGTGGTCTACCTCCAGATGGGGCCTACGCCGACCGTAATTCTGGGTTCGGCTCAGGCGGCATGGGACCTTTTGGAGAAACGAGGAGCCAAGTACTCGTCCCGACCTCGCTTCATTATGGGCGGTGAACTCCTGTCGGGGGGGATGCGAGGCCTCATGGCGCCGTATGGATCTTTCTGGCGGCGATGGCGAAAGCTGCTGCATAGCGGATTTATGAACCGTCAAAGTTTAACTTATCGTCCTATTCAGAGCTTAGAGTCTAAAATACTTATGCACGACTTACTCCATTCCCCTGGGGCGTTTCGAAAACACTTCGAGCGTTACGCGGCTTCGGTTATTGTTACGGTTACATACGGGCGTAGGGTTGAAGATGTTGATACCGATATTGTTGTTCGACGCAATGGCGAGTCGATGGACCGTCTGACACAAGTGAAGTGAGTAGATCCTCAGCCCATTACCTGGTGTCGTCACTCACCCTTCGATCTATAGTATTCCCGGTAAGTATAAAGTTGAGCGATATCCGGCTCTCAAATACATACCCAGCATCTTCGCGCCGTGGAAGGCCGAGGTCCTGAAGCAAAGACAGAAGGATATCCAACTATACACGGAACTCATGGACGAAGTAAAAGAGAGGAATGCGAAGGGAACCTTGCCCACATGTTTTGCCAAACACCTGCTGGAAGAACAAGAGAACCTCGGAATGTCAGATCTGGAGCTTGCGTATACTGCAGGCTCTCCATTTGGTGCAGGAGTAGAGACAGTAAGTTCGCCATCTTCCTTTCAGACCATGAATGGGTCCCATGCTCATATCATATGGTTTAGTCTGCTGGTTCACTTGCCAGCTTTCTCCTGGCCTGTGTGAAGTTTGGTCCTCAGTTCATCCCTAGAGCACAGGAGGAACTCGACAAGGTAGTTGGAAATGACAGGCTCCCCACGTTCGAAGACTTGCTCCAGTTACCATATGTTAGGGCAGTTGCTTCAGAGACGCTTCGATGGAGACCAGTAGCTGTGCTAGGGGGTACCCCTCATGCTAGTACCGCTGACGATGTGTATAAGGGGATGTTCATCCCCAAAGGGAGTACAATTATCGCACCCTTGTGGAGCAGTAAGTGTGCCGAAGATGATATCACATCTGATCACATCAATGCTAAACCAAGTTCCTTAGTTCACTTAAATGAGTCCGATTTCCCCGAGCCAAACGAATTTCGACCAGAACGCTTCATGGAAACGCGTGGCTATCCCGGCACGCTTGGTCACAGTGCATTCGGTTGGGGAAGACGAATCTGCCCCGGGATGCACTTAGGGTCTGCGTCCGTGGAACTCAACATTGCGCGAATACTATGGGCTTTCAAAGTCGGTCCCGCAAAAGATGCAAGCGGTAACGACATTGATGTGGACATGTAAGTGACTCCTTTTTTGCATTGCTTCCGTCACCTATTCACAACCATCTAGATTCGCCTATTCAGACGGCTTTAACTCGAGCCCGCTGCCATTTCCATGCTCCATACAACCACGGTCCCAGAAGCATGCAAGTGTTATCGAGCAAGAGTTCCAAAGTGCCACAGAGTCCCTGGAAACATATACTCCGGTTGGCAACAAAATATCTTGACGAGGCGTGGGTCATCATCCATATCCGCTCATACCGTGGAAGGAGCATATTAGAAGATATAAACATAATTGGCTAAAGTAACATTATCCTTAGGCCAGACGAGACGTATCTCATCAGCATGGTTTTCAATGAGTGGAGAGGCATAGGTAGATGAAATTTCAAACCCTAAGATTGTGGAGTAAGTAGACCAATCGAAATTCGTGCTCGCATTTCTAGGTAGACTTAATAGAGTATAATAAGAGTCAGTTTCTCACTCTCTTCATACCGTATAATGACAAGCTTACTATATGGTCACCTAACGTATCCAAAGTTAGTTCCGCGCGAGGATAGGTAATAGGCTTCCGATATTTATAGAGTTGTCATAACGATAGAAACCTCACAAGTTGTAGTTAGGGACTATAGAAAATATTATGATCGGTAATAACCGACACACTCAGCTTCAAGCATATTCGTCTTACCCAAACACATAATGATATGAGCTTGTATAGATGTTTCTTAAGTGTAAAGGACATGTTGAGTAAGATTATAGTCGTTCCCGGACCTGAGGTTAGGTACCTGTCCGGATAATCGGCGAGCAGAGGTTTGTAAAAATACCTATTTTTTGAGAGCAAAGCTGCTGAAGTGATGGGGCGCGTCTTGTGGCTCATTGAACGATCTATCATTTAGTACCAGCTAACTCGAAAGCTGGCAATTGGTTATCTGCTTGCATGGAGTCGCAGATGAGAATGTGACCTCCGGGCTCCATTTGGGTAAGCATGAATTTCCGCATGATATCACCTAATTCAGAAACTAATAATGGAGTTAAGCTGTTGAAAGAACTTAGCTTACCCGCTATAGGTGCAGTATATTGATATATAAAACAAAGTCCTAGAGAAACTGGTAGTTATTTGTGATTTGCTTCTGAGGTCAGGTAGTTGGAAATATATAGGAGCAACATCTGCCTGGTAGGTGCCTACTTTTTCTTGATCCTATTAAAATGAGCTTAGTTTTAGTAGGGCTTTAGAATGCCAAAAGAAAATAAATTCCCAACGGCGATGTGACTGACCCCCATCTCTTAACAGCGTTAGCTGGGAGCGGGAGGGCCGCCCACTGCCAAGCTGCTCCATTCCAGAACGAGACGCGATTGCTCTTTTACTGGGACGACCCGAGGTTTTCACCAGTTTGATGTAGCATTTTTGGGCTTGTCCGGCTTCTTTACCCTTGCTCGAACCAAAACTCAGCTCAGCTTCGCCAGATTTGGACATGACGATAACTTCTCGCTGACACCACAACACACACAGCAGAGAAATTCGACAAATCATATTCTAACAGATGCCTTCTAGAAATTCTATATCATATCTTACGTAAGATTTGATCGGCAATATGATCAGGGGTTCCACAACCTCAACTTCACTCGTCCATGACCCCTGAGGGTTTTGGGGGGGTTCCCTCATATGTTTTTTTCTTTTTTCGGTTTTCTTTTTTTCGGTTTTTCTTTCGAAGCCCCCTCCGACGCTCGATGATGTTCTGAAATTGTCTTACCCTCTCAAATCTTTTTCCACAGTTTGGAATACATCGAGGGCATATCGCCTTGAAGTTACGGCGTATCAGCAAACACCTTCTACCCCTCCACTACTCTAGGCACCTTATATACCAACCAAGAGTAGGGCTTGGACTTCGGCGGGCCGGTTTCCATTCCAATTCGAGATATACTTCGCTCATTGCTGGCGACAGCAATCGGTTCTGTTCCTCTGGGTGGGAGCAACGCATACAATATGCGCTTCATTACGAACTTGCTGATTATTGCGTGCGCTGCCCCACCTACATTAGCACTGGATGACTCTCGTCCCAATGAAAGTAAGAAATATTTTCATTATATCCGTCTTGCGGAGTAGCATCCGGGCTTCTTGGCTTGCATAGGTCAGGTAGAGGTTTGCATATAACGTACAATCACTGCTCTCTCACTACGTATCCGTGGACTTATATAATGTCCTGGTCCAAACTACCTAGGTGTTAGTTACCTAGGTATCTGTTAATTAACACGACTTGGAATAGATGTCATCCTTGCAGACTGCACTGGGTCGCAGAACTCAAGTCAGCTATCATCTGAAGTCGCATACTTCAGAAACTCCCCGAATGAATCGCCCGGCGGCATCGCGCCTGTAACTGACGGGCAGCACCGCGATTGGGCGGACAACACCACATCGGCATACTTTACCGACACTGGGACGACCTTCAAAGCTGTATTAGGAAAGCGTGGTAACGCGGGCGACTACGCGGGGGTAGGAAACAACGGCTACGGTAACTTCTCGTGTTGGCAAATGGACTCGCCGTACTTGTACAGTCACGATGATAAGAATTGCTTCGTGGCATATGAGTGTAATCACCTGAGTGAGTTTTTCCCCTTCTGATTTGAGATACATTCGGATATTGAAGACACCTTATGTCTCTATAAGTATCACCATAGTTATGGTTCAGCTTGCAGGTTGCGGTTAATGTGTTGATACAACATGGTCTAAAATATTACTACTCATTTTATGCCATGCTAAGAGGTATCTAACTGACACTGATAATTAGCATCGCCCGTGCCTATCCCGTCAGCCTCACCTCCCGCAGCTACTATGTCATCGTCGTCTACAGCGACCCCCATACCCGAATCGGGTCTATCAGTGGGTGCCATAGTGGGTATCAGTATCGGATCAGCCGCCGGAGCGATACTTATTACAGCCGTAGCTGCTTTCTTAATATACCGACGTTGGCGTTTAAAGAAGCAAGGCCAAGCCGCCACCAATCCCCAAGATCCGAGACTGGAAACTGGAGGGCCGGGAACACCAAAAGGGCCACCCCTGGTGAACACGATATGGCAAGGTCCAGGGGTGAGGGAATTAGAAGCACCACAAGTTTATCACGAGTTACATCACGTCGATCGGCCTGTCGAGATCCAAAGTACTCTTATAAGGAGCGAGCTAGACGGGTCTACTTCCAGAGGAGAGCTTCATTCTCACGACTTACCGCCTCGATACGAATTCGGAAATCCGATATCACCTGGAGCTTACGGGAACCAGAAAGGCCCTATTTACCACGACAATCGTGTTGAAGGATAGAATGAATTCCAATGGGATGCCGATATATTTCCTAGAAGTTAGTCAAGATACCATCACTTAAGGGAGTGAGTTATTGAATGTATATAGAAACAGCGAATTTACGAAGAATAAATCGAAAAATACTCTCCAACATACCCCCAAGGCCCGTAGGTGTACCACGACATTGACATATTGGCAACACATAACGCTTTTAAATATGCAGAAATTCTATAATCTCGGTAATCATACTTTTAGTTATCGTGCGACCCTTTATTTAACCTTTACCTGATTTTGTTGATCGTGGCATATGCATGTTGCATATGGTCAGTGATATAAGATCAGGTACCGGTGATGCAAGCCACTAGAAAGAGGGTGATGAAGGTTGCGCTTAACTGGTATCTCTATTTTCCCAGGTGGAGTTAAACTCGGAATCTCTCTCTTCAATAGAGTGATTTGGCAATGTGTTGAGGATAATGTTCTAACTAACATTGAATACCTAGTAAAAAAGTCAATACGGTTTATGCATAACAGGTACCTAGATAGAGATAAAAGTGTATTAATATTGAATGGTAAATATTAACTCTGACGTCAGCGAATTTGGGGAGGCAAGAATATTATTCAGACCCCTCGACCCCACCCCCACTAGAAGCCCCGAAAGCCTCTTTCTTAGGTAGGTACCTAACCTAATGTACCGAAGTACATTAAGGTTCCCCCTTATTCCCGGACTAACAAATATTAGGTACCTCTAGGAGGTAGGTATTGTTCATATTTTGGATTTGTACTTGTGAAAGGGCGAAAATTTGTTAGTTCCACTATATAGGTAACCCCATTAGAAGGCCCCACGACCTCACTGTACGTACTTTTTACGCCTCCCCCCTGCCCCCACCACAAAAGATTCCTTCTGCTGTTCAAATCTCCTAAGCAGTTAGTTACAAAGACTACGCAGGACACATCTTCTTTTTTTTTATCAAAAATTCCTTCTTTTTCCCCCTCCCCCTCGATCAAGAAAAAATCAGAGGAATAAGGAACCCGTACTTATTTGGGTACTTATTTTTCATTTATTTACTTGGTCACATTCGCTTGTGATCGAGACCGATAATTTTTACGTCGGTATCGAAAAAGAAAAAAAAAAAATCTAAATAGAAGAAAAATAATCCTAAGCGGGGTAAATTTCTTCGGTCGCTTCACTTATCGTCATCTCTATCATCTTCATCATCATCCCGGGTTTACACCAGCATCAGCATCAGCATCAGCATCTCCTTACGGTTCGGCGATAGATAAAAAACAAATACTATTTCAAAAAAATGGTTTCCGCATCAAAGGAGAAGAGACTCGCCAAGAAGGCAGCCGACGGCAAAGGTGAGAAGAAGACTCTCGTCTCTCGATCCAAGGCTGGCTCCAAGGCTGCATCCAAAAACACCAGCGCTGCTGGTTCCGTCGCTGGCGATGACCCCCCTAACCCAGATGACGTTCCCGCGACCGACGATGCGAAGATGGAAACGGTCAAGGCCCTTTCCGACCAAAAGGATAAACATGGTCTCTCCGATCGTATCACCACCGGTGTCTTAGCATCCATACCCACCAGTAAGGACGTCAAGATCATCAGCGCCAGCTTAACCTTCCACGGTCGTGTGCTCCTCAACGAAACCAACCTTGAGTTATCATTCGGCCGTCGGTATGGATTGCTGGGTGAGAACGGCTGCGGAAAGAGTACCCTTCTTAAGGCCATCGCCGCGCGAGAATACCCCGTCCCCGAACATGTCGACATCTACCTCCTTAACGAGGGTGCGCCGCCCTCTGACTTGGGTGCCCTAGAATGGGTCCTCAAGGAGGCTGAGAAGGAGATGGACCGTCTCGACAGACTGGCCGAACAGCTACTTGAGGATGAAGGTCCCGACAGCCCTGTGCTGATGGATATTTACGAGGTATGCACTCAACTCAACTCGCTCACTCGCTCCCCTTTGCATGTACAGTACAATTCGATTCATCCTTACTAACTGGCGTAAAATAGCACATGGACAAGATGGACCCTTCCACATTCGCTACCCGAGCCTCCCTTATCCTCACGGGTCTTGGTTTCAACAAGGAAACTATTCACAAGAAGACGAAGGACATGTCTGGTGGTTGGCGTATGCGTGTTGCCCTCGGCAAAGCACTCTTCGTCAAGCCCAGCTTACTGCTCCTCGACGACCCGACCGCGCATTTGGATCTCGAAGCTTGCGTGTGGCTCGAAGAATATCTGAAGAAGTGGGAACGCACGCTAGTTTTGGTTTCCCACTCGCAGGATTTCCTGAACGGAGTGTGTACCAACATGATCGATATGAGAAAGCAGCAGCTCATGTACTACGGTGGTAACTTCGACTCTTATGTCAAGACCCGCAAGGAACAAGAGACCAACCAGATGACGGCCTACAAGAAACAGCAGGAGGAAATCAAGCATATCAAGGAGTTCATCGCCAGCGCAGGTACCTACGCCAACTTGGTACGACAGGCCAAGTCTCGACAGAAGATTCTCGACAAGATGATTGCGGATGGTCTTATCGAGGAAGTCAAGGAGGAGAGGGAATTCAAATTCAGATTCACTGATGTCGATAAACTACCCCCTCCCGTCTTGTCGTTCGACGACGTGACCTTCTCATACTCGGGCGAGGCAAAGGACGACCTATACCGCAACATTGATCTCGGGTTCGACATGGACTCCCGAACAGCCCTCGTCGGCCCCAACGGTGTGGGAAAAAGTACGCTGCTACGTCTAATGACTGGAAAGCTCTCCCCCACCTCCGGATCCGTCCGTCGCCACACACATTTGAAGCTCGGCTTGTACTCTCAGCACAGCGCTGAGCAACTGGATCTAACCAAGAGCGCCCTAGACTTCGTCCGTGACAAGTACCGCGAGAAGTCTCAAGACTACCAGTACTGGCGACAAACCCTTGGTAGATACGGAGTCTCCGGCCCCGTACAAACTGCGCTGATGGGCACGCTATCGGAAGGTCAGAAGAGCCGAATCGTCTTCGCTCTACTTGCTATTGATTCGCCAAACATGCTTCTCCTCGACGAACCTACGAACGGTCTAGATATCCCTACCATCGACGCTTTAGCAGATGCCATTGATGCCTATAGCGGTGGTGTCATCGTCGTCTCTCACGACTTCAGGTAAGAATTGCCCTCTGAATACAATCAATACATGTGAACTGTTACTAACGCGTATAATAGATTGCTTGACAAGATCGCTAAGCAAATTTTGGTGTGCGAGAACCGAACAATCAAGCCGTGGGATGGCACGATAGGAGAGTACAAGAACTACCTGCGCAAGAAGATGTTGGCTGCCGGTGCAGTTTAAAGCCTGCCATTTTCTACGATTCACATTTAGCCGGGGTTGATTACGCGAATACGCCCTCAGTTCGCGAGTCTTGATTTGTACTACAAGGGTGGTACGGGAAAAAGGGGTGCGCATACGTACGTACATACATGAGGACGCGGCTCAGAGGTCTATAGATTGGGCAACGAGGCATAGAGCCGTAGCCTTGAAGTAAAACAAAAGCTTTTACTTGTTTTTTCTATTTTCTAAAAAGGGGGGCTTTGATAAACTGCGGAAAGCCGGCACGGATGCACGCCGCGATTTCGCACGTAGGAATAGACTAGATGAATTTAAAAACGAATTCTACCTTATATAACCTAGGTACTTGTATAATATGACTTGAGATTGATTATACAGATGTGATGCTGTGCTGTATGTACTTTTTGCATGTGCTTATAGGTAGGGAGATAGCCATATAGAAACAATTGGGTATGATTATGACCTCTGCTATTAGGTTTAGTATAATACCTAGGCATAATAAAGAGCAATTCTTTTCTCCGACTAAGAGACTATCATATAAGTAAAACGTCGTCTTCTATAGGCTTTAGGCTTATTGATTCTTTCTTGCCTTTTAATATGAAGTAGAGGTAAGTACCAGGCAGGTATTAAACGAAACGACCTAGAGGTTACCATCTTAAGGGTTGGCTTTGACAAAATGCCCCTGGGTTTATAATTTAAGCTAACTAGATCTCAAGTCCTCTGTGCGTGGCTCACCTACTTGGGATACCAGGACATTATCTTTTTCGGAATGCATTTTATAGCTAAGCAAAAATATATCTATAAGCTTCGGTTCTTATGCCTTATTCCCATGATTCATTTGTCTTGTTCTGTCACTGGTATCGTATAGGAAGTATTCCAAGTTATGATTGATACCTAATACCTTGGAAGAGTGCGCTACTTTTTTTTTTATTTTTATTTTATTTTTATTTTTATTTTATTTTTATTTTTATTTTTATTTTATTTTTATTTTTTATTTTATTTTATTTTATTTTATTTTATTTTATTTTATTTTATTTTATTTTATTTTATTTTATTTTATTTTATTTTATTTTATTTTATTTTA